ATTAATAAGTCTTCATAATCATACTATTAATTATTGAATTAGTTAAATTCTAACTAAAAAACGTGGAAAGTGATTATTATGCTCAAAGGGTGAAATTAGGACGCGTTTAATTAACCCACTTTATCCTTTTTCTTTTTGACCAATAATGCATTTTATTTGAGTGTCAATGTATCATACCTAGGCCTGAACGTTCGGGTACCCGTTCGGTTCTGGTTCGGTTCCGGTTCTTTCGGTTTTAGAGTTTAGGATCCATATAGGAACCAAACAATTTTGGTTCGGTACCGGTTCCGGTTCTTTCGGTTCTGAAGTTTAGGATCCATTCGGATATTTTTTTCGGATATTTTTAGGTATTTTAGATATTTTTGGGTATTTTTGGATATTTTGAAGTATTTTTTTAGGTATTTTAAGTATTTTTTAATATATTTTCTAAATATTTGTTGATATTTCGGGTATTTTTGGTTATTCGATCTAAAAATAACTAATATTTTTAGATATAAACTCATATTTCGAGTATTTTCGGGTACCCAAAATATTTCGGTTCGGTTCCGGTTCCGGTTCTTTCGGTTCTAAAATTTAGGATCCATTTGAGTATTTTAAAATTTCGGTTCGGTTCCGGTTCGGTTCTTTTTGCTTCGGTTCTGGTTTGGTTCTTGTGGTTCGGTTATTTTGTCCAGGCATTCATACCAATGATTTTAAGAGTATACATAGGAAAAAAAAAGAAGAGTATACATGTATTTGTCACCATAGTCACAGTTTCATAATTTTCATTCTGAAAACAAGTTGTCAAAAAGAAACACAAATGTATTTAGAACTTACAGACATTTGAGTGTCAATGACATTTGTGTATAGCCTAGCGATTAAATCCATACGAAAATGTCACTGTTACCAAGATAAGAGTAACGTTATTGGGAGGTGCTTAGTTTTGGTTCTTAGTAATTTTTTTGGTTCTTAGTAATTTTTTTGGTTCTTAGCCCAATTTTTGATTTTTAGCTAAGAGTCATTCCTTAGCAAAATCATCAATTACACCTTTAATTTTAATCTCTTTTGAGCTAAGAATCAAGTTAAGCACCTCCCAATAAAGATGGTCTAACACTGGTAGCTAGTACGATGGTGCGCGATGATATTATGGACCGAAATACACAACAGATGTATTTAGCATGTGTTTATAAAATCTACATCATTTTTTTTTAAAAAAAATAAATAAAAAAATCTACATCATACTTATGGTCACCATTTAATTTTTGTTCAATTTGTTATGCATCACGTACTTTGTACGTACTAATAACATTATTAGTACGTACTTATAACATTTATAATGTTTGTCTGGTCGAAAAGCTACAACTTTTTGATAGCATTCGAGTATACGACCAACTAAAAAAAAAAAATTACTACCAGTAATAATAATTTGGCTGGAGAAATTAAAAACACTTTTTAGTTCATAGTTTTTTTTTGTGAATGGATTCAAAGAAGTAAATAAGTTAAAATATAAAATACAATTCAAATTTAGTTAGCATTAAATGTTTATTGTTATTCCATTTTTACTAATTTAATCTTACTATATTTAATTTTTTTTCCCTTAAAATATTTTTTTAATCCACCCGAGTTGAGGTGTCGGTTCCTACTGTATTTGATAATCATCCCGATTTTATTCGCCACACTAGTTAGGTTATATTATATTAATTGGAGTTTGTTACAACACAATTATCGAAAATTATTAATAACAGAAAAATTAGTCCTTTATCTTTTAAGTACATGAACCGGAAAGTTTAGAAAAATGCCACGGGACATTCACCACAGGTCCAAAGCTAGTTAACATAGAGAATCTTGAAAATACAAATACAGTACTGTTATTCAATTTTAGAAAGTATTGTTCAAAAAGGTTATTTTAATGAGTCTTCCTAAACTATGATGGATTCCCATAATTGTCGTTGAAAGCGGAAAGTCCGCAGATTTGGCTGATAATTGTTTTAGAACGAAAAAACGTATTAGTTGATTTGAATAATCGAAAGATGTATATATCTACAGCTAGAGAACGGCATCTGTGACTACGATATTTGTTGATCTTAATCTTTGACTCTCTCTTTTTTTTTTCTTTTTTTTGGATGCGTTTATGTATCAAGGTGACAAGGTACATGGCTGACTTCTCCACGTACGCGTCAATATTTTTCGATATTTCTTAATAAACCGAAGCAGAAGCTTCTTAATTACTACAATTTTTTTTTTTTTTCTTAACTAGTACCATTTATATTTGCGTTTACCTTTCGCAATTAAACCAGTAGTTTAAAGAGTTGCAATTTTGTTTACGTTTTGTACGACCACGATCACTTTCAAATTAGTAGAAAACAAGTTTTAATTTCCGTTAATCAAAAAAAGTATTAGATGTTTGCTTTGACAACTTCTTTTTTCGGGTTGGAAAACCGTAGTTGACAAAAAAAAGGACTAGACGTTTGCTTTTAAAACCCACTAGTATTAGGCCCGTACTCCGTACGGGGCAAAACTTTAATCAAATTTATAAATAAATCAACTAATTTTTTGATACATAGAAAATACAGATTTCTTGCAAACCAGAGATTTGTTTACTGTACATTATAGCAACATATATACACCGATACACGTAACTCATGTCCAACTTATTTCCTCTTATTTTTTCTTTCGCCAATAAGCCTGACAATAACATGAAGAAAGAAACACGATCTTATGATAATTCTAAAAATATACTCCCTCCGTATTTTAATAATTGTCGTTTTAGAAATTTTATTTTTTTGAATTGGATGTCGTTTTCAAATTTCTATGCAAAATTTATTACTTTTTAATGTTTTATGACATCATAAAACATTAAAAAGTAAAAAATTTTGCATTGAAATTTGAAAACGACATCTAATTCAAAAAAATAAAAATTCTAAAACGACAATTATTAAAATACGGAGGGAGTATTGAATCATTGATAAATATTTAGAAAAGTTACAATCCCAAGTCTTTTGGTTACTGGGTTTGATCGTAAGTAAAGTCTAACAAAGAGATGACAAAAGAGATGCAAGTAAAACTTATAGATTCAACGTTACCAACCATAAGGGCTATTTTTTTGTTTTCTTAGCTTGTCCGTCTGAAAAGAAAATGAATCATAAGAAAGTTTCAGTAAAAACTTAGAGAATGTGGATGTGAGTTTACATGAGATTTGCAAAAACAATAGACTGTAATCATGTAAACTTATAGGTTGGTTTTGCCCGGATGAATGATCCTACCGATGAGTTTTGGTTCCCACCCTCGATTTTCCATCCAATCTTCCTATCTTCTTTTTCCTGCTTTGGAAGCAGAAAATGGTGACAGAAATTTAGATACAAAGATGCTTTACATCTTTTAAGAACTAAAACTCAGGCCACCAATTTTTGTACTCTGAGACATGATCAATGGTATTGTAGGAATCTCACTCACCGACGCAAAAGCTACCGATTCGAAGAAGAAGAGGTAGAAGTGTGGAACAGTATCCCAACCCGTCGCCATGGGAAATGACGGCTCGTCAAGGAGATCGTGATCGATCCTTTCGATTCCGACGATGAACTTGATGTTTGCAAGATGCGGATCAAAATCAGTATTTCAGCGCAGTTTCTTGAGGAGGTGGTTGTGACGGCATGAAAAAATTAAGTGGAGTGAGGCAGAGCTCGTGGAGGATCCATGGCTTTTTGTGTGAAATCTTAAACCCTCAACGCTGTTACTCTTGGTCTCGAACTTCATCAACACTCTCCGATAACGAAACGAAAACAACTCTACAGAAACCAGATCACATTATAAGAATCATTAACAATTCATATAGATTGAAAATAGATCTAATGCAGCAATGAAGTCAAATTAAAACAAAGATTTTGATAAGGATAAAAAAATGTGATATCACAAACAAAGATGTTGATTACCATGTAATCGTAGCGAACTTATGATTGGGTAGAGAGAGAGAGAGAGAGAGAGAGAGGGAGAGAGGCACTGTTAAGTTTTTTGGTTGATGAAAAGAAGAACAGATGGGATTCAATTTGATTCCTTAAAGATATCTGATCATTTGAGTTAATCACTATGCGTAAAAATTGAATTTGATTCTTTGAAGAGACATTGCATTGATGAAACCCTAAGATCAGACTATCAGAGCATGTAGCGACTTCAAATTTTTTTACCTGATAAAAGTTGCACGAAAGAAGAATTAGAAAAGAAAGAGATGTGGAAGCTTTTAATAATGAAATCATGTTGTTGAAGAAGAGAGGCAAAGTGGAGATATTGAGATCGTGGGGAGGGGAGGGTGAAGAGAGGCGAAGCAGTTGCAAGGATTTTTTTTTTTCGTACTTTTTTTTTTTTTCTGTTGAATAACAAAGTTTAATTGGTTAGAAGAAATCTGAAAGTGTTAAAATTGGGACTTAAGATACGTGTAAGATGGAGAGGGTTGCAGTTTTTTTAGAATTGACTTGTGATTTATTATATAAGGATTAATTGGTAGTTACGTAATATAGAATTTTAAGTCACCATCCCAATTCCCAAATACAAAACCAATGGTTCCTATTTTCCGCTTACCAGGATTATGCGACCAGCATAATATAATAATAGATAATTCTTTTGACAACAATATAATTATATTTACTAGAATTTACAAAAATAGTAAACCTATAATATATATATATATATATATATATATATATATATATAACATTTTCCCTAGAAAATCCTATCAAACATATATATTTTTTATTTTTATTCTTTTACCATATTAATTTTCTATTTTAAAGAAGACAATATTTCATAAAACACGAATTAATGCGTTTATACCTAAACTCATTCAAACGGTATGAGCCTAAATTCATGGCATGAATTCAGTACCATGAAACTTTTGCAAATTGAATATTAATCATCCGTCCTTCTTAATTTTCTCTTTGTTTTATACCATCAAATTCACACTTCTTTTTTTCTCCTCCTTTTGAACTCATTTTTTTCGTCATATATATATTAGAGAAATTGTAATAACTATTGGTTTGAAAGGCGGAGAAAATGACATCACCAACATATACTCTTTTATGCATAGGATCATTCATGTTCTTACTATGTTTCAGCATTGGCTTTGGTCGCAAGAACCTAGAAGATAAGCTCAGTGACACTCTATTTGCCCCCAAACATGTTGAAGAAACGGAGCTTAGAGCCGCTTTGATTACTAATACCGAAGCTAGAGACATTTCAAGAAGTATTGGTTTGGGAGAGGTTGGAAGTCAAGAGATGCATCACATTTACATAGAAACAAGTAAAGATTCGAGTTTCGGAAATAAACAAGACAATATAAACTCTGTGCCTAAGAAGATTATAAGGGGTACCGTTTCCATTTCATTCTCATTTCCTATCATCAAGATTCAGGTTCCTATTCCGAAGCCAAATATTACGGTGGCTGCCGTAAACGAACTCAATGAAGGCATTGTCATAACTCCAACGAAAACTAATGAGTTTGGTATTTCCCTTGCAAATGACGGTGCAGAGGTTGGATACAGCTACCAATAAGCAGCTCCACGAACCACATATTGAAGGCCTTGCCAGCTTCCTAAGGGTAGTGCTAAAGATTGAAGTTACTATAAAAGCATATGATAAATTGATAACATTATGGCTTTAGAGACACAGAAGTTGTTGGTGGCCAACGAGTATAAACAAAATATGTAGCGATTTTTGTAACAAAACCTTGCCAAAACGTTTGACTCTAGAATGAAAAAAGGATATATGTGAAACATTTTCTTACATCTATTTAGTATGCTGAAAGTATCTATGATTTATAGTAAAAATAGTCATATACTTATCTTAAACCTGAGTTTAGGAGATGTGAAAGAAAAATGTAAAAAGGAACAACTAAACATTTCTATCTTAACATTCTCTTCTCATTGGCAATGAGGAAGATTTTGAGACTGAGTCTGTTGTTTCTGTCTGTAGCCTTTGAGAAAGTTGTTGGAGATATTGAAGCATAATGTCGCAAGATCGGTGTTTCAACACTACTAGAATTTTCACAAGCGCCCCATTTTCGAATAAGCTCAAGCTCAAGCTCGGTACCTTGAACTGGAGATGTTTCGGAAACATCAAGCACCTGGTCATTGTATTCTTCAACAGATGCAATTGTGTATGGATTGGTCGTTGTATACTTTCTAAATCTTAATCAAATATGGTATTATTGTATACCATCTTACCATATTAATTTTCTATTTTAGAGAAGAAAATATTTCACAAAAACACGAATGCGTTTAAATCTCAACTCATTAATTCAAACGGTATGAGCCTAAATTCATGGCATGAATTCAGTAACATGAATCCTTTGCAAACTGAAATTTTCTCTTTGTACCATCAAATTCACACTTTTTTTTTCTCTTCTATTTTTGAACTCATTGCCTTCTTCTTATATATTAGAGAAATTGTAAATAACTGCCAATTTTAAGGTGGAGAAAATGACAATACCAACATATAACCTTTTATGCATAGGATCATTCATGTTCTTACTATGTTTCAGCATTACCTTTGGTCGCAAAAACCTACAAGACAAGTTCGGTGGCACTCTATTTTCTCCCAAACCTGTTGAAGCAACCGAGTTTAGAGCCGCTTTGGCTACTAATACCGAAGCTAGAGACATTTCAAGTAATATTGGTTTGGGAGAGGTTGGAAGTCAAGAGATGCATCACACTTACATAGGAAGAGGTGAAGATTCGAGTCTTGGAAGTAAACAAGACAATATAAACTCTATGCCTAGGAAGGTTATAAGGGGCATCGTTTCCATCTCATTCTCATTTCCTATCATCAAGATTGGGGTTCCTATTCCGAAGCCAAATATTACGGTGGCTGCCATAAACCAATTCAACGAAGAAGAGATGATTAAAGGCATCGTCATAACTCCAACGAAGACTAATGAGTTGTGTATTTCCCTTGGAAATGACGGTTTAGAGCTCTCATATAGCTAAAAACAATCTCAAGAGCCGTATATCGAAGGCCCATTGCTAACTTCCTAAGGGTTATGCTGGAGATTGAAGTTACTATAAAACATATGACGAATTGATAAAGTTGATGGAAGTACTTTTTTTTTTTTGGACAAAGTACTTGATGGAAGTACTTAAGTTATGGTTTAAGAGACAAATAAGTTGTTGGTGACCGACGAGTATAAACAATATATGTAGCCATCATTAACAAAAACCTTGAGAAAACGTTGAAAATGAAGAATGACAAAAAGATATATGTGAACCATTTTTGTAATTATCTATTTACTATGCTGTAAGTACCTATGATGTGTAGTAAAAGAAAGTCATATAACTTATAAACCTGAATTTAGGAGATGAGAAAGAAAGATTGAAAATCGAACAACTAAACATATTTCTATCTTAACATTATCTTCTCATTGGCAATGAGGATGACCTTGAGAGTGATTCTGTTGTTTCTGTCTCCAGCCTTGAGAAAGTTGTTGAAGATATTGAAGCACAAGGTCGCAAGATCGGTGTTTCAACACTACTAGAATTTTCACAAGCTCCGCGAATAAGCTGAAGCTCAAGCTCGTTACCTTGAACTGGAGATGTTTCGGAAACATCAAGAACCTGATCATTGTATTCATCAACAGATGCAATTGTGCTTGTTTCTGTTCGAATAGTTGAATCATCACCGTATAACCCATGTCTTCTTTTCCTTCTGGTTGCTTTTCCCCAACCATTAATTGTCTCTCTTACCCTTTGAGGTAACAATGCTGCCTTGTAGTTTGTTCCCATCTATAATTAACATTATCTTGTTTTATGAGTTTTAAGAACTATTGTAAGCAGAAGATCCAAAGTTTTTTTTCCTGAAAATGTTACCTGAGTGACAAGTGCATAGAGTGGTAGTGTGCTGTAGCTACATAAAAATTGTCCAGAAAACCTACAAAACACATGGAATTAATAAACCGTCGCAAACTATATGAAACACACATAATAGTCTCATGACTTAAACGAGAAAACTTGATTACCCTAATATAAGTCGCAAGTAGACAAGTAAATGATTCCTTAGGAAGCAAGAATTGTATCCAAATTGCCACTGAAGAAACAAGAATAGATGATGTCAATAAAAGAACAAATCTTTAAAGCGTAAGAATATACAACTCTATGTATTTTTTTTATCATGCATATATGGCAATTAAGATGATACAAAAACAAAAACATACCCAAAACCAGAAGAAGGAAGCCAGTTCAAAAGCATTCTGTAGGAAACAGAAAGCACATATATAGGTTATTACAAAACAACAAATTTCCTTTTTTGACTAATAGAGATTTATAAGATTTTACAGACCTGAAATTGAATAAAGTGGATAAGAGATAAGAGTAATTCTGGTTTCTTGAACCAAAAAAGTTCATCGCGAGGTCTCAGCTTTATACCAGAAGCATATTCTGTTATCCCAGCGTTCTCCAATGCTAAAGTTGCGATGACATGTTGCAACTTTGCACCAACCAAAAGAACAAGCTGTTGAAAAAATAAGGATGCAAAAAAACAGAGAAACGATATAAGACTCAATTTCTAAAGAGAAAACAAAAAAAGAGAATGAAGTGGAAATATAGTTCTTACAGTGATTGGAATGATCGCTAACCAGAAATAAAGATTTGATCCTACATTAATTATAATATCAAATAAACTCTTGAAATGACACACAAAAGAAATAGTACTAATTCACAAGTACTTTTCACTATGATGTTTTACAGTGTATAATTCATTATTAACTCAGTATATACACACCTTTTATGTTGAAAAGCATGAAACCAACTACAAAACCCCAAAGTGGTCCACTGCAAGAGATCATCAAAAAATATTCAGTCAAAATAATGCATCATTACCACTCAACATTATGGTTTTAAATTATAATTAGTTTGTATAAGGAAGCAAGTTAAACTTAGAACAAAGAAATATAAGAAGTTCTACAACTCTTAAGTAAAAAATGTACGTACCACACTATTTTTTCTAAGGAAAAGAGGTAACACACCTGACGCCAACAATCTTTTGGAATTCTTCTTCCATAGAGCGGATCATATAGCTATGAAAATCGTATGTCAATGTTAGGTGATGGTTCTGTTTAAAGGAAAATAAAAATGATTATAATAACATAATAGACATACGACTATATGAATGGAAATAACACCAAAAGTTATATGAAGGTGTACAATCAAAAAAGGTGTGAAAAAGATTGGCAAACTTTTAGTATATCACCCAAACATTTCAAAATTTTGCATGGATATGATTTATCATTCAGATCTACTAGGTTATACTTATACCTCAATATTTTCTTGCCTTATTTAAAACTTTTACTACAAAAGAAACGATTTTCAAGTGTAATAAGCTTCATCATTTTTACCACATCAAACATGTACATTGTGAGCATGTAAAAGAATAAAAAGAGTATATCAGAAAGTGAAAAAATTAAATGACATGAGAGTAGCACGCACCATGATGAATCCCTTGCGGAGTGTAAGATAGTCAGAACGAACAACAGAGTGTCCAAACTGTCTGAAGAAACATATCTGTAAGAATAAACTATAGATACTTAGCAATTGGTATCATAATAGGTAAGAGCAAACATATTGGTAAAATTTCATATGACTTATCATCATATTTACCTTTGTTTTCAATCATGCATCAAATGTAGAAGAATATTAATATATAGCAAGTTTAAATTTCTTGAGGAAGTATAAACCTACCACCCATATGAGTAATCTATTCTTGACCAGAGGAACAGATGTATGATACCGGACAAATGTTGTTTGCCTTCGGAATATCTTTTCACGTGCGACCACTGCCAAAAATAAAGTTAACAAATTTTCTCCATGTAAGATATGAAATTTCCTGAATAAATATATATACAAATATGAGATCGTGAGCTAAATTTGTAGTAACAGATTAAAGTGTCTAATGAATCTTTGTATAGAATCTTTAGTGTCTAATGTGAAAGGAGAAGATATAACCATCTATATATGCTCACCAGTTAAGCAATCATTTCGATCCATATGAACCTCGTCTTCCCATATCCTCCATCTATGAATCTGAAAAAATGATAATCAAATTGAACTTGTACTAACATAGGAATCAGTACACTATCAAATGGAGTATACATCAAAATAATCTAAGAATTATATGAGGAGAAGCAAGAAACTCATAAATCTTATAATACATGAAAACTTCAGTCGAAAAGAATTGAAAAATATTTGATAATACTACCTTCACTATTGCAAGAAGCATTGTCAAGCAGCTATAAGTTACATGTGTGACTGCCATAATAAAAATGAAGCGATGCAATTGTTCCATGCCTTCATATGAAAGAAATGGCTCATGTCCCTGTTAAGTAGATAATGTTATGTGTGTGTATTTTTACTATATAGGGACAATATCATAAAATGAGATTAATAGATAACCTCGCTGCACGTATTCTCGCCTATGCCACTCAATCTTCTTCTCATAATGTGGAAGAAGAGAGATCTCGTTAACTGAGTCCGCTTGACAGATGAAATAGTACTTTCAAGTTCCTGATCATTAATCTCGGAGCGGGTACATGGAACAAATCTATCATTGTGGAAACTTGAAGAGACGCATATGTTAGCTATTGTGCTAGAGGTAGCTGTAAGAAGAAGCGATATGAACCCGAGCAGCATCAGCTCTGGAAAAAAAAAAGTTTCAAGATCCAATGAATATTTAGGACAAAATATCATTAGAATTGCATGTTAATCCACCAACCTTCTTTCATTTTCTCCAATGCAGCAAACAAAGGTTTTCTCTTCGTCTCTTGCAACCACTGTGCCAAAACAAAACCCAAAATATTGTTCTATCAATTAATAGAGAAAACTTAACCATTTGACAATTGATTACTGGGAAGATCAAAAGAAAAATAAAGGAAGTCTACTAAGTTAATGCTAAAACTCATTTCCAAATTATAGAATGACTAAAAAATGCAAATATAAAGATTTATACTTACGTTACTAAGCCGATGAATGGAACGTTCAACGATCAAAGAAACAAATACAAAGACAGTCAAAACTGTAGCAACAGACCAAGTTGGTGTTAAACCCAACGTTCTTTCGCTGGGTTCTGTTTCTTCTCTCATTTCTGCAACCGAATTCTTTACGAACAATCTTTCAGATGTTTCTTTCTTCGCGTGCAAGAAACCAAATTAGCTCTGAGGTTCAAGGTCGTATCGAGAAACTTTAAAACTCTTCTCATGCCAAAATTTTACAATCTAATGACACACCGTTGACTTTATCTCAGTGCCTATCACCAGAGCTAATTAAGTCCTTTGCATCTTCCAAGAAAAACTCCCTCTATCATCTAAAACGTCCGAAACAGAAATTTAAATGCAGTATCCAATTCAATTTAAAAATAAGATATTTTTTGTAAATATATATGAAATGAAAAATAAGATCATTTTAAAAGAGTGGATAATTTTCTGTTTTGAGGTTTCTCAAACAATAGTATAGTCGTATAGAAACAAACTTTCACTAATAAATTATAATTGAAAATATAGAAAATATAAAAATACTATTTCCCTCCATTTCACAGGATTCAAATCTTAATATAACAATACAACCAGATAAACATTAACAAATCTAGATTTGGATCCCTATTCGTAAACATGAACCTCCAAATCTTCGGATTGTGAACCAAACCTTTATCAAACTAAAAAAACAAATTGTGAACCAAACGAAAAATTGGATCCGAAAAGAACTGGCTTTACATATACGATCTATATATGAATAATTGATCCTAAATACAAGATTTAACATTCAACGAAAAAGAAGAAAACAAATCAAACAAATGACAACACATGCGAGAACTTACGGGAAGAGAGGAGCAAGCGAGCTGAGTCGTCTTGTTTGCATAGAGAGAAGGGAAGTCTTTTAAAAGCAAATGTTTAGTGTAGGGATTAGGGAATAAGGCCTCAAGTGTCTCTCTCTCTAATGCAATTATCAGAATTTTTCTTCCATTTTTATAAAACATTTTTTTCTTTTAACATTATACTCATAAGTTAATAACGATATATACATGCATATATGTAAATATATCTTATTATTCTAAAAATATATTTGATTATTAATAGATATAAGTCTTAATTAAGAGTTTGCATCACCTCCTACGACTCTGGTTAATTATATAATGAAGATATGGTTCAGTTAATTAAAAACAAGATGTGGACTGACAGCACAGTTATAGGATCTTGAGGAATCTAATTGGAAATCACTGGATAAATGCATGTGTAAAGACAGACCATTTATTAATAAATCAGGAATAACAAATGATTAAAAAAATATAGTGATAATAAAATTAGCGTTTCTACTTTCTAAGTATTTTGTTGTTGTTGTTGTTGTATGGTGTGTCATTGGAAGAATGGATTAAGTATTTTACGATAGTCTTGATAGGAAAGAAACACATCCGAATATGCCTACACGGCTACACATTTGGTGGTACAACAGTTTATTGGCTTCCAAAAGTGTAAAAGGTTGTAACTCTATTAAATGTGAAGTTGTAATAATGTTGTTGCGGCTTCGTGTACTATCGGGTAACGTGACAAATCTTTTGATATTTTTAAAACGATTTATTTCATATGTAATGTTATCATTAATTCATCATAAGTTAAAGTTTTGTACGATATGATATGATATATGATATTTGCTTCTGTTAGGACATCGTTGGTCCCTTCTTCACATGCTATATTGTTTTTCATGTCTATGGCCAACTAGCACGTATAATAAATATTTTTTAGACAACCCGATGATCACCACAATTTGTTTTTTTTTTGTTGAACTTCTTGTTAACCAAATATAAAATGTTATAACGATGCATACGATAATGTCATGAGATTATATGAAAAAAATACGTGCTACTAGTGAAAAAACAAAGAATATATACGTGCCACTAGGTGATCAATATGTGATAATCTAGTTGAATTGACTTATCACTCGTAATTTGATAAAAGTTGCAAACCGAACATCCGGAGTAAATTTCGCATTATCATTAAAGTCAACCCCGACAAGTTAATAAGAATTGTATGGTGCCAATGTGCCATTTTGTACTTTTGTACTGTTTGATTAGAGATCACAAAAAATAAACAAAGGCCGAAGTAAAGTCCATCAAAATCATTTTGAACTAGTGGAAGAGATATTTATCTAATGATCAGTAAATCAGTCATAAAGCAATTATACGTATATATATGTCAAAACATAAGAACTTTTTTTTTGACATGATATATGCCAACTAGACTTATAACAACTGCTTATAATTTTGGAATCCAATAATCAGACACACGTAAGTAGAATTTATATTTGCAAGTGAAACTTTATATAAAAAAAAAGCTTTAATACTAGTATATACTATTTGATTGCTTTTATCATACAACAAAAACCGTTATCCCGACAACATATACGAAAAGTCAAAGTCAGCCTTACGGAAACTCTAGATAAAAGAGAGGGTTTTAAAAAGTCTTCTTCGACGTGTCTTCACCAGTTACAATTAAACACGTGTCATAAGCTTACTTTCTCCACCATTGTACGTTCTTGAGTTTCTTCGTCTTCGATCTCTCCACCAACTCTGCAACGATCAACGAAACCAAAAAAACAAAGAAAAATCTCTCTTCAAAGCTTCCGCCATGGTTCTCCAATCACTAAATCTCTGCACGATACTACTCTTCCTAGCGATTGCATCACAAGTTTCTCAATCTCTCCACTTCGAATTGCATTCGGGTCGAACAAAATGTATATCAGAAGACATCAAAAGCAATTCAATGACCGTCGGGAAATACACCGTCGTTAACCCTAACGAAGCTCACCCTTCTCCTCCATCTCACAAGATCTCTATCAGAGTACTCTCTCAAAAATCCGAATTTCTGAATTTTGAAGTTTTTGTTTTTTTTTCTGTTGATTTGAAACGTGAATTTACACAGGTGACATCGAGTTACGGGAACACGTATCATCACGCGGAAGATGTTGAATCGGGACAATTCGCGTTCACGACGGTGGAGGCTGGGGATTATATGGCATGTTTCACTGCTGTTGATCATAAACCTGAGGTTACATTGAGTATTGATTTCGATTGGAGAACTGGTGTTCAATCTAAGAGTTGGAGTAGTGTAGCTAAGAAGAGCCAAGTCGAAGTGAGTTTTAATGCTTTGAATTTGATTCATCATATTGTCTGATCAATTAGATTTAGTTCTTTGGGATTTGTTGTAGAGCCTCAGAAACCAAATGAATAGGGAAAGGTTTGCTTTTGATCGATAAGTCCGGTTTTAAGACTAGCTTTTGTGTTATTCTTATGCTTATATGTTGTGTTTGTTTGTACCAAGGTTAAGGAGTAGTGTGACTAAGAAGAGCTTGGATGTTTTACATCATATTGTTGGCAAAAACTCATAGTCTTGTGTGAGTTTGGTAGTTGCTCAATTAGAGAAAGAAATGTTAAAGGTTACTTCTTTGGGATTTGTTGTACAAAGAGTCTCAGATACAAATGAATTGGGAAAGATTTTTGTTGAGATTGATAACTCTGGTAGCTTTTGTGTTTGATGTTATTATTATCTCCATGCTTTTTTTGAGGATTGAACTACATTCTTATGCTTCTGTGTTGTGTTTGTTTGTATAAAGGTTATGGAGTTTGATGTAAAAAGACTGATTGAAACCGTCAACTCGATTCATGAAGAGATGTTTTATCTCAGAGAAAGGTAAAGAAAGTTTGATTTTTTAGTCTTTCCGTTGGTTCTTCTATAGGCTCTCCAGTATCCAACTTTTTATTCCTTGATACATGTGGGCTTGTAATGTTTGTGATGAGTTTTGTCTTCCTCAGGGAAGAAGAGATGCAAAATCTGAACCGGGCTACAAACTCGAAAATGGCGTGGTTGGGTTTCCTCTCTCTTTTCGTATGCTTAGGAGTCGCGGGAATGCAGTTTGTGCATTTGAAGACGTTTTTTGAGAAGAAGAAAGTCATCTAAGATGGTTAGATGAAACAATCCCACTCTTTTCTTTTCCCAACTCACGGAATCTTCTATTCCCCCTGAGTTTTGTACATTTAGATCTTTGCCTTTGAATATGTAATCTCGGAACTGGAAATTAAATGAATCTGAAAGTATTGCTTGCCCTTTTTGCAGTTTTCTGTCAGCAGAAAGCACACTGAGAATTTAGTTTATAGATTTAAACTTTAAAAAACATGGCATAGGCTTAGTCACACAGTATACTAGTTTTTTTATTTATTCAAGCAAACTAAGCTTAAGAATCTGCATGTTTGATTCAAGCAAAATAAGGAAGAAACAAAGCAGGAAATGAAGCTAAAAAACCTGAGATCCATTGTTTTAAGCTTGTTTTTTTTATCGACATGCAACAATTGGCGGCGATGACTCCTCTTAAATTGTGTAATACCCTCAAAAGGCAAAAATACATCACCATGCAAGAATGCATTAGTGAGCACTAGAGATGGCCAATATACCACATTAGGTTAAGGCTTTATCTCATTTCAGTTCTTGGCGTGCGGACACTATTCATTGCGATGTCAATCGAGTTGGCTTTTGAAATTTCTAGAAGCGATCCACGAGATGGCAGGCACCAAAATCATACATGCTAGAGGTTGTCTTCTATGGCTGGCTTCCTTGATCAAATCGGAAAAGTCGGATTGCAGGTGAGCGTTGTCTGCTCTTTTCTCTGCTATTCCGAGTTTGTGTCTGGTTGTTTGACCTCTATCAGGTTGTGAACTTACTCTCATTGGTCTTTCCCTTGGAATAAAAGTTTTAATAAGAGTCACAAGAAAGAAGAAGACTAAGACATGTAACTCCAACTGAAACAGAGTTGTTGACTATACAAGAAGAAGAATGAAGATTCTCACTGAAAAAGAAAGGCATAACTCATAGCCATTTCAATTTTTTAGTGAAGCGTGCCCGACGTGACGTGCTTCTTACCCGAATCAGAACTGTGTGGTTTTGTCTTTTATGTTCAAATGTTAGAACATTTTGGGAAAGAAAGGTTCAGAGAGTGGTTGATTTGAGGGTGTGTTTGAGAGCTGGTGAAATCGTGTATTGTTAGTAACCAAGTGTATATATCAAGCTTTATCATCCCTAAGACCCTAACCTTCACAGATCTCTAAGAATATTTTTGTAACAATATGAATTCAATCGATATTGTGGTTGTTCAACAAATATTCAGCCTAGCTCGTCTACCTCTTCATCATCTTAGCGTCCTTGTTTGCCAAAACATGCGAAGAAGAGGATGCAAAATTCAATCTCTGAATTTGCATAACTCACATTTCAATCTCAGACACAATCAAGAGATGAAAATCTTTAACTAGATAATGGAGCCCAAATTGAAGAAGACATTACAAATTCTCAAAATGTTCACAACACAAAAGTAGTTAGTTGTAACATTTTCTTGAACTCTTAAACAAGACTCAGATGTGTAGACATCTAGTCAACAAGCTGACAACTCTATAGGCATGGAGCGAATGAGAGAATGTGTTGAGACACACCTCCACAAGCTGCTTCTCTGGAAACAGTCTCAAGCAGAGTTTAATTTGGTGAAGAACTTAAGTACCGGACTTGCTTCTTCCTCCGAAATGAGTTCCAACACAAAGGACTCGTCTATCTTCACGCCTTGAGCTTCACAGAACTCTCTCCAGCCTTTGCCAAATCTCATTGTTCCGCTTATTTTATCCTGATAGAGATCCACCACCCGTTTTACTCCATCTTGACCCAGCAGAGTTATCTTCCTTGGTTTGTTGATGCCATTCACCTGCGTGAAACCGAGCGGAAGATACTGCGAAAAAATTTGATTATGAGGCAAAATAATATACTAATAGACAACCTTGAGGCATAGTTGTTAACGAAGCTTACCAGTTTATAGGTTTCAAATGCGGACCGTGTAAGAGTTAATGTCACAAATCGGTTTTGAGTGTATGATGATGAAGCTCTATAACTTGAGAAGTACTTTCTTTTCTTGATCTCCAAGCAATCCTGCGAGATGTTCTTGTCTTCCATACTCTCCTCTTCACTTTCTTCGGATTTGCTACTGTCATCTCCACTGCTAGGATTTGAGGAGAGGGACTTTACATCATCACTACCTTCTGGACACTCTAATGGAGTTTTTTCACGGCTGGATTCTGAAGGGCACAAAGAAAGAACAGGCTTTTCCTCGGTTCCAACCTGTTTGAACTTGAAGGAATCTCCAGGTTTTAATCCGTTGCCTTGGCAGAAACTGGCCCAGCCTCGTTTGATAATAGTAAAGCAGTGTGATTTGTAGTGTTTCAAGACTAAATTCCATTGTCTTCCCCATTCATTCTTTAAAACTATCTTCTTGCATCCTTTGTACAGACCATTTGAGCTCACAAAACTCTTCCCTAAATACTGCAAAACGACACATCATGTACACGAGTTAGACACTTTTCGTATATCAATATACAAATCAAGAAAATGTTCCAATGATCCTTTTGTAAGCAAGTAGTGTGTGATTTTAAGATAGAGGAATAAACCAAAGTTTTGTAATCACCAGCTTATCTTTGTTTATGCTTGAAGCAGTGACAGATCCCACAAGATAGGAACCGTGCGATGAAGATTCTGATTTTGGTCTATGTTCTGCAAGGTACAAACGCATGACAGGTGGTTCATGTTTTTGGACCAGTTTGAATGTAAATTGTTGATCTTGACTCATCCCATTTGCATCACAAAATCTTTTCCAACCAGGTCTGACATAAGTCTGCATGCCTGCTTTGTTGTATTTCAAAGTTAACTTCCATGACCTTCCTTCTTCGTTAATAAGAACAATCGTCTGACCGCTCATTTTGTCTAGACCGTTTGACCTCGCGAAACTTAGTGGTAAATACTGCAAAATACAATCACAGACAAATTTAAACCAATATAAGAGACTTTTTGCTTAAAATGTGGAATCTAATCTTACCAGTCGATCACAGTTTAGGCTTGAAGCTGTGACATTTGTCACAAAACTAGAATGGTCCAATGAAGACCCTGCTTTCTTTATTGGATTTTCCTTCACTCTCTTCTTTCTTGAACTGTTTCCTGTAAATTAAAAACAATCAAAATTCTCAGTTTTGTATCTTTTCTACAGAATTTGAGTTCATTTAATAGAGAAAAAGTTTACCAATGTTGGTCTGATCATCATCAATGTTTTCTGCAGAGGCTCTGCATCTTGACCAATACTTCCTTTTCTTTACCTCCAAGCAACCTTGTGAGCTTTCCTTTTCTTCATTACCCTCCTCTTCACTTTCTTCGGATTTGTTACCTTCTGAACACTCTAATGGAGTTTTGTGATGGTTGGATTCTGTAGGGCACAAAGAAAGAACAGGTTTCTTCCATGTTCCAACCAGTTTAAACTTGTAGGAATCTCCAGCTTTGATCCTGTTTACTTGACAGAAACTAGTCCAGCCTTTTGTAAGATAAGTGACTGTTTTGTAATGTTTCAAAACTGAAGGCCATTTTATTCCCTGTTCATTCTTTAAAACTATCTCACTGCTTCTTTTCTCCAGACCATTTGAGCTCACAAAGTTCCTTGGAACATACTGCAAAACCGCCACATTAAAACACACTTTGCATATCAATAAACAAATCAAGGAAAAACACTTCTAAGTTCCATTGATCCTTCTTTAAGCAGTGAGTGTAATGAAACTATAGTGTGAGTTAAGAATAGTTGCATAAAAACCAAAGTTTGTATTCACCTGTTGATTATTTCTTAGGCTTGAAAGACTGACAGATCCCTCAAAACAAGAATGGTCTGATGAAGATTCTGCAACTGATCTTTGTTTTGGTTTAGCTTTTGCGTGGCACAAACGGATGACAGGTGGTGCCGATTTTCGGACAAGTTTGAATGTATATTGGCCTTGCCTAATCCCATTTGCAGCGCAGAAACTTCTCCAACCGGATTGGATATAAGTATGCATGCCTGATTTGTCGTGTTTCAAATCTAACCTCCATGATCTTCCTGCTTCGTTGTAAAGATAGATTTTCTTACTGTTGACTTTGTTCAGACCGTTTAACCTCGCAAAACTTAGTGGTATATACTGCAAAATCCCATCACAGGGTTAGGTTAATGTCTCAAAGCCTAAGAAAGAGATTTTTCCTTAAAGAGTAGGAATCTAATCTAACCAGTCGATCATTGCGTAGGCCCCAAGCTGAGACTTTTGCCACAAAACGAGAATGGTCTAAAGAAGACTCTACTTTCTTTCTTGGATTCTTCTTCACTCTTTCACTGTTTCTTGAAGCTAAAACAAAAAAATCAAGAATCTCAGTTTTGCTTATTTTCTAGAGAGTTTAAGTACATTTCATAGAACAAAAGTTTACCAATGTTGGTCTGATCATTACGATCATCATCATTGATGTTGTGAGATGATGTGTAATATTGAATCTCACAACAACTTGGTCCTAAAGCTGTGACATGAAACACCATTTCTCCTTCATGTCTGAAAACGACAATGTCACCAATTTGGAGATCATGTGCAAAGGCAAAATCTTCCCACCCGTCGGTTAAATTCAAACCGTCCATCTTCACTAACCAACTTTTCTCTGACGCGTCTGATCTCAGTTTCGCAGTCTTGTTTTGATCGTTTTTTCCTTCAACATGCTTCTTAAAGAAAGTAACAGGAATGTTCTGCAACAAACATGCAAACAAAAACTAAACAAATGAACTATGTTTAGCAATAACATGCTCTGAGATATAAGAAAACAGAACAGAACAGAGTACGAGGTGAGTGCGAAAGTCTTCAAGAAGAGGCTTGAAGAAATGTGGTTTGATCGGAGAGTGTAGAAGAGATTGATCTGCCATTGTTGAACACCTCAAGAGAGAAAATCTCAATACAGGTGAGAAGAACTTTATGAGAGATGTTTCATAATTTAAAGACCTTCACGTTTGTCTTCTTCTTCTACGTCTTGAATCTCTCGAGGTGGACATTGATGATGGTGAATAGTTTTGATTTAATGTTTCTGATTACTTTTCTATTTTTTTTCACTTTTTTACAGAAACTTTATCGTGTCAAAATCTAAAGCCAGATTTTCGACCTCTCCTATCACCATTTCTATCCAATAAAGTTATCTTTCCTCTGCTTTAGAGCCGTTGATCTTCGTGAAGAATCTTAGCACAAGAATCAAAATGATGACACAAGAAGACCAAGTTTAAAACTTTTTTTGAAATTGTAAGGTGTGACTTGTGACAGTTATTGACACGAATGGGTTTATATGCCTTGGAGATAAAGCTATCCATCTTATAAGTTGGAACTTTGAAGTTTATATAATTAAGAAAAAGTCTCTTATAGTCTTGGAGATAAAGCTATCCATCTTATGCTTTTTTTATCTTACAGCCGTTCATATTTTACTCGTTTCGATAGCCGACCATTTAAAAGTTTAACCTAAAATTATAACTAAAATCCCAAGTCTGAACTAAACTAGAGTTTTCTACGTCTAAAGATCTACTAGTAGCTCTCTAAAAATGGTAATGCAATGTGTATATTTCACCTAAATTCAATGTATAATAATCTTTTTGCAAGTAAACCTCTTCAATTATCATTTGACACACTGAGATGGGTCCCTTACTCACATGGTCACATGCGAGTTATTTACTTAATCTGTTGGTTTTACTGTTAATATCTAACCTAAACTTCTTTCCTCTCTATGCTCTGTTTCTTGGAAATTCCTTCATATTAAAGAACCTTTAGAGATACTACGATAGGGGTTTACTCTTATGGATCAATCGATTTCTTAAATGCTAGATAAATAGATAGCTCCATTCTTTAGTCATGACACATCACACTCACATCTCTTCTTGTTTCTTTCTTTCAAAAGTTTTCTGTTCAATTTAATGGCGGCTTGTTGTGTCTTCCTCGGATCGATTCTCTTGGCCATAATCCTCCTGATCTTCTTCTACCCACCGGGTTTACCTAAGGTCAGTCTCTCTTCCCTCACCGTGACGAAGTTCAACTCCACCGGAGATCATATTTCCGGCTACTTGAATATGCAGTTTCAAGTCCTAAACCCAAACTTGGTGACTGATTTCTTCTACCACGACGTTAACTGCTCAGTTTACCATGACAAGGACCATCTGGCCTCGACCATGTCCCCGGGCTTTGTTCATCCAGCAAGAGAGACAAGACAGATCAGTGTCACCGTCCATCTCACGCCTGGAACTACTGCCAGAGGAATCGGCGATGACTTGGCCACTTATGATTTTACAGAGTTCGATGTGAAGCTGACTATCCTTGTAAAATCGCTATTTCGGTCGTCCGAGTTCGTTGAAGTTTCATGCGATGACGTGACAGTGGGTCTCCTGCCTACGATTGGTGGTCACGGCAAGATGATTGGTCCGGCAAGGATCTGTCAGGTGTCCTGATTTCTTAACCAAAGAGTATATATCTTTGTCCTAATTTCTCAACCAAGTACAGATCTTTGACTACGAGCATGTAAAGACTTGGGAAATCTTAATTATGAAATGTTAAAGTGTTGCCACTTCAATACACACATCGTACTTGAAATACAAGTAAACACTTGGGCCATTACAAAGGAATCAACCATCATATATACACACAATCACGATGAATTATGTTTTTTTGAGTATATTAATGAGAAAGCTTGTATGAGATGATCAAAATGATGGCGAGAATGAGAGCCACAATTACCGAAGTAACAATCCACTTGTTCCTTGTCATTCTTCTTGACATAGCCGTCAACACCTTCTTGCTCTTGTCAATGGCGTCATCCACACCATGAAGCTGTGGCCCAAAATCAGAAAAGTTAGCTTCTCAATGATCAAATTCAAGCAAATCATTGTCACTGATAGATACCAAAAGCAACCCGAGTAATTGTGGTACCTTGTTGTGCGCATGAAGGAGGGTTTGTCGTTGCTGACTCAAATCTTGGACAATTGAGATGCCAACCTCTTCTGTCTCCAGCATTAGTCTTCTACTCTCCCTGATTCGGTCGCTGGATTGGTCAAGCCTCTCCACTGACATTGCCAATCTTCCTCTTTGATCAGCAGATACCTGAAACAAGGACAATAATGTATATCGCAAAAATGTCTCTGCCATCTAAACGTTTGTGCAAAGATGAATATAAAGAAGGGTCCCTCAGGACACAAGCTTAACTGATGCGAGTTAATTAAGACAACTAAAATAATGAGAAAGCTAGAGTTTCTATTTGAGTTAGGAGCTTACTGCATGCAGATCCGCCATCCCGGATTCCATCAATTCTTCACGGGAAGACTGCTTAGCATCTGCAGAAGAGACTCGTTTGAATTCCTTCTTCAATTGGTTTAGATCAGATTTATACTCTCTTAGTTTAGAAAGACACACAGCTTTAGCACTCGGCTGCAAACTTCTAGCCTCAAGATCCATTTTCCGGATCTAAAAAAAAAAACAGAAGCATACACTGAATATAGAAAAAAGAAGAAGAACAGAACGGTATAAATATCAAGCAAGTTAAATACAAATACCAAGACATCAGCTTCGTCTATTCCAGATTTTATCTCAGCAATCTTCCCCTTCTTATCTTCTGCAAACAGCACATAACAACTAATCAAACCTTAACTCTGGTTTCATGGCTCCACAATATGTAACAAATTAGAACATATCTATGGGACTATATAACAAAGACAGTGATCGACATAGACTGATAAACAAATGAACAACAAACTTAATAAACCTTTACAACTACATAAATAGGTTTTCATCTTTAGTCTTCAACAATGACTTAATCCCTTAACAAAACTAATTATCCAATCCAAGCAACAACATTCCCAGATTCTACTGAACTCCTAAGATCGAAAAAAAGCTAAAACAATTAGTAAAGAACACTTAAAGGTATACTATGCAAAAACAACAATGATTGAGAAACAACTACATAAATCTATGCAGCTACATAACTATCTAGAGCTAACTAGGTTTTCATCTTCAGCAAAACTATTTATCTAATCCAAGCAAGCAATGAGATTAGATCCTATGTCTCAACATTCCCAAATGTTACAAAACTCGTCAGATCCTAAACAAGTCAGAACGATTAGTAAAGAACACTCATCTACGAGCTACTTGTCACAACTCAAAAGCTCCAATAACCCCCAAATTCGACGAAAATATTCGACTTTCTAAAATCAGGTAAATTCAAAGATCTCGCGTTCAAGATCCGAAATCGAGAGCATCTGGATTTTACCTCCGTCGGAGAGAACCGATGCAGAGTGACATTTTCTGGAGAGATTGGTTGAGAGCTCGCAGTATTGGCGCTCGTACCCTTCAAATACGTCGCTCATCTTCAATTCAATGTTTCGATCTCAAAAATTCGAACTGATCAAAAAAATCTGGTGGAATTTTCGATTTGGATCGGATCGGATCTAGAAGCAAACAGTTTCCTCTTTGCTTAAAGAAAATCAAACAACTCTTCTTCTTCCTTAGATTTTTCTCTGCTCGGGGAACAAGAAGGAACAAACAATCAAAGCGGTGCGTTTTATCTGGCACGTGTCAGCTACTGTGTATTACCGAACCAAACCGTTGATTTTCATTTAATCGTCTGACCGAACCGTTCATTTAGATTGAAAGCTGTGTGGGACTCTCTTTCCATAGTCTCATGGAAACATTTACACTGCCTAGCTAGAGACCTCAGAGGCTAAGAGAGTCCCTATTGAGTAAAAATGGGGGTAACAAGCAGAGATTCTCAAACTATATTAGCCAAGTGAAGAGAACCAACAGATAGTATTAGAAATTCCACGAGGGCTTGTTTGTGTACATCCACATTCATCTACTCAGTCATTTTATTCTACAAGGTATGATAAACAGGAAAACTTGGGGATCTTATAGCTCATTCTTGACCTTTGCATCCCCATTTGGTAACACACTTTGCGATTGCGCCAGCCGTTTCGCTTCCTGAATTTGACGAAAACTATTTAATCACCTTGACTTAATGAAGATGTACAGACTAGAGAAGTTAACAACTTACAGCGGCAGAACTAGCACGGATTTCTCTATACATATCGACTTCATCAGGAAAAGTCTGTTCAAGCTCTTCCAGAATATGTTTTCTCAAATCCTATAATAAAAAAATGTTGATTAAGAGAGTCACCTCAACAACCATACTCAAATAAAGAATCAGTAGAAAAGGAGTCACCTTAAAAGCATCAGTCTTGCCCTTTGTAACTTGATTTCTAGCTATGCAGCTATTAAGAACATCTTTCGTAAACTCATCCGGGTTTTTCCCATCATCAATCAAGCTAAACCAAAACGCAAACATAAGAAAGCAAGTAAAAGTTCTATCATCAAGTGCGTTCTAAGAAACAAAAAGGCCTAGCTCTCACTTAAGAACTTCCATGGGGACTTGAATGTTGCATTTCTCAGACAACTTAGTCATGTTATCAAGCTCCATCACAAGAGAGTTACTGCAAATAGACAAACATTCATTCAAACAATGATCTTTGGAACAAACACTGATGAGTAGAAAAGAGGAGTTAATTACAGGCGCTGGAGGAGATGGAGCTGAGACGCGGGTGTGAAAGAAGTGACGGTAAGGTGTAACTGATGAAGGACTCCCAAAGTTTTCTCAATAGAGTTTATGACTTGGCTCAGATTCTCCTTTGAATCATCAGCAACAGTTGAAGTCCCATCATTGGTTTGATATCTAATTGTACCATTGCTCCCACTCCCACCAATCCCTGCACTTGTGTTCTGTGCTGGATCCATCACAAGCTGACACAAATATAAACTCTTGTATCAATCTTTGATCTGACAACTAGAAACGCAAGTTTCGATCTCAACGATTAAAACGTAAATTCGTAGGAAAGCCTTTAAGAGTTCCTACATTTTTGATCAATTGGAGTGGATTTTGTTCTTAAATTTCCAAATTTTTATGAAATTACACAAAAAAGGGAATCAAAATAGAGATGCCTAGATCAAGAAGCATAACATTAACAAGAACCATTAGCGTCGAATCAAGATCCGTAATTACCTACAACAGAGATGGGTTTGGCGAGAGAGAGGTAGAGATGCTCCGGACGAATTAGGTTTTCCTCCGACCCTAACCGTGAAAAAGGACCGACGAAGCCAGGGAAAGGAAGTGGAAGATATTTGGACACTTTTGATGACGTGGAATATTATCTTGTCTCTGTTTCGTTCGTACTTTTACTTTATTCTTGATTAGGTGTATTAATGATCTTCTAACATCTGATTATTAATACTTAAAATAGAAATGGCAGATTTAACAGAGTGATTCATCCAACACAACAGGCATTCTCTAAAGTTTGATCTGTTTAATCGATTTGTTTGTCTAACACGAACAGTTTGGTCCATAACACGAACAGTTTGGTCCATTCCAGAGAAAGAGTTAGTAGTATTACACTAAGTAAGTTAATTCTCTTTTTTCTACGACAAAAGCTTTAAGAACTCAAAACAATAAGCAAAACAAATGGAGAAGATAAGACTGCAAGAGAAAATCCTCAGTTTTCCAATAGAGAGTGTACTACAGCGCACGTTGCCGGGATGATGACGGATTCTCTTCAGGAAGATTGAGTAATTGCTGAATCTGGTAATGAGCCTGCAAAGGTAATTAACTTAATCACTACCCGATGACACTTTACATCTAATGCAGAGTTACTATACATAGTGATTTTCTAGTCTAATACAACCTCATCAGACAAATGAATGACTACTTTCACAAAGCAATATAATAAGAACTTGAACTTACCAGTTTGATGCGCCCTTTGATCTGCGTAATAACACCAGTATACTCTTCTAATTGTCTGTTAACACAAAAACCACCATTTATGTAGCATCAATATTCAGTCACTATAATGCATTCCATCGGAGAATCATTCATCATATACAATGATACAACCATGTTTTCCTTGGAATCATCCAGAAGCAAACAGCAATGTCAGGCAACAATTAGAATTTTGACAGCTTTGAGAAAAGTAGCATGTGAAGCAAGAAAAGCAAAGATTTATCTTACTTTTTAGTTCTTTCCTCCCTTTGTGCAATATAGTCAAGAGCTTCATGCCGAGTGAACTCCACATAAAATCCGAGGCCTACATCCATGAATATGTGCCGAGTATCTGGCCTGAACTCAAATACAGACACCCAAATCAGGTGTACACGAAGTCAGAAGCAAATCTGGTAGAAATCATCTCCAATTTTAATCCGCAGTTATAAGTGACTTACACTTCAGCTTGCATGTAAACTTCAGAACCAAGGTTGACCATTGTTTTGAGACTATTCACAGCATTTTTCTCCAGAGTTTCTAGGTTTTTCCGCAAGTCAGAGCTAGAGTGGGAGTAACCGTTAAGGAAACAAGAATATTCCAACCGAATCAGAGTTCACTAGAACAGCAAAGCATTGTCAACAACTACACCAAGAAGAGTTCCTCTGGATTTCAGAAACACAAAACTAAGTCAAAAACTGACTGGTATATGAATCCGTCATCATTGATGGGGCTAAGACATGGGAGAAACTAACAAAACATTAAGGATCAGCTTCCCAAGATGCACATCTCGAGAAGCTAGAGTCTTCCCTATACAAAAGGATACAGTACTTTTTGTTCTTCAAAGATCTTGTCCCTGCAAAACCAACAAATGAAGAGACCACAATGAATAAACCTTAAATAGCATGCAAAACAAACAAACAAACCTAATCCTACATACACTTTATATTTTGATCTGAAAAGAAAGTTAATATAAATACCGTGAAGCAGTTGCATGTACAAGCTTCTGTTTTAAACCTTTATCAATAATCTCCTCCAACAACTGCAAGTCCTTTTGACGTCCCTCTTCCATTACTGCAACGGGACCAAAACATATCAAGCTTAAGCTCTAACCATCACCTCGCTTATTTGATGGACTTAGTCGAAAATAAGTTTCCAGAATCTTGAGTTGTTCATTTCAAAATCTAGAGTCACCTAAAAATCAATATCTTCATACAAGCTACAAGAGCGTCGAAACCATAGAGAAATTGCATCAAACTAATATGTAGAAGCATTTCATCGAACAGGTGGTGAACATCCCCAAGAGAGAACAAAAATCACGCTATTATACTTGAAATCTGAAAATCAAACTGGTTTCCAGACGAATACATTCAACTACATAGAAACCCAACTCGATAAACGAGAAGGAATCTGAAAACCCCAAAATTAGAGATACAGAAAACAGCAAAGGTCCGAGAGGATTTCACTCACGAGTAAGGTGATGAAATACTTCTAGACACGTCAAGCCCGAACGACGGTGATGCTTGTAGTGACAGCGATGTTACGGTGGTTGTGACGGCGAGTGGCGACGTCGCGACGGTGACGGAGACGAAGAAGAATAATAGTTTGGTGGTTTTACAATTTGACCGCTCGAGGGCCAGATTATTTAAACCATGTAAACCGGTTTGCGATTACTTTTGGTTTTAATTTCAAGTCCTTTGAAATATAGTTAACTTGCATAAAAGCCCACCTACTTATTAAACTTACTAATTTACGCCCAAGATTTTCAAGACACAATCAAACTGGCAATAACAAACAGTAGCAGAAGTGCAGAACTAGGAACGAACTTGGGATGCTATAATCTTCAGAAAAATGTAAATACAGAAACCATATAACCAAAACATTAAAGATGCATCAAGTTTTTAAGTGAAACAAATAATGTTGAATAAACCCCATTTAATATACAACTTCTTCTTCAGCTAATACGCTTCCATGTCCATTCACCGAGTTTAATCCGCACAACACAACCATTACTCAGCATCCACAACCGCAACCGTTTCCATGATTGGTTGAGTTTCACCTCTAGAAGATTCCATACTATAATAAACTCGACAGCTAAAATAGAACACTGCACTCATCATTGAATCTATAAGTGTCACAAAGGAATACATCAACACCAAAAGAGGTCCTTCCCATAACCTCGAAGACCCATCTCCATAACTCACTTTCTTCACTCTATGATCAAACAATCCTTCCACAAATGCCAATCCTAACGTCGACCCAAGGAACATCAACAAACCAACCTGAATCTGCCCTTTGATCAAATCACTAGCTCTCATCAATGCTCCTAACCCTGAAACATCTTCCAAAACCGAGATCACAATCGCGGTGTTGCAGATTATAATGGCGTTGGCGAAAACTACAGAGAATGCTAAACCAACTAACATGGCTCCATAAACATTGAAATCTGGAGAGAAGCCGAGAACAGAGAATGAACTGCAGATTGCTACAAGAAGGACACAGAAGAAAGTGAAGCAACCAACAATCAGAATACAAATCCAAAGGTAAGTGAACACAACTCTTCTCCATATCTTCTGCAATGTAACCAAGAACTTGCTAATATCAACTACTTCCCTCGAGTAAGTGCAATCCACTGAGTAAACCACAGCTGCTTTAGACAATAGAGACACAGTGATGAACAAAGGGAAACACATTGCAGATGAAACAGCAGTTTCAGCGAATTTCTGACAAGAGTGTTTGACAAAAGGCTGCAAAGGAAGACCACTTGACTTTGCCACTAAAAGAAGCTTCACAGTGAGTTTATTCACTAATGATTGATCAACTAAAAAGTTTGGTAAGAGTAAAGCAGATACAGGACAGATCAAAACAGCAGTAGTTATCATTAAAGCACCAAGATTGTACCGGAGGATTCGAACTGTTTCTCTTAAGATCTCTAATGCATTTGAAGAGTGAAATTGCTTGTGACTGTATGATTTTAGCTCCGGTTTCCGTAAAACCTGATTCGTTTCCGTCTCCATTTTTTCTGAGAGTGAAGTGGGTTTCAGCTGAGTTCAAAATTACATACCATAAATCTTGATTTTAGAAGCTGCCGAGATAGAAATCAAAGCAAAGACAAGAACTTTCAGATAACCCCAGAAATCAAATTGAGAAAAAAGAAGAATCTTGGAACGGATCTCGACGATGTTGTCTACGTTCCTACAAAATTTTGTTCAGAGATGATTTTTTAAAAGAAAAAAAAAATGAAAGATTTCCAATTTTGTCGGTGGCACAAGTGAACGTGCTTTTGTCGGAGGTAATCTTCTTCTCAATCGCGAACTTGAAGCTAAACCGCTAATTTAACTAAAAACTTAAAACACTAAACCGTAAATCCGGTTTGGAACTTGATCAGTTTAGTTAGGCCCAATAATAGGTTGTTACTAGATGGTTCTTAATGGGCTTCTTCCTTGGGAGAAAAAAAGAAGAAGAATATTTCTATGAAGAAAAAAAAAAAGAGAGAATCTTTTCGGTGAAAGGAAATGGCAAGATGGGTACGAGAACGATGAAGTTGAGTTAGAGCGGGAGTGACACACCGTTGACCACTAAAGACGAGAGCTTTAGAGAGACACAACAATGGAGCTGAATCTTTCTGAGAGTCGAAGCAGATCAATTCGTTGCATTGTGAAACTTGGTTTGTCTTTTGATCCCTATTCAAATCCTTGCAGGATCGATTCTTAGATCGCATTTTAGTTGTTCTGTCTTATGGGTTCGAAATGGATTTGATTTTTCAATTCCGACGATGAGGAAGGACTCCAAAGTTTTGATTTTGATTTATTTTCCAATTAATCGACATGTGTAGACCTGTAACAGCAAAGTGTCTAAATTATTTGATAGGAGGTGCGGCGATTACTTGCAAGAACGAGCTGGAGAAGATTCACGATGAGAATCTGGAGGTCGTGTCGTGTCAGTTACGTCAGGCTATGATGGAGGGTTCAGCTCCGAGCAAGGTTATTGGAATGGATTGGAGCAAGAGACCTGGAAGCTCTGAGATTTTTTGTGATTTGGATGACTTAGGGGATCAAGAGTCTTCTGATTTTAGCAAATTTGTTGTGGTTCATGGTGCAGGTTAGTTGGAGATTGATTCATCTCTGCTTAACTCTTATAATGAAGGATCAAAGCACATTTTTTATTTGTTCTTAAAGATTATTGACATGCTTGTGTTGTTGAGCTGTTATTTAGTTTTTGGGTTTATTATGTGTTGTTCTAATCTGTGTCATTAGGTTCCTTTGGGCACTTTCAGGCGAGCAGATCTGGAGTTCACAAAGGAGGACTTGAGAAACCTATTGTCAAAGCTGGTTTCGTTGCTACTCGTATATCTGTGAGACTGTTAGCTAAATCTGATGCTCTTACTTAAGCTATTCTTGAGCTGTTCTGATAGTTTCCACTTCTTTTTGCAGGTCACAAATCTTAATCTTGAAATTGTACGAGCACTTGCCCGAGGTACCTCTTAAGTTTATTCTCTTTTTCTCCTCTGGCTGAGAGGAAAAGAGGAATTTTGAAGCTAAACGTTATGCTTTCTTGCAGAGGGTATTCCTACAATCGGCATGTCTCCATTTTCATGTGGTTGGTCAACCTCCAAAAGAGATGTAAGAGCCAACTGAACTTCTTTTCTTTTTTCCCTTTCCATATCTCCTGATCAGAAGCATGAAGGTTCAGATTCTAATGAGACTTCTTTTTGCATTAGGTGGCTTTTGCGGATCTATCAACCGTAGCTAAAACAATAGACTCAGGATTTGTCCCTGTAAGTTTTGAATCCCACCAGTGGCATTAGGTAGATGTTTCCCAAAGTCTCTTGACAGTAATTTTTGTCCTGGCCAGGTTCTCCATGGAGATGCAGTGCTGGACAATATACTGGTAATATGCTCTCCTGGGATACCAAATAGCTCTCTAGATTCTTGTCCTTTTAGAATTTGAACAGTTGAAAAATCTTGTCCTGAACAGGGCTGCACCATATTGAGTGGTGATGTTATCATCCGTCATCTTGCAGATCATTTGAAGCCAGAATACGTTGTCTTTCTAGTATCCTCTCATATTATAAACCGCGAATTTAAGTTGTATTCTCTCCCCCTCTTTCCTATATATTCTTTGTTATCTGAGTAACTCTTTACAAAGACAGATGTACTAGGTGTCTACGATCGACCACCTTCAGAGCCTGACGCTGTGCTTTTGAAAGAGATTGGTTAGTTCCAAACTTTACTGTTTCTTTTTTAATCTCTATTTAAAGTCTTGGCCTAATCCTAACGGTTCATGCAGCTGTTGGAGAAGATGGAAGCTGGAAAGTTGTGAATCCATTGTTGGAGCACACAGACAAGAAAGGTAAAGAGAAAAAAAAAGCTAATATTGTAAATCTATGCAATGCAATAAGTCTGAGGTAGTTAAAACCTGTCTGAACTTTGGAATCAAACAGTTGATTACTCTGTTGCGGCCCACGATACAACCGGTGGAATGGAAACAAAGATATCAGAAGCTGCTATGATTGCAAAACTTGGAATCGATGTCTACATTGTGAAGGTAGATCAAAGACATTTTTTGCCTTTAACTATCTCTTAGATGAAAGATGGAGCTTTTAACCACCATTATGCTTTTTCTTTTTAATCTCTTAAACAGGCTGCGACAACTCATTCACAGAGAGCACTCAATGGTGATTTGAGAGATAGTGTTCCTGAAGAGTGGCTTGGTACTATCATCAGATTCTCAAAGTAGACAGACACACTAATTCCAGTTCCTCAACAAAGGAAGCATTGACTTCTTCTTGCTAATACTGTTTCAGTGTTTCTGCTTATTTACCAGACTTTGTGCGAGGACGATATCGTGTAATGTCAAAACCAGTTAAAATGTTGAATGTTATCAACCTGTGTAACTCATGTTTCCATAAGTAATCAATCACCTTTCTTACACTCACTGCTATTGTTAACTCTTGTCTCGTGCACACAGCAAGTGGCTTCTAACAAGATCCGTGAACATACATAACCACAAAACAAGTAATAGGGATTTAAGAATAACATCTCATAGGAAACTTTGAATGTTTCAACACAAACTTTTCAACAATCCAAAACCAATAGATATGGTTGTCTTGCAACAAGAAACACACACAAAGGGTCTAAATTAGGAAAAAGAAAAACATCTTTTTGTTCTTATAACATTGACGTCTGTTGACAAACTGGTAATAATATATCGAATGATACTTGTTTACTTGCCACCACCAACTTCCTTCACGGCACAGATCTGCTCCTCTCCCATGGCAGACATGACAGACACCACAACATCCTTACCCTCTTCGAATCCACTCCTCATCTGCATTTACAAAAATACCCACAATTGTTTTCAATATCACAATTCCAAATATGATTACAAGACATTTGCGTATGTGAGTATATGAAAAGACAAGAAAATAACCTGGGTGGTGAGAGCATCATCGTTGGGAAGCTTGAGATCATCCTTAGTGCCACCACTGTCAGTCAAAAGGCTCACCTGTAATGCAAACAAGTAAAAAAAGTTATGGCAAGGGTAGATAAACAAAGCTGGAGTGATGAGGAAAGTGAGTACAAAGAAAGACATACAAAGCCATCCTCAGTGATATCAATCAACTGGTAATCAACACGGTTCACATGTGGAACCTGACGAAAAAGAAACAACAATCCTTGAATCAGATCACACATCTCATCAGATACAATAAATTGAATCTAGATAGTTTATGCGGTAACTTACATCACAATTGTGGGAAGATGGAACAATATCTTCAAGCTTCTTACCATTGAAGATATCAATGGCAACAAAGTGACATTTGGCGTGACCGTGCTTGCCAGTTTTTGAAGTCGAAACTTCAACAACCTATCAATCGACAAAAGGCCAACGAAATCAATACCAAATCAAAGCTACCTTTTCCGTGACTATTAGATCAAATCAATCACTCCATTTTTTTTATCATCATTTCGCAAAATTTCATGAATCTACAGAATCATCATCATCTAATGAGCGATCTACAAACCTAAACAGAACCAGATCAAAAACCAATGATAGAACAAAATCAAGGAGCTACTATACAGAGACGAAGATCTAGAATCAGGAAAACGAGATCGATAACGATCTTTAACGAGGAAATAGAAATCAAACCTTGCAGGGACGACCTTTGATGACGATGTGACCACCTTTACGGATGTTACCGGCTTGTTGAGGATAGGTCTTGGAAGCTCCAGAATCGCTGGACTCGAAGTGGTGTTCTTCGTCAGACATGATTTCACCAGAAATTGGGAGAAGAACAAAGGTTTCGATGAAGAAGAAGATGAGATTGAGAGGAAGGAAAAAAAAAACCTAATAAGAGAGAAGAGAGAGCAAAAGTGATGTCAATTTTTTTATATAGGAGGGGAGGAGGAGACCTTTCTAGGGTTACTGTATTATTATCCTATTTCTCAGCCGTTAGATTAGAATCTCTCAACGGTTTAGATTTTATCCAGATTTATCCTTTCTCTCTGTTGTATCTCTCGCGTGCATTCCACGCGGCCCCACTTTAGCTTGCGGCGTCTAATTCCTCATTTTTTTTCCTTTTTTTTTTTAATTAAAAAATTAATAGAGCTTTTCTTTTACACTAAAGGCCAGATTTAATTTAACATAAAGGTTAGTATTAGACTTTTCAGAATACAACATAATTTCTTTTGTGTTTAAGAAAATCTACTTGCTAATTTGTTTTATAGAGAAGCTTGTTGGAGTGAAGAAAATGAAAAGAATGAAGTAGTGAGGAAAAAGAAAATTCACTTTCTCTTTTAGCTTTTTGATAATTGTAACTTGATGTAACAATCAAGAGATCTTCAGTTTTGGTTATAGGCCAAAGAGGTGATGCTATTTTGGGTATTTGGGAAGCTGAATCAAAGAGACAAAAGAGTGTCTTCTTCTACTTTGAACATCTCATACTCTATAATATAACCTTCATTGTCACCACTGACCAAAGCTCCATTTGTACTGTGTGTGGCAAGAACATGAAGTATATGCATGATAAAGTCCTCTGTCTCTGGACTTTGGATGACATTGGAATGTGCATCTTCCCAAACGTGATATGTAGAGAGAGAGGGAGAGAAAAAAGAGTGACAAGTTACCATATGATCAAATCATGACTTACTTAATGTCACTTGAGCGTGATGTATTGGAAAAAAACTAAAGTTACTCGCCCAAATACGATCCAACTGCATGTCCTGCCCAAGAGCAGCATTAAACATCATCATAGATGTAACTACTGCCTACTGGCCACATTACCTTTGCAATAATGAAAGGAAGTGATACAACTAATTGGCACATCAACTTGTGATGCATAAGATCGAAAAGGTTTCTCTAAGTAACACAAATTATATATGTGCATTGCTGTTTCGATGCATATACTAACTAATTCAAACCCAGATACTACTATGCATCCCACTGTTCCACCAACATCAGCTAAAAACGAAAGCCCTTTTTCTTGTCGTGTATCTTAGACTCTGATCTTCTCATCCAAACAAGCAGAGATAACCTCACCTGACCAGCATCCATATACAAATGTTAAAGGTCTTTCAGAGGTTATGCTGGACAAAAGACTTTGACAATCAGACCGATCAAAATTCACTGTCAAAAGAATCTCCTCAATCACACTCATTGATGCAAAACAAAGAAGATATAATTAAGACAGACATGAGTTCATTGATGGCATCATGATTGTTATTTCTTTATATATTGTGTATTCTGAAACAATTTCGTTGACAATAAGTATAAACAATCTATCTGAAGGCAACAAAAGCCTTCAATTTGAAAACTGCAGATATGAAACCTTATCGCTAGGATAAATTTTCTCCTATTCAACTTAGCATGCTCCTATGCCTAAGTATTTCATCACACAACATTGCAGTGTTATGGTTAAACAACTACAGGCATTAAAACGTTTTATGATGTTTGTCTATCCATTAGCTTACAAGTTGTTTTTTAACTACTTTAACTGGTAACTAATTGGAAATGTAAATGTTGTAAATATTCATTGAGTTAATCATACAGTAAATATTCATTTAAATTTAAAATTACCAAATTATATAACTTCAAATGAATCCACCGGAGCTACTGGTAAAAAGAGCCGATTCTTTTTAGAGACAGCAGTAAAAAAGGAGCAACCTCTGATTGCAATTATAATGCTTAGCAAAGATCTCCCTACATTGTACAATCTCAGATACTGCACATAATAATCAAACAAAACCAAAATAAACACACTACAATCATCTTTACACTGTATTGATTTTAATGGAAAATGGGATAAATGGGAACAGTCCTGATTTTAGAGCTTTTGCGCTCACAAAATTCGAAATCCTCCACGAAACATTGCGTACTTGGTAAATGGGCCGAACCATTTACGGCCCATTAGCTTTCATGTATAATTCCCCTTTAAACTTTGATATTTCCACAAGGGTATGTCATTTATAAGCAAGCCCATATTATACGAGACTAATGTGATGCATTTCATTATGAGCTTCTTTTTTTTTTTTTGGTGAGGGCATTTCATTATGAGCTCGAATATATTTATACTTAACCTTTATTAGTGTAAATTTCCTCATGAAAAGTTATAGTAAGTTTAATTTCTTTGTTAATTATTGAACTAAAATTTTGAACTGATTTGCGAAATAACCTCAATGAAAAAGTCATAAATGGGTGGAAATCATTTTTATACCTAAATCTAATTTTCAATCGCACTCGCACATGATTGTTACTCCCTCCGTTTCGCAAAGAGTGTCGTTTTAGGATTACTTTTGCGTTTCAAAATAAATGTCGTTTTAGATTTTCAATGTAATATTTAGTATAAAATTTCGAATTTAACCTCAAGTTAGTAGAAGAATACCAAAAGTCAATTTGAATTTAAAGGGTATAAGAGAAATTTTAATATGTTTTTTTAATTTGTGTGAAAAGTGTCAAAATGACACTTATTATAAAACAGAGGGAGTATTAATTTATTAAATAATGTATAGTCATGTATATAGAAAGCAACATGACATGAGATAAAATATGGATCGTGATATTTTGTAAAATAGTGTGTTTTCGTATAAGAAAAACTTACCAAAATATTTATTTATTTGGAGAAAAAATTGTAATCATATCCCAACATTTTTTTTGCAAATAACTTTCAGAAATGTTAAATTTAAACAAAACAAAAAAATTTGCAACTCAAAGCCTTATTTATATCAGTGCGTTCACTTAAAACCTGTCACATGTCAGGTAGTCTCAGGACTAAAAAGAATGGCTTTTTCTGGGATAGTGGCAGTTAATGTAAATAATCTCCACAAAACAGCCTTTTTTTAATTGAATATATTTTTTTCTGGGATATTCATCAACCAATCAGGGACGACCAGAAAACAAAGTTTATTTCTTCTAACAATAATCCTGAAATCGTAATTATCTACAAAGCCAGGGGTACTTTATATTCACACTCAAACCTAAACTAAAATACCTCAAAGTTGGCTCACGAGTGGGGACCAATGGCTTTTGGTCTAACTAACTTTATAAACAATTTATGCTTAATTTAGAAACTAACCATTATATTGTTTTTATCATATTTGTAATTTTTGGGTGAATTTTTTGTTTTAATAGGAAATTTTAAAATTTAGGATGCTTTTAGCTTTTATTTTATTTCTATCTATAATAGGCTAATGATTTTTTTTAAATCATATTTCTGCTTCTGGTTGAAAGAAACATAAGTCCTGGCTTTTAAAATCTAAAAAGAATTGTCTTCATAAAGTGTGGATGAATTTGGACCAGTTATAGACGTAAATTTCTGATGCAAACCATTACAGTATTAGTTTTTTGCAATAAATATATCTAAGGGAGAAATAAAAACTTATTAGGCTGTCAAAATAAATGTTTGTTTGAGCTAAATAAGAATATTACTTTTTGGGAATTCTTACGTAAAATAAATCAAAAATAAAAAGAATAAATTATTTGTAAAATATTTAGTTAAGCATAAACAATAACAACATTTTAGTTGTATATTTAAACAATTATTTTTTATGTATAAAAAAATTCTTCAAAGGTTTTAATTTCTAAACATCTGAGTTTATAACTTTGACCAATACTGATCATTTTCGGGATATACAAAGTAACTTGATATTTTTGACCATTTAAAACTTTTTGAAATGAATAAAATGAAAGGAGGAAAAATAAAACAAACCATGTCCGTTTTTTTCAAAGAATGACATATTTACTTTTCAAAATTCAAATTTTTAAGCAACAAACATAAATTTATGTAATTATATTGTCACTTGGTGCACAAAAAAAAATACTGTCACTTAACTTTGTCTTACAATATTATGTTATTAGAGAATGTGAATTAATGGGAAATGCTAGAAACATTATAGAGTTTAGAAGAAGTTTGGAGAACTAGTCAACATGTATATGGATAAAATTATCCAAATTGCAAATTGTTGAATAATCTCTAATAGAAAATTTTGAAGAAATTTGAGAGTAGACCAGCTTTTAAGACGCTTGTATTTGAAAATAACTCTTCCTACTACTTAATTGAGAAAATAGCTCTTTTGTAGGTTTTTGATTAGTGTTGATAATGAAAATTTTGCCAGATTGTAGAAAAAACTTATAAGATTTTTTTTTTGATTGAAACTATTTAAAACATTTACTATAAAATATTAAATACAACAAAAGTAAAATATGTATTTCAAATGTTGACACCTGTATATTTTCATAGATGATATGTGTGCAAATTTGTTTTTAATCAAAACCAATCAGAAAATTCCATTTATGTTGTATCTATATCTAATGATATTTAGATATATAATATTAATATAAACTTGAAAATAAGGAAATAATAATTTACAAGCAAGTTGTGATCCTCCCTTTGTTAAAAACTAAGCATTTTAAGAAATATGAACATGCATGTATACAGAAAACTTTTTTGATCCAAACTAGTAAGAAAATACATTTATACCATTTTCATTAAAAATTCTAAAACACAAAGAGTTACAAATTCATAATTTTCATCAAAAAATTTAAACCTACGTTAAAATGTCATTTGTTTTTTAGTTGACATATCAAACATGTTTTGTTACATGATACATAATGATTGTTATAGGTAAATAATAGCGGTAAGAAATGGTAGTATGACAATACAGTTTTGATTGTTAAGAGATCAAGGTAGGTGAAAAGATCGTGGTGCAAGAAATGATATTGAAAATAAAAAAATTTAGAATAAAATTTTAGAATATTTGATTATATATGCATATATTCATAAACACTTATGATATATATATATATAAATATATTATTTTAACAAAACAATTCACTGTGTAGTCCTTACATATGCAAAATTATATATATATATATATATATATATATATATATATATATTGTTCGATAATCTTATCTCGTAGTTTCGTTAACTTTCGTGCGTAATCACTTCATCTAATGCGTATTCAAATTTTCAATACTAGATCTACTCTAAATGGCATATTTACAACACTTTAAAACCTCAAAACAATCATTCAATGCATACGGTGGTATACTGTCTAACTATCCCGTTAGTCAAACTTTCGTGGGCAATTTAAAATTTCACTTAATATATTCAAAATTTTAAAATTTTAATCCCATAGTTGTTACAAATTAAAACTACAAAACAACCATGTCCAAGTATCTTATCTTGTAGTATAGTCAATTTTCGTGTGCATACATAAAATTTTATCTAGTATATTCAAAAAATTTAATTCTCAATATCATGCTTATTGCAATTCAAAACTTTAAAATAATTATTCAGAGCATACGGTTATATATTGTCCAACTATCTTATTTTGTAGTTTAGTCAACTTTTTCGCAGGCATATACATTGAATTCAACTAATGTATTCAAAATTTAAAACTGTTAATACCATATTTAACTCTTAATGACAGATTTACTCCTATTCAAAAATCATAAGGGAACAACTTAAATGCATGCTTAGGAAAACAGATAAATGTATAGAAATGATTAGATGATGAAATAAAAAAGGAAACAAAAAAAAAGCAGAAAAGAAGACCGAGTGTTGACAAAATATCATGTCACTGTTATTAGAAGCCTATTAAATTTTAATATTTATTTAGTAGAAGAAAAAAAACACAAAATCCTAGAAAAATTAATAATAAACAAATAAAAACACAATATAAAAGGTCTTATTCTTTTATTTACTTCATTCGTTAAAGAATCTGAGAGATAGAAAAGCCAGAGAGAAGGAGAGCAAATAGAGAGAGAGAGAGAGTTGGCCCATCGGATCGAAGAAGAAGACGGCTTAAGCTTTCTTCTTCCATGGAGGAGTTTTGATTATTTGTCACTCCCTCTTCTCTTTTTTTCTTATTATTGATAAAAAATTTGGAGTGAATCTAGGAAGCACTTTTTATTCTTCTCTTCTTTTTTTATTTATTGTTCATTATTTTCGATAATCTGTCATCGATTTAGGGAGATTTTTCTCTGCTCAAATTGCGATCAGAAGATGTGGGTCTGAGGTTATATCTCTATCACCAGATTTATATTTTTATTTTATTTTTTGTATTAAATTATTCATTGGTTCGTCTCTTTTTTTATATATATAATTCTTCTCGTTGATTTGATTTAATTTTTGTGTTATTGTTTGATGAAATTAGGTTAGTCATTTAAGTCAATTGATCCAGAATCTAGCTTCTGGTTTTGATTTTGATTTTGATTATGATTATGATTATGATTATAAATGTGAATTTGGACAGTGAATTTATTCGATTCTTTTTTTTTTGTGTGTTAATTCTCGTAAATGTTTTTGGTTTTTATTGGGATTAGTTTGCGTGTAATCTGGTTTATCATTGATGATTCGATCTCTATTTGCAGAATCTTGGCTTTAGATACGACAAAATAAATTTATAGATGTATATGATCATCTCATAATTTGCTTTTATGGGTTAATGTTTTTTCACGTGTGTTTATGAATTATGTGGTTGTTGTTGTTGTATAATGGTGTTTATAAGAGAGATCTCAGTGAAGTTTTTAATAGTTGCAGTTGGTCAGTGTATTGTGGAGATGCAAATTCGCGATATGGGCAGCGATATTAGACGGGTTTTGCAATGAGAGATGCGGCGGATTCATCATCATACTCAGGATACGAGAAAGGTTTAATGAAACAAACAATGCTAGAGCACGAAGCCGTATTTAAGAATCAGGTAATGTATCTACATTCTTGATGCTTACATTACTCTAAATGGTTCATTTACTTGATTTTTGATTTGTTTGTATCGATGTAGGTGCATGAGCTTCACCGTTTGTATAGAGTACAGCAGAATTTGGTCGATGAAGTAAAAGGGAAGAACTTGAATGAAGATATGAACGTGAGTGATCATACATCGGGAAATGCAGGTCAGAGGAAGTTACCTGGATTTCTCTTACCAAACTCAACTTATGGAGAAGGAAGCAGCACACAAGCTTGCAACGGTCGTTTGCAAAATGGGGTTAGTTCAAAGGATGGGGACGCGTTCGAGGTTAGAGATGTGAAGGTCAGGAGAAGAATGATTGATCTTCAACTCCCAGCCGATGAGTATCTTGATACTGATGATACTAGTGATACCGGTGAGAATACAAGCTTCCCTCCATACAACCAGTCAACATCAGGAAGAGGGGATGCTTCTCAGCGGAGCTATCCTTCAGGATCGTGCTTGGATGTTAAGAACTCAAATGGCTTAGCTGACTTGAATGAGCCACTCAAATGGCAAGATTCAGAACATGTTGCTCTCTCAAGGGATATGTATCCTCATTATGGAAGAAACAATGCTCATGTTCAAGGTCAGTGGTTGGAGAAAAATCGAAGTCAAAATGGATGGATGGTCCTTCAAGCAGGTGATTTTTTTCTTTAATAAGTGGCTAGTTACATGCTCTTGACTTACATTTGATTTCTCTATAATCTTTGAAATGATATGAAACTAGGGCTCAAGTTTTAAGTGTCTTTCCTGCTCAGTTTATTTAATGAGCGGAAAATATTTCCCAATAGGTTCCTATGTATGGTGCATATACGTCTCGATCGCTCATAGAATGGTTTTGAATTTTGTGCTGATTCAGTAATATGTTACCATTTTTGCCTATCTTCTATTTCTCAAATGTTTTGTGTGGCTGTGTTATTAGGGCATGATAGGAGCACTCAGAGAGATCAGCTGCATCTGCCTTCCCATTCAGGACAAGTACTTTCTAACAATGCATTTCAACCTCAGAGCTATCTTACAACTGATCATAGCAAGGTCAAATTCTCTGGGGAAAGAGCATATCGTGAGCTAGAAGTTCGCTCAAAGACTCCTCACGTTTCTTATGATAGCTACGTGGAATCAAGTGTGGCATCTAATGCTCCAAGATTACTCAACGACTACCGCCCTGACTTTGTCAGACCATGGACCCATTGGTCTTCATCCTGGGAGAACCCTATGAGCAGCTCACATCAGAAATCTTACCCAGTTCAAACGAATCCCTACATGAATTTTGACACACATGCAAGACCAGATTCGAGTTTTGAGAATAGAAGCCATGTCTCTAATGGGCTTTATCAAGGATTCTCTTCAGGGTCAAAGCAGTCATTCTTTAATGTCCCATCAACCGGCTTTATACCAAATGCTTCTTTAGGTGAGGTAGCGAAAAGCCAGAGTTTTGTAAGTCTTCAAGGGCCAAAAAAGCAGGAATGCTCAGCTGGGTTGCCCTGGCTAAAACCTAGCCCCCCTTACAAAAGTGGAATGTCCAATGGCTTCTTTGATTTGAATGCTTCGACAAATCAATTCATGGATGGAACTGACGCAGGGGACGACCAGACTTGTGCTTCTGCTCTGAAGGGTTTGCGATCTGCTTCATACTCTAATAATGCAAACCTGGGGAGAGCTGAAATGAGCAACTCTCAGAGTAGTACAAAAATTATTGGGGGCCCAATCATTGGGAAGCAATTTGTTTGCAAGCAGGAGCGTACGCCCCTTATCTCTAATTCCTTATGGATTGCTAATCAACACAAGGAAGTAAATCACTTGGTAAAGCGAGACCTCGATATTAACTTGCCATGTGATGCCTCGGTTTCTGTTGACCAGCATGGTGCTAAAGCCTATTATGTAGACAAGAAAGAAGGGAAAAAAGCTGCCAACTTCAGACACTACATTGATCTGAATTCATGTGCTAATGAGGATGATGAAGATTCCGGCTTGCTTTCCAGTCGGAGTGTGAAAACAAAAGCAAGAACTTGGATAGATTTGGAAGCTCCCCCTACTCTCGAGAGTGAAGAAGAAGGAGATAGCTCGCAGGAGAAAACAAATGAAGAAACTTGGGGATTGATGCAAGGCCAAGACGGAAACTCTATGAATGAACTCATCAAGGTAGCAGCAGAAGCAATAGTTGCCATCTCAATGTCTGGTCACCAACGCAATCCTGATGACGCAGCTTCCTCTTCAACTGATGCGGCTGCAAAAAGCCCGCTCTCTTGGTTTGCAGAAATAATCACTTCTTGCGATGATGAGTTAGAAAGAAAGGTTGATGGTTCTCCAGAAGCCACAGACTTTGAGGGTTACAGGGAAGACTATTCTTCTGGGGAGATTGATTACTTTGAAGCCATGACCCTGAATATACAGCAGACAAAGGAAGAAGACTACATGCCAGAGCCATTAGTCCCTGAGAATCTGAAATTCGAAGATACAGGTATTAACAAGCCAAGAAGAGGACAAGCTAGACGAGGAAGACCAAAGCGGGATTTCCAGAGGGATATTCTCCCTGGACTCTCTTCTCTGTCGAGGCATGAAGTCACTGAAGATATCCAAATGTTTGGGGGGCTTATGAAAACCGGAGACTGCACTTGGAGTTCTGGATTGGCTGTTCGACGGAACTCAAAAAGAAAACGACTGGTCACCAACACAAGCCAAGCTCCAGTATGCCCGTCAATGGCGCAGCCAATGAATGAGAGCGTATCAGTGGGAGGACTTGAAGACAGTAAGCTCACAGGATGGGGACAAGCAACAAGAAGACAGAGGAGACAAAGGTGCCCTCCTGCAGGTAATCCCGCAACCGTGATCTTAACATGATAGTTTCTGGAAATAATCGGAATTTACCAAACTTGGAAACTCTATAGAGGGGGTATAAAACAGAGAGATTATAACATTTATTTATACAGTAGACTGATGTTCTTAATTTTTCTCACCTATTTTGGAGGTGATTTGGTTTTTTTTTTTGTATATCTTGTCTTCTGTAAGATGGATTAAAACATGATTTGCTTTGTATTATAGCCTGGTTGGTTATAAAACAGATAGATTTCTTTATTGCCCAATAATCAAATTAAACTTAGCCAACTCAAAAGATAATTTGATTCTAATACGTCATCTTTAATTTAGGTCACAACAACATTTAATTGGTTGAGTGTTACACATGTTATCTACGCCAAATTAGATCAGAGGGTCCAAAAAAACACTTATAGTTGTTGTTTAAAAATGATTGACCAAATTAGAGAAGAACACTTTTGACAAGAGTTTCTTCTTAGAGGCCAAAATGTCCTTTTCCTTTCTTTTTCCTTCTCATAATTTCTCTACTATTCTATTTCAGTTGAATTATCATTGAACTCTGCCACAAAAGCACCAAGCTTTATATGATTATGAACAAATAAAAGATGATTTGATTTACCTTCCAAACCAAAAGCATTCTTGAATCTGAAGCAAAAGAATCAATAAACAGAAAGGAAACAATAAAGAGAACACAATCACGGTTTCTGTTACGAAATCATTCATCAATAGGAGCAGGAAGATTGAGATCGATGAGTGTATGCATCTCATGAGCTACTTGGTGTTGAATCACCAAAGTCCTGTGGTCTTGATTCCCAATGAAATGTGATCTCTTGTGACCACCTAAAGCTTGTCCTGATTTGAACACCCTGAAGCAAATCGGACACTCGTGACCTTTGTTTTTCTTCTTTGCACCACTTGCTTTCTTAACCATTGCGGACTTACTAAGAATCTTGATAGTTCGGTTTGTGTCCGCGCAAGAATCAGTTTCCAAGCTATATTCACCACTGTCATACACAGATTCAGTGAAATCGTACTTGATTTTCTTTCGACTGTAAGAAGGAAACCCTCTTTTGCTATTCCTCAGATCATACTTTGTAGACGAACGACCTGATCCTGATCCTGACCCTGACCCTCCCTCCTTATACCATTCCTTCTTGAATCTGTTCATGTCCATATCTTGTTTTGTTGGGGAGCTGTTGAACCCGGATCCAGATCCCATTACAGCTTTGTTCCTGAAGAACCCATCAACAGAAACATCTGAGTCCAACTTCTTTGGTCCATTCCTGAAGTAGCCAGAATCAGAATTATCTGAATCATAAAGAAGATCACCATTATCTTCACCAGCTCTCATCTGGTTATCAACTACAAGTTTGTTCTTCTTACAGATCTCCTCAACATTCTTCACATTGAACATCTTAAGCTGTTCTCCTGATGATGACTTAGTCTCAAGAATCACAGAGTTGTTGTCAGATGACTCAGCCAAAGAGTTCACCACCAAGTTATGTTCTTTCTTGAAACTAGAATCCCTCGACAGCATCATCAAAGACCTTGCCATTTCCTCCTGTTCAGGCTCAAGCTCAGAAGCATCAGAAGATGCTGAAGTCGATTGATTCATGATACCATTACCACCAACTACAAAAGCATCTTTGTGGTGATGTTTCACAACAACTCTCTTGGATCTTCTTCTGATAGGAGAGGAAGAAGCCTCAGTATCAGATTGACTATCCATAACAATCTTCTCTCTCTCAGAGTGACTAGCCATATGACCGCAAAGAGCTTTAGAAGAAACAAACCCTTTACCACATTCTCTGCAACAAAGCAGCTGTTGCAGTTGTTGCTGCTGTTTCAAAGCCATCATCTGTCTGTGATCCACAAACCTCTTATTCTTTTTAGGATTCTCTCTGAGACCATAACTAGACTGACCACCATTTTCATCAATCATCTTGAGCTTATTAACCTCATCCTCATCTGAATCAGCTGAATTCTCATTCATGTGAGTTCTGATGTGACCTCCAAGTGATTTACCACAAGGAAACCTCTTGCTACAGAACTTACACACAAACTTCCTCTCTTTCAACTGCTCCATCTGATCAAAACAAAAGACATAAGCAAAGATCATAAGAAGAAGGGACAAACTAAAAGTGAGAACCCATTAGTTTGATTTACCTCAAATTATCTTCAAAGAAAGCTTATCAGATGCTACGAAAGAGAATCAAGCAGAAAGCTTGATACTTTCCCAGCGATCAGAGTTTGGAGATGTAACAGTAGTCTTGTTAAGTACAGATCCTACCATCAAGGCAAAGAGAACACAAAAACAGGAAACAAATAAAACTGACTTTGAAATTTCCTCAATATCTAAAGTTAGCAGATTTACTTTCTTTTTGGGGTTTGGAATGAAAGAAATAAAATAAAAATAATACTCATGAGATTATTACATTACAATTTTTGACATTAATAAGAATAGTAGAGAAATGAGTGAAGACGTGACCATTGTCTAGGCGGATTTCGCTTAAGAGTGAAAGCTATACACGCATTATTTTAGTCTGTTTTGGGATAAAAGCAACCAAACAAATTATCTTAAGAAAGTAATTAGCAAATTAAGCAAAAAAATATTAGTAGATCCGACACTTTGTAGTTGAATCCATCATTTTGTTGCGAGTAGACCGGTCCGGTCCAGAGATTTGAAAGGCTCTAAACCCAAAAAGGTTACATACACTCATACAGTACTAGAGAAAATACTCGATATTCATAAGTTACAAACAAAAATTACACCTTTTTCTGTTTCATTTTATACCAAAATTGAATTGATGTTATTTCTATTTTACTTTATTAAGGATTTTTTTTCAAAATTTTGCTTCTTGTTTCCTTTTCTGTTTTGCCAGGCTTGCACTATTAAATTCATCATCTTAAAATTAGTATAAATATCACTTTTATCCCATAATTTTCGCGATAAACATTAAGATTTATTAGAATTCAACATTTTCTTTCATAACTTTCCTTTTCTTAAAAAGTACTCAAGAATATTTTCTACATCCGTTGATTAAATCGGACGATAACACGTACACGGTGGGCGGTGCCACATTCGTAAAAATGAGTAGACATACAAAATCTAGTTGGCAAAATGAAAAATAACTTTTTTTTTTTGTTAAAGGAAAATCTGGTTGGCAAACTTATAAATAAAAGTTCCTATATTTGCAAAGTTTTACTAGTGCTATTGACAGAGACAAGCGAAATAAATATCTTTACAGCGAAATATCACACGAGAGAGAAGAACATACATATATATGATAGAGACCAATGGAAACTTTAGAGTTACATAAATAGATCTCCCAAATTAATGGAACTCATGCGTTTCTCCACCTCTTCTCTCCCAACCATACTAAATCTTTAATTTCCTCCATACTATTTAATCATTTTCTCATCAGAAAAATAAAAATAAAGCCCTTGCAAAAATACACTATTTCCAAGATTGTTTCCACACTCTACAAAGCCCAAAAACAAGCGTGGAAATATACTTAGGATTCAATTACAAGATCAAGAGAGTAGAAATAAGAAATTTCCGCAAAGAAGACCAAGAAGAAATAACTCTATAAAATACACAAATCTCTCTCTAGAACAAGTCCAAGAAACGCCAAGAAATGTGTTAATTAGAAAATGTGTCTCTCTGTATATATGTATATTATGTATAGAAACTTGAGGATAGGGTTTTAGTTGTGAAGCGGGTTTGGACCAGAGGGGACGAGTCTTTTGTCGACACCGTACCTTGGGTCAATCTCTGGCGGAGGAGGAGAAAGAAGTGGCTGCTTCCGACTGCTACGGTGGATTCTCTGAAGCTCAATGCACATAGAACGCGCGTAGGGACGAGTGAAGGAATCGCACGAACGGTGAGGAGTCACGTGGTAAGGGTGGTGGTTAACCCTCGGGATGAATCGGTTAGTTCGGTAACGGAAGTTTCTTGATGTTCTGTTTCCTTCGACGACGGTTGAAGAAGCGGTGGAGCTTTTGAGAAGGAAAAAGACTAAGAAGAGAGAGATCAAGATCAGACGATTCAGGTGAGTCGTCGTCATTGATTTGGTTTCCACGAGAGAGCGAGAGAGAGAGAAAGTGAGAAGTGTTTGTTCTTGGAGAAGGAAAAGTTTAAAAACGAGAGAGGGAAGATATTTGGTGGAAGCAAATTGGGATTTAAATGCAACACAGAAGATGCACATGAATCGATGTTATGACGGTTTGTTTTAGTAAATGAGAGGGCAATTAAAACTGGTTATACAAAATATATGGGTCCTCTCTTTAGTTCGTTTTCATAGACATAAATACCAACCCGTGACTTTATTATATACATTTCGATCCTAGATTTATATCACTTTCTGTAGCTTTTTTATACAATACGTACAAAATGATGGGTTTATGTAGTATTTACTTACGTACACAACTTTTCATACAAGATAAACAAGAACGTGTATTTGAGTTGTTTCGTGTGTCTCAAGCTATCTCTCTTGGGTCTTTATTGGCTTCCATGGGTTCAGGCCATAAACAGGCCCAATAAGAGTCTATCTGATACCCAACTACCAAATTTGGTATTTCTTTATTTTGCTTTTCCTGCTTTCAATTGAATCAACATCTTAACGTCAACACAAATCTCTCTTCTTTTTTTTTTTTTTTGTTCTGTTAGAACCAAAACATCATCATTAAAGCAAGAGAAGAGACAATGGCTCTTGTAGTCTTGACTTTGATTGTGATAATATGAATACAGAGGAAGTCTTATAAGTGAAAACTTAAAAAGTGACAGCTTTCTTTGAAGACAAGAAGAATGTATCTTAATCTCAGTAAGAAACATGAAAGGTCCCTAAAAAGCTGAAGATAATATATACATCAATACTTGAATTCATAAAGAGAAAAGAATTGGCTCTAAGTGATAAGCAACTGTATATGAACAATCAAAAAACTTTTGATCTAGTTCTAAAATCTGGAGCAAGCAAACAAACAAAAAGAGGGGATGAATACCAGAGAGAATGAAAAAAACCGAGGATGAGTTCTAGTTTCAGGTTCTGATTCATTCATCAGTATCCAAATAAGTAAGATTGAGATCGATTTGGTTACGCGTATCAGCTACTTGGTTTGCAATGGAATGTGATCTCTTGTGACCACCTAAAGCTTGGCCTGATTTGAACATCTTGAAGCAAATTGGACACTCATGACCTTTGCTTGTCTTCTTCTCACCACTTTCTTTCTTGAACACTGAGGATTTGCTATCTCTGAACCTATGATGAATCTCGTTGTTTGTGTCTGCACATGAACCAGTTTCATAAGAAAACAAGGCTCTCTTGCTTTTGCTCAGCTCATACTTTGATCCACCCTCATTACTATTCCTGAATCTGTTCAATGAGTTGTTGAATCTAGATCCAAATCCAGTGTTCTCGTCAACAGAAATGTCTGAATCCGACTTACTTGGACCATTTATGAAGTAATCAGAATCAGAGTCATCTGAATCACAGAGACTAACACCATCATCATCATCAGATCTCAATTGGTCATCTACTCCAACTTTATCTGTCTCTAAAACTTGATTCTTCACATTAAAGATCTTTAGCTCATCTCCTGAAGATGACTTAGTTTCCACAACCGAAGAGTTGTTGTCAGATGACTCACCCAGAGAGTTCATCACCAAGTTACATCTTGTCTTGCAACTACGAGAATCACTCGACAACATAAACAAAGTATAAGCCGCATCCCTACTTACTTGGTCAATCTCAGAAACAAAAGACGAGCTCTCATTACTAAAAGATTCAGAATTGGATCGTTTCATGACCACCCTCTTGGATCTTTTCCTGATACGAGCTGAGGAAGTCTCAGTCTCAGTCTCAGTATCAGATTGGCTATCCATCAACATCTTCTTTCCCTCACAGTGTTGACAAGCCATGTGACCTCTAAGAGCTTTCAAAGAAACGAACACTTTACCACATTCTCTGCAACCAACTTGTTGTTTCTGAGCCATCATCTTTCTCTGATCCACCAACCTCTTCTTCTTCTTATTGCCATGGTAACGATCAGAACCAACTGAATTCTCATTCGTATGAATTCTAATGTGACCTCCAAGTGATTTCCCAGAAGGAAACTTCTTGTGACAGTACTTGCACATAAACAACTTCTCTTTCCCTTCCTCCATTTGAAAATTTGATTCTTCTCTTAGACAAATGATCAAACACAAAACAAGCAAGAATCAGTAAAGGTTTATTCTTTATACACAAAAACGAAAGAAGTAAAGAACCCATCTTTTAATCCTGATGAGTTTTCTTTACCTCAAATCAAAATCTCTGAATGAAGAAGAATGCTGCAGAAACCGACAAAACTGAAAATTTCCCAAATGCTACAGAGAAAAGAGAGAAAGAAAGAAGGATACTTTTTTTCTTCTTGTAATCAGATTTAGGGATGTGACAGTTTCCCTCTATAGCTAAGTACAAGATCCGAACTTCAAGCTAAGAAACAGAGAGAAAAGTAAAAACAAGCTTTTTTTTTTTGTGTAATTTCCACAGTAAAGAAAAAAGAGAAGTGTTGCTAACACGATTAATCAAAGGTCAGCTGCATTTTTGGATCTATCCTTCCTCTTCAACAAACAAAAACACTCTCTCTTTCTTTCTCTCTCTCCATCTCTCCGGTGTGTGTGTTGTTGTTGTTGTTGTTCAATTCATGCATGGAATCAAAAAGAGATAGAGAGAAAAGCTAAATGGACGGTCTAGATCTGTTTAGACCACTTCGTTATGAATCCCACCATTTTCTTAACCCATTATTCCTCATATTTCAAAAAGATCACACATTTACAGAAAAGTTTCAATTTTTTGGCTATCAAAAGATTTTTTTCCTTATTAAATAAAAATCTTGGTAGACTTTGAATTAGAAAACTCTTATTCGGGTTAGTGAGTGGGTATAACAAACCATGGGGCCAAACATAGGATTAATAAAGACTTCTCGACGTCCAAACAAACAACACAACCAAAGCCTTTAAACGTTTGTGTCTTTGAGAGAACCATAATTGGCTCTCTCTGTCCATATAATTCTCCTATTCTAAAGCAACAAACTTTGGCATTGAATTTTGTGAGATTTTTTAACAACAGTGAAGATTTTAGCCTACAAAGTGACAATTTTACTAAACAAACCCAAAATAGTTCCATTTTTTTCTCTTTTAAGGTTCAAAAGTTTTTTTTTTTTTGTGTGGTGATGATGGTTTCTGAAGGCAAAAGCTCGACTTTGCCTTCAAACTTCCTGTACATAAAAATTTAAAGATCAGAGGAGAGAAAATCTTTTACTGCAAATCAGAGAGATTCGGACATTCTAAGCAAAAGGATTTTGAGAAAGAGGGCCCCAAGAAAAGAGAAACAACAGCCCATTCACATGAGAAACAAAGGCTGGAAAATTCTTAGGTCTAAAAGTCTCTCTCTCTCCTCTCTCTACTTTTAATAGGAACATTTTTGTAGGAGGACCCCATAAACCCCAAATATCTCTCCCATGATTCTGCAAGTTGTTGAGAATGATGTTTGCTTCTTCTTCATTTGTTTCTTGCCTTGTTTTCCCATGATCCATTACCAAATATCTCCTCCATGATTCTCCGCGTTGGTTGAAGATCTTTGCCATTTGTTAAAACATTCGAACACCTCGAATCAGCCCAGACTTTAGTGTCCATTGGATCATTACACTTCTTCTGATGTTCTCCAGGAACAGTCTCATCTTTCTTTCCACAGTTCACTGCATCATGTGCAAGTTCAAAGGACGTGCACGAGTCATCTTCCAAGTTCAACCTCTCCCCATTGTTCCCAGAAGATCTATCAATATATTCAACTGTTGAATTCATCATGTGCTGGTCATACAGTCCAGTGCCACTTTCTCTAGTATCAACATAGGCATCATCATCTTCATCATTGCCGCTATTACTGGCATCTTCTTCATCCTCTTCATGATGGAGTGGATACACTTTCTCAGTCCCTTGATGAAGAGGAGACTCAATAGCAGAGTCTTCTTCATCTTCTTCAACATAAGGAGTACCCGAAGAGCCCCCATAACATCCATGCCATTCATCATCATCACTGTCAATGTCCAATATAAAAGCTCTGTTCTGGATGGCTCTCCTTCCGAGGACAAAAACGTTAAAGTAGAAGCTAACAATCTCTTTCTGAGTTCGGGAACAAAATGCAGCTTCCAAGTGCTTCCAAAAGTTCCGACCCGATGTTACAGGATTGGAATAAACAACCTCATGAAAAAGTTGTGCATCTTCATCGCTCCAGTTCCGTGCAACTTCTTCCCCCATATCACATAAGCCCAGGTCTTTGAATGTCTCATTTCCAAACGTCTTAACTAATTCTTCTCTAGCTTCTTTGATGTGCTGGCACACACACCTGACAGAACCCATGTCCCGGCAGACACAGAACTTTCTACCCTTCCCTACTAAGTCATCCATATGTGAAAATGTAGTCAAACCAGGCATGGGAATAACAGATGTACCAAACAGCTTCTCACCATCAGCACATCTACTAATGTGATCTTGAACCGACATGCCTGAGGGCTCTGTGCTCCCAGTCTGACTGCCTTCCCATTCAGGAATTTCGGCTTGATGACCTGGTCCAATGGGCACTTGCTTTCTAGCAGGCTGATCCAGGAGGAAAGAATAGAAAGTCTCAACAGGAGCAAACACTCTTGGAGGTATATCTAGCTCAAAATACTTTCCAGAATGGGGAGAATAAGTTGCATCTCTTCCACCACAACCTTTTGTATCCCATGTAAAAGTATCATCCATGTCATGACCCGGGTAAACAAAATTGGACTCTTCATCAAACATATCACCATCAGATGATTCACCGCCTTGTGACTTACAAAGATTTCCCTCATTCACTATTGTCCAGTAACCCCATTCAAAAGAGAACAGCAAATCACATAAGGACGTCTATCCTTTTAAAACAAGACTAAATCCCGCAAAGAAGTTATAATTACACGTAATATTTACCCGTGGCAACAGTTTTCTGGAAAGCAGCATGGTGAGGACTAACTTCTTCAAACTGAGTCGACTTATCGGTATAGCCAAGTTGTCTAGAATGTTTGAGTGGGAGCTCATGAAATTTCTCATCTTCAAAAGGGCGTTTGAATCCCATTTTCAACCTGCATAAAGGATAATCAAATGCAATAAACTCGGATCGTTAATCCTTAGAACTGGAACAGTCAAATAAATGGACAGTGAAACAAGTAAATGATAGTCAATGCACGCAAGACAAGAACAAATGTAATAACAAACATGCACCACAACATCGAACCAGTGCAATAACAAAAAAATGGCAGAAAGTACTAATGCTTATAAACCGGTTCAGACAAGAACAAATGTCCAGTTAACATGCATATTACTTACCTCTCTAAGCAAGTAAGCTCGGATAAGGTTTCAGGCCAACTTCACTAGGGATAGAACCAAACTAGAACGCCACCAGAAGACTTAAACTAGGGATGTTCAATAGGAATTTTAAGCCTTTAGAAGCTTAAGTTGGAACAAAACCGAAAATCCCCAAATCAGAAGAAACCCTAACCTTAGATTCCAGCCTACCCAAAAATCAACCAAATCAAGTATGAATTGGATAAGAATTGATCAAATCTATACAAATCAAGAGAAAGCCCTTTGATAATTTACAGATCTGGAAAGCCCTGAGATAGATCGATAAATATGAACCCTAGATTTCAATCGGGGACGAAAAACATGAAATTGACATCAAAATTAAAAGGAATATATGAGAAAATCGATGTATATAGCGAAAGAAAACGATGGATCAATATATTAAACAACTAGAGAGGAGATCAACAACCCTAACCCTAGATTTTTTTTTGATAAACGAAATAGATCAAAATTGATATCAATAGATAGAGGGGAACGAAAATTTGATGAATCCACAGATCAATTGCAAGATTAATTTAGAAAAATCCCAGCAAAAAAAAAGAAAAAGGAAATATGGATTTACGATGAAAATTTTGGGGAAGAAGACGAGAGAAGATAATATCGAAAAAAGTGGGAGCTATTTTCTAAACAAAGCGGCCCAAAACACTAATTCGAATTTGACCCGCAAATTTCCCTAAAATTGAGCTCGACCCCAAATTTAAAAGCAGCACACTTTTTTATCTACTCCTTATTGTTTTGTAAGTATTACACTTCATTCCTTATCTTTTTCCCGTGTAGTATTAAACCCCAAATTTCAATTATTTTTGTTAGAGGATTTTATAACCATGGTAAGGCAAAAATATTGAGTGAAACAGAAGTTTTTTATTCATATACTATTTCAGCTTAAGCAGATTCAGGACATAGTATCATTATTCAGCTTGGTTACAATGAGAATCAGGAAATAAAGGAATCTTAATACTATATTATAGAAATGAGATACAGTGTTTGGTTGAAGTTGGCACCTTCATGCCACAGCAGGCATGTCCTTGAGCCATGAATCAAGCGGTTTACCAATGGAGTAGACGATAAACCCGATCTCACGCAGCTTCACTGCATCAACAACGTTCCTACCATCGAATACAAAAGCTGGTTTCTGCATATTGTCAAAGATTTTCTTGAAGTCCAAGGATTTAAACTCATCCCATTCGGTTAAGACACAAAGGCCGTGCGCATCTTTAGTTGCTTCGTAAGCATCTGAGACGACATTCACTTGCTCTGAGATACCTTCAGCTTTAATCTGCTGAAGAGGAACAGGGTGGTCCCAGTCAAACCTAGCCATGGAAAGATCTCTTCTGATCTGTTCTTCAAGGACTTGTGGGTCGTATATGCTCAGCTTGGCCTTGTCAGCAACTAATCTGTTACAGACATCAATGGCTGGAGTCTCTCTCGTGTCACCTGTGTCCTTCTTGAAAGCAAAACCAAGGATCGCGATTTTCTTGCCCGAGACTGTGTTAAACATTGAAGAAACAACCCGGTTTGCAAACCTTATTTTCTGATAGTCGTTCACCTTTATGACTTGTTTCCAGTAATTAGCTGCCTCGGGCAAGCCGTTGCATTCACAGATATAGATAAGATTTAGAATGTCTTTTTGGAAACATGATCCACCAAAACCAACACTAGCATTCAAGAACTTTGGACCAATTCTAGTATCTGTACCCACGGCATGCGCAACTTGTGTAACATCAGCGCCAGTTGCCTCACATAGAGCTGACATGGCATTGACAGATGATATCCTCTGAGCCAAGAATGCATTTGCTGCAAGCTTAGAGAGCTCAGCGGACCAGAGGTTCGTGCAAATGATTTGTTCAACTGGAACCCAATGAGCATAAACATCTCTTAAAGCTTTAATAGCCTTTTGCCCGGCTGCAGTATCCCTACCACCAATCAGCACACGGTCTGGATTATAAAGGTCCTTAATTGCAGTACCCTCAGCAAGAAATTCCGGGTTAGAGAGAATCTGAAACTCTATGCCTTTGCTGTTATGGGTCAGTATCTTTTCAATAGCCTCTGCTGTCCTCACAGGAACCGTGGATTTCTCAACAACGATTTTGCTAGATTTGGAGACATCAGCGATCATCCGAGCAGCACTCTCCCAGTAAGTAAGATCAGCAGCTTTGCCAGCACCAAGACCTTGTGTTTTGGTTGGAGTGTTAACTGATACAAACACAATATCACTCTCAAAGACATGTTTCTCCACGTCTGTGCTAAAGAAGAGGTTTTTCCCTCTGCATTGTTTCACCACATCTTCCAAGCCAGGCTCGTAAATCGGAAGCCGATCACTGTTCCAAGCATTGATCCTTGGTTCAGAGATATCCACAACGGTTACTTCAATCTCAGGACACTTAAGAGCCATCACTGCCATGGTTGGACCACCCACATAGCCAGCTCCTATGCAGCATATCTTCACCATATCTGAATTTCAAAACTTCTCCTGATAAAGTACAAAGCCATAAGATATAGTCGACTAGACGAAATCAGTCAATTAATTATACAAAGACAAAACCTTTCATGGACAACAAAGTGACAATTTTCAACAACTACAAGTGCGGCATTAAATCAAATACGCTGAAAGCTCAGATCTATCAATTTCAATATGATCACAGCAGAATATGCTACCAGATTATAAAATTCACACGACGTTTCGAAAATTTAAAGCAATGCACTTGGATCAATCTGGTTTTTCTGATCACAAATTGTAAAAAAAACACAAACTTTGGTTGTACGATCTAGAACAAACAAAACGAACGACAGACGAAACGGACAATAACGAACAAAACCCATGTTTCCAGTTAGAGAAATAACGAATGATCTCTCTCAATTCAAAGAAACACAAGAACAGAATGATCGAAAAACGACACATTTACGAAGGAGATATAGAAAAAAGGTAAGAAATTTACCTTCGTTGAGACTTGAGAGTGAAGAAGCGAGAGATGGGCTTTGTTGCTGGTGAATAATGAGAGAGAAATCAAAAGAGATTGTTGCGGCGACGACGATGGAATTTGCAGAGAAGATGTCTTCTAAAAGTATAAATAGACACACTCACCAACTTGACTTGCACATTTCAACTTTTTATTTATTGCTCCCAATAAATCCCACACGCTTTTTTTGGTTCAATTATTATGCTTCCATAATCATTTGGTTACAAAATTTACTAGATAAAAAGATTAGGATGAGATTAGTTGAACCTCTCTGGGATTAAGACTTAAGAATCACTTGTGTATCTAATCTCTTGCTTTTATAATTGTAACACTCAGCTAAATTGGTTAAATGGGTCCAGAAGCAATACCCCAAAAGCATTTATAAGATTTATGAAGAAAAAATATAGAGTTTGGTTTAGGGATTATCATTATAAATTTATTTAGCAACTTGGTATTCAATAATTAATGAAGGTATTATCTTGCGTATATTGAAGATACTAAGGGTGAATAATTTTGTTTTAATCATCGTATATGATATTCATGAAAGTTTTAGACATGTAAGTGGTGCATTCAAATATTGATTTTTTTTTTAAAATAAGTTTTGAATTAATGTGAATTGAATTGGAAAATTCTTGGTTTTGTATGGCATTAATTACACTCTTCTTTCAAGGGTTGTCATCTTAGATTATACGTTATATCTTAAGTTATGCAAGGCACTTCAAAATAGTTTGAAACTTGTCTCATTGACAAGTAACTTTCAATGAATTTTTTGTGCTTAATATTTTTTTTTTCCAACAATATTCGAATTCGAGTGATAACACCTGGACGACTATCACAAACCACTATAGTACAACTCTTAATTTAGTATATTTTTCTAAACTACAATCCATAACTAATCATAAAGTTTGTATACATTAAGCAAAACCAATAAAATGGGAGGGGAAATCAAGAAGTGGAGTTCAAGAAAGAAGTGAACCAATGAACAGAGTCCTTAGGATATCTCTTGAGATTGTCTCTATAATCAACGAAGTAGAGACCAAACCTTGAACTGTAACCTGCTGCCCATTCCCAATTGTCCAATAGCGACCATACAAAGTACCCTTTCACATTGCATCCATCTTTTATCGAAGCTTGTAAGCTCGAAAGATAATCATGATGGTATCTGATTCTCTTTGCATCTTTAAGAGCGTCTTTTCTTGAGATCAGAATGCTGTTTGGATCGTCCATTCCTACACAAACAAACATCATTACATTATTAACAAACTCTCTTTCTTGTCTAGAGACTTTAAAAGATGTGTGTGTTTTACCATTTTCAGTGATAAAGACGGGAGGGTTTCCATATCTATGTTTGATGTAATTCATCAAGCTTCTCATCCCTCTAGGCACTATGTACAACCATATCGAACTTGCCTGTCCGCGACAACAACAAAAGTAACACCAGTTTAGAGAAATTCGACAGGACTAATCATTTTGGGAGATTTATATATAACTAATTAGAGTTACTAATGTTTCTTACCCTATCTCCAATTGTGCTTAAACCCTTAAACGCTGAAAATTCAAAACAAAGAATATTAATTAAGATCAGATACTCATGACTAGGGTTTAAGTGAGAGCTAGAGAAGTATAAGTATTTACGTAGAGTGACGGTTCCAGAATCAGAAATGGCGTCGTGTAGAAGGGTGCCGATGAGATTGGTGGCATTGTTCCTTGCGTAGTACGTTGTGTAGTGATTAATTCCTACAAAATCTAAAGAACCCTTCACCAGAGCAGATTGAGATCCCGTAAACACCGGTAATCTGCTTCCTACTCTGCTTCTCATCGAGCTCGGATAATCCCCAAACATCAATGGATCCAAAAACCTAATTAAGATCATATAAAGATATATCATTATTTGATATAAGTTTTGGAACAGAACCAAGTTGTGTAATAACATATACATACCAGCCAAGTTGAAAGTCTTGAGCTCTTTGTGCAGCTTCAATGTCCTCTGTCTTGTTCGACTCCGGTTCAAACCACATTACATCAAACGCTATCCCTAACGAACCTCCTTGCTTTGCCTAACATAATTATACATCAAAACTATATCTTATTTTCATGTAACAATATCATGTTTTCAGTTTAGTATTGACTAACCTTGAACTTTTTCCTGTAGATATCAGATACGGTGGCGTGAGTTAGAATAACATTGTGACCGACAATGTAAGGCTCAGTCGATGAGTTTCCTGCGCGACAAGTGAGCTTAAAAAGAATAGTGCAACGGCCTGGAGCTTGTAGGCCAACGTCATAGCCTTGTATTGCGAATGTGTGTGGCTCGTTGAATGTAATCCAATGCTTCACTCTATCTCCAAATCTCTCGAAACAAACCTCCGCATATGCTGCAAAATCATTTCTACAAAAAAAAAAAAAGGGGTACATACATTGCCTTTTGAAATTAATTTCTGTCTATGTAATAGTTTTATTGAATGATTAATCATATGGTTTTTGTATGGGTTATTACATGATTTGTGGGTTTAGCCAACCGAGGTATCGATCATGAAGTGCCTGAGGAAGGTCCCAGTGGTACAGTGTCACGTACGGCTCGATCCCTACAATCATTCTTTGTTTATTACATGTGAAACTTGACCAACCATACTTTAATTTTATTTTTTTTAAAAACAGATCCGATGATTGAGATAATTAGTTCTTCAATTAGTCTCTTAAAATCATGCAAGAAAATTCAACAAAATACCTTTAGCAAGTAAAGCATTTATGAGTTTATTGTAGTGATCGATTCCAGCTTCGTTTATCTGTCCAACACCATCTGTAAAATCACACATAATAATACTATCATCAACAATTCATCAAAAGCCATATCCAAATTTGAATTTAAGAAGATTTATTATACGTACTACGGTAGTAGTATCGTAATAAAAACTTAATCTGAAGTAAACAAGATTAAAGATAAACATGTTTAAAAAGTTACATACTTGGAAAGATGCGGGTCCAAGAAATGGAAAATCTGTAAGCGTCCATTCCCATATTTTTCATAAGTTGTACATCTTCCTGCCATTACCATAATTTCAATTAAAACTTTATTAATTCAATTTTCGAAATGTATATTAATTGTTGATAATTTTGTTAATTTATCGTATAAAATTGGGGTTTACCTCGTAACGATGGTACTGATCAACAGCAACATCAGCATTGCTAAAATCGGTGATTTTACCAAAAGTGTGGGAAAATGTGTCCCATATCGTAGGACCTCTGCCCTCTGCCTTCACTGCTCCTTCGTGCTGCACAAATTATTGATATCATTAAATTTTACTATAACGTTGGTCCATCTATATTTTCATTTTCGTTTTAGGTATATATTCCAGCCAGGAAACATTAATTGGGTGTGTTTGGTTAGGTGAGAGACATTGTGAGAAAGAAAGACTTTGGTTACTTGACTTTGATTTGAAAGAAAGAAAAAAAGGTAAAGGTGAAGATTGTGGAAATGTTCAAAAGAATGGGTCGTTGTTGTTTTAAAAAAAATCTAGTAATTTCTTTAGTAAAACCTAAATTGTGGAAAAATGGAAACCACAAGAAGAGGAGCAACTATTGGCTACCCGTGATTGATGAACATACATGGACAAATCATGTTTACGCGTCATGCACTCATTTGTATACTGATTTATGGACCAGATTTTAATTAAGAACATATAAGAAAACAAAAACTAATTTAACACACACGTTTCAGTACAACTTGACATCAACAAAAAGATTACGACGAATTTGTCAGTTGCTGAATTGTATACGTTTAAAAAAGATTGTGTTTGCTTTTTTAAAAAAGTTTTGGCTATATAGTATTGGGAGAATAAAAACATATCACATGTGAACTTATATGTTCTGATGTGACCTATTTTTAAGTAGTGGATAATTTTGTTTTCAGTTTATTTAAAACTGAAATCGATAAATAACTCAAAAAAAAAAAAAGACAAAAAAGGAGGAGTGGAGAGGAGAGGGGACCTGAAAAGCCGAAGAAGCAGTTCCAAAGACAAAGCCCTTTGGAAAACTGCCTCTGGAAATGTCCGCACATATGCATGTCTGATCCATCATCATCATCATCACCATCATCACCATCTTTGTCATCATCATGACAAATCTTCTCGGAGTCATGATCTCTTCCTTCAATGTTATCTTCTCCGGCCAGTTACATATATTTTTATGTGTAGATGGAAGGAAACTGTTTTGGATTAATAAGAAAGAAGTAAGAGACAAGAAGAAAAGAAAGAAAAAGGAGGAGTGCAAGTGTAAAAAAGCTATGTAAGGGGTACTACTATATATAGGAGGGGAAAAAAGAGATATGAAATCTTCTGATCCGAGCCAATAAAAAGGTGACAAAATTTCAGTTTTTCCGAGACTAAACAAATAATCAGGCAAATAATAATATGATAACCCCTGTTTTTTTTTTGTTTTGGGTTTAATAAGTTGATAACCACTGTTGCTAATGCTAGGATAACATTAAAAGGCACATTTACAAAAAAAGTTTACATGAAATGAAACGTAGATAAAAACAAATATGAAAAGTCTATTTTATTAACATTTACATATTTCTTTGGTATTTTATTAATATTCATAATTATTTGACGATATTTTTTAGTTAAAGTTTTAATTATTTTGATAGATACTATCAAAAATCACAAAAAATTTTAGCTAGATTCTGCAGTTACCATTTAGAATTATGAAAATTCAGCCAGATTTAGTTGAAAATCACTAAAAATTTAGTCAGACTCAGTAATTCAGCCAGATTTCTCGATACATCTAATGTCATATTGTCATGTTTTTTTTTTTTTTTTTTTTTTGTAACTAGTAATACAGCGTACGTGGTTAAGTAGGAGATTCATTTGATTAATTAATAAATGTAGAAGTTCGCAAGTGGGAATTATTAGGAGTGGCTCGTGTCTCGCGAAGTCATTGAAGTGCTTATAGTTGCTTATTTTTTAAGTTCTCATGCTTGACACGTATCGAATTGTTATTGCTTTTACACAATATTTTTTGTTGTTTGATACAATGTAGATGGGGAATATTTGCACAATATGTGGAGGGCATGTGTCGGACAATTGTTATGCTATCATTGGGTACCATGAAATGTAACACTAGAAAAGAATCTAGGTGTACCGTTAAGGCATACGGCATACCATATATATAGATTAGAAGGCTGAATAATCTTATTAGATTAGATATTTACACTATATATATGGATTACAAGAGTGATTAGGTAACTTATTGTGTTATAATTCTCTTACATTATCCACTTGTGATGCAACGTATCTTGGTGTTTTTGTTTAATTAAAACACGTTAGTAATTTTTGCCGTGTTCTCGTTTTTCTTTACAAATTTTACATTCTATGATTTTAATTTGCTTTGATTGTATTCATAATTACATTAGTTAATAGTCTTGCTTTCTTTTTAAAAGACGGATTTGTTGCTTTCATTATAACTTATACGCAAATAGACTTTTGATAGTTTGTGTTAAACGTGGATTTTAGATATAAGTACTTAAACTTAAGATACATTATATAATTGATTAGGTAAATTTCCACATATTACATTTCATGTTAATAAAACAAAATGCTGCATTTGATTTTGCATAATTTTTGCACTCATTGCGGTTGTGTACTTGTGATCGTGACCCTCTTATATGAAAAAAGGCTAGTGTTCCCATTTGCTTTTTTTTTTTCAAAGAGTTCTTTACACATCCCAATAATTCATTCTTTTAAATCCAGATTTTATTCTCTAAATCAAATCCTTTTTCTTGTGTATATATATTTTTCTTCTTATTATATAAATGTGATGTGATTTTTTTTTAATATGTAAGAGATTTCATCTGACTAATGAAGAAGTCACAAGTGGGAATTATTGTCTCGTGAAGTCATTGGAATGCTTAGTTGCTTATTTTGAAATTTGTCACGTCACAACAAATCTCATTAATTATTGTTTCTTTAATAAAAATGTGGATGGAGGATTTGGGGTTTGCGCAATTATGGATCATATGCGTTTGTTAGATTCACACTAACAAGTCAACGACCCACACTACACACCTCTCTAGTCTCTTCACTCTGTTTTCATATGCTCATGCAATTACGTCACTCATTTACACGCTTATGTTCACACATATGACTATTACTAATCAATGATTCGAAAACGATTGCTTACGATGTTAGCAATAGCCAATAGCAACCCTCTCTAAGCCTCTTCTACGTTCAGCAGCTTATAAACCAAATTTTTCTTAGGGGCAAATACAAATTTTCCCAAAGCCAAAGAACCAAGCGACAAGCTAATATGAGAGATGATGATGTCTCGCTATTCAGAAATCAACACCCGACATATATTATAGCCTTTAGGACATTCATTATTCAAAACGACACAGAAGATTTTGTAACAATTCAGCTAAAACAACAAAGGCTGTGTCTTTTAAGATTACAGTAGCAACTTCCATAAGAGTAGCGCAGAGCAGAGATCTGTCAGTTCTTCCTTCCCTCTGATAAGATAATGTGGTATCCGTGCCTGTAATTACCGCACAATCACATTCATCATCCACTAATAAAGCTAAATTCAGATCGAAGAAAGAAGAGATAGAATGTGGACATACGTTGATTTGAAGGGTGCACTGGTGACTCCAACTGGTGTGTTAAAGGCGACATCTTGGAATGGACCTGCCATCTTTCCACGAGGGAACCATCCAAGATCTCCTCCTTTTTTCCCTGATGGGCACTCCGAGTACTCTGCTGCAATCTGAGATCGCTCCACACACGAATCGTGTTAAGATTCTCTACCATTCATTACATACATCTATGGAAATATAGCTAACCGAAAACTGAAACTTATCGCTCTCGATAAATCAATGAACTATAAGATATTGAAATGAGTTTCCAGCTGTTATGTTAAATGTCACAGCTAGAGATGGAATAACAATACTCTCTGAACTATCTTAGATTGCTGTTTTGATCTCATAGAAAAAAAAAAGAAGAAGGATTTTCACCTTTGCAAACTCAGCAGGAGGAACCTTGTCTCCGTTGCTCAACCAACCATCCTGCAACTTTTTGTAGGCCTCGTTGATCTTTCCTTGCTTCTCGCACAAAACGTGTCTTGCTGAAACAAAACCATTATAGATTTGACTCTTATGCTACAACTACTTGTACTTCAAATAACTTGTAAGAGAACTTTGGGATCCATATTTGTTTACCAGTATTGTTTACACAAGAACGCAAGTATCAGTCACATAAACGAATAGAAAAACATACCTTTAACATAAGTGCATGTCCCGAGACCATCTGCGGCTTTTCCTGCTTTGCCTTTACCCTTGGAGGGCGCTTCATCACTACCACTAGCTTGCTTCCCTTTACCCTTCCCACCAGCTTTTGCGTCCTTCCCCATCAACTTAAAACTATAAGAAACAACCCACGATTAAAACTTTATTATCACTATTAGATTACAGGGTTTTAACAACATCTTGTAAACCCTGGAACTAAAACCCTAAACTTGGACTCTATACTAGAAGCAGATATATAATTAGTAAACATGTTTAAAAAGCAGAAACTTTGAGGCATTTTATCAAACACCTGGTAAAGTCAGATCCATCAAATTCAGAATGATCAAAACACCCAACAAGATTACAGATTAAAAATGAGTAATTTAACATTTGTCCAAATCGAAAAGCGGAGAGCCCAAAATAGAATCGATGCGTCCAAACACAAAATAATATCTCAAATGGAAAATTAATGATTCTAGATGGAAGATATAGCGCAAATAACACAAAGTCCAGTTTTCAATTTCTACCGAAATATAAGAGAATTGACCAACAATTAACAACACCTATCGGAGAAAAGACAAAGGGGACTATATCTATTGAGACAATAGACCATGAAATATAATTGAGAAGCCAAGAAATTTACAAAGACGACAACTTTACCTTGAGATTCTTCTTCTTTCAGATTGAATGATCGAGCAGAGAGTGAAAGAGAAAGAGATTTGTTTGGTAAATGGAATTAGAATATATCTTCGCTACGGAATAGTAACCCATCACTGAACTGGGCTCGGCCCATTAATGAGGCGTTGGATTCGGATTTTTTACTTATACAAGTTTACCTGAAACTAACTAATTAATACATTATAATTAAAGCCCTTCGTGAGCACCGATACAAATCTGATGATCTTCTTAACAATGTTAATTGAAATTATATTTTGTTAATCTTAAACTTAAATACGACAAATTACAAGACGAGGCCATTCAAGGTTGGGCTCGTTGGTCCAATAAGATACTCTTCTTATCAAATATTTCTATTTTTCGTAATTTTGATCGCGCCAAAAAAGAAAATGAAAAAACAATTATTTTTTCCTATTTTCGTAAATTTCTCCGTCTCTCTGCTTTTTCACTTGTAGAGCTGTTTTCCAAAGCAGAGTGAAATTTTAGGGTTTTACAAAAGAGCGGGTTTTGCTTCCCTCTTTGCTTATTTGGGATCTGGGTTTTGATTATTTCCGCAAAGTAACCACATTTTTCATTTCCGGAGATGGAGCAGCAAACGATGACGATAATGAAAGATTGTGAAGTTGAAGTCAGTTCTGAAGAAGAAGGATTCGAAGGTGCTTGGTTCAGAGCTATGTTAGAGGAAAACCCAGGGAACTCAGCTCGCAGAAAGCTTCGTGTTCGTTACTTGACGTTGCTCGACATGAACGGTTCGTCTCCTCTAATCGAACACATCGAACAGAGATTTATTCGACCTGTCCCTCCGGAGGAGAATCAACAAAAAGGCGTCGTTTTGGAGGAAGGTTCGCTGGTGGATGCTGACCACAAAGATGGATGGTGGACTGGTGTTGTCGTAAAGAAAGTGGAGGACGACAACTATTTGGTTTATTTTGATTTACCTCCTGACATTATACAGTTCGAGAGAAAGCAGTTGCGGACTCATCTTATCTGGACCGGTGGGAATTGGATCCAACCAGAAATTGAGGTATGAGGTTGATTTAATCGGAGTGGGTCTTTGCTTCAATGTTTGAAACTGTTTCTCAATTTTGTTGCTTTCTTGCAAAAGGTTGAAACTTTTCTCTATTTTTCGTTTGCTGAGTGTGTTATAGTTCCATGGTTAAGAGATCCTTTCTTATATCCGGTGTTGTTTTTGCTTGTAGCTGTCTCAATTTTGTTGCTTTCTTTGTTCTTGTTATATATGCTTTGGTTTAAATTGTTAAAAGGGAATCTTAAAGTAGACTTTTTTATGTTTGTTGTCTTTGAAGGAATTGGATAAGTCCATGTTTAGCTCCGGGACAATGGTGGAAGTGTTGTCTACCAAAGAAACTGTGTGGTCCCCTGCAATGGTAGTCAAAGAGATTGGTGTGGATGATAAGAAGAAATTCATTGTCAAGGACTGGAATAGGTACCTGAGCTGCAATGGTGATGATGCGATACCAAACAAGACTGTTGATTCGCGCCGTGTTAGACCCATACCGCCTCCTTCTTCGGTTGACCAGTATACATTGTTGGAATGTGTAGAGACGTTTTGTGGTTTGGGATGGCATAAAGGGCAGGTGAGGAAACTTCTCTCTGATAACCGTTACTCGGTTATTTTAGAGGCTACAAAGCAGGAATCTACAATTAAACACTCAGATCTTAGGCCTTTCATGGTGTGGGAAGATGGAGTTTGGCATAACGATCCAAAGGTATCAATTACACTACTTTCAGTCAACATTCTGACAGTTTTGGTTTTATTGGTATGAATGCTGTTGCGTTTTCTCTATTTTCAGCCAAAACCCATAAAAGAAACTCCTCCAAACATCTTGAAAAGGAAGCCAATGCGATCTTGTTCTGCTGCTAAACCAATGACTCCTAACAGTGCCACTAAGAATTTGAGAAGTTCCCTGAATCCTGACGAAATTAGCGAGACACTCACTAAAGCAAAATCTGTAGCTGTAAGTTAGACACTCACTAGTTTCCTTTGATTTCGTCATGTCTTTGCTTATGTTTTACATATTTGCGTTACCTGAAATTAGGCCACTGAAGAATTAGGAAAGAAGAAGGCTGATGCTGTGATGTATGACAAAACTCATCTGGTCATAACCCCGCAAGTAACATCAATAGGTAAATTTGATCTTCCTTAACTCCATGTGTTTAATTTCTACATCGCTTAATACTGATCTTTAATGTCGATGTGAATCTGTTTCACCTGTAACCCAGCCCCAGTCATAACAGCCACACAATTGAAACAACTAGAGGCTGAAACAGAAGGAAATAAATCCCCAAAGAAGACACTTGAGCCAATGAAGAATCAGAATGGCTTGGAAAATAGTTCAACTCAACACGAGGTAAAGCTAGTTTGTTGTTTGAAACATAACCATTCTCACTTCCACTAGATGGTGCTTATTATCTTTAGCCTTCATGATTGTTATTTGTTTTTGAATGCAGATGCCTGAGGAGGAGAATAGCAACGAAAAGAGTAGAAAGAGGAAAAGAGAACAAAATCAAAACTCTGACCTGAATGAAACTGGTATGTCTAAAATCAGCATTAGCCATATTACTTTTGGTATTCTTTGTTTCTTGCCAAATCTTTATCAAATCCTTGGTTAAAACTTGTAGATGAGACTTGCAATGGTTCAAAGGCTGGGATCAACGGTACAAGTGATAATATACGTGTTGATGATGTTGATGATCAGCCTCTCTCTGCTTGGATAAATATACCTACAGGTTCGGTTCAATATACTAAAGCAATTACTATTCAAAGTAGCTTTGATGTATCTTTTTTTTTAAATCAGGTTGTATATGCTTAAACAAAAAAATTTATTTTATTTTGCATTGGTTTATGTAGTGCTATCCTCTGATCAGAGCTCGAATGTGGCGGATAATTCTGCTGCTGATGTTGAGGAAACTCAAGCAAAGGGTACACTAATAATTGAGCCTTTTACAAAGAATTTGCCATTTTGGAAAACATATGAAACAGAGAAGGGATACAAGACAGTACCACAGAATCCTCATTTCAGCCCGTTGTTCGAGTTCAAAGAAGATATCCGTGAATGGTCAGCAGTTGGTATGATGGTGAGTTTCTACGGGTTATTAGAAGAAGTGAAAAATCTGCAGCTCGATGTTTCTTCCAGCAAACTAAGTAGCCTCAGTAGTTCTTTTGCCGAGCTAGAGAAGCATGGTTTCGACGTTGCAACCCCTCAGTCACGGATAAACAAAGTGTTGTCTCTCCAAGTTGGGCGAGCAAAGAAAGTGGAGGAAAGAAAATGTCTGGAGAAGAGGATTGAAGCTGAAGAGATTGAAATGCAAAAATTTGAACACGAAATGGTTGAGGTAGAACGTAAACTGTTGGAACTGAAGAGACAAGCAGAGGTTGCGAAAGAGAAGAAAGAAGCGAAGAACAAAATGATTGTTGAAATGAAATCATGTGCAGAAACCATTGATCAAGAGATTGCAGATGTGGAGCTGGAGTTTATAACATCTGTGTTGGCTCCGTGGTAATAAGTGAAAAGAAAAACGATATTATGAATGACCTCTAAGCTCCTATTTTGGTAAAATGAAGTAGATGTAAGTAATCTGTCAAAGATCTTTAGCCCTTATGGTTATTGTTGATGATGCTGTTTAGCTCTTACTTTGGTAAAATGAAGTAGATGTAAGTGATTTGTGCAAGATCTTTAGCCCTTATGGTAATTGTTGACGATGATGTTTAGTTTTTATCTTTTGTTGATCTTGTGATGATTACACGCATGTTATCTTAATTTTTCACACCAATTTACCAACCATGTCAACAAGATTGTGCAAGAGCTTGAGAAAATAATTGTCTTTAATGCTTAGAAGTACAATAACAATATCAAACAGACAGATTTCGCCAGAGATTGAACACAAATGGCTCAATATCACATAACACAACCTTTCTTACTCATTTGATTCGCAGCTTAAACCAACACTAACTTAGGCTTCCCAAAATTCTTGGAATCAACATGGGTCTCGTTTCCTATATCAGTATCTTGGAGCTGCACCATAAAAAAAACCACAAAAGTGAATTCAAATAAGCTAATACCAAGTAACCTTATATTCAAATATCACTGTAGAAGAGATGATACAATGCATACCTCCACCGATTGTTGCTTCAGGCAGCTTCTCTATTGAGTACTTGCGTCGTGTCACATACATGATTGGTACACCAGGAATCTATATACGAACAACAATAAGAAAATGAACATTCAAGGATTCTAGCCATGGATTTCAAAAAGCATTCATATCAAACTACTATCTTTACCTTGCGAATCCTTCGCTTTAGATCTCTATCACAAGTAGCTACTATGAAGCACTTATGCTGGTATATTACAGAGGAAAGAAGAAAACAGAAGATTAGACTATATGCATAAACAGAGCATCTTCTTAGAGAAACAAAGGTAAACAAAACCGGAGCTGAGGCATTACCTGAGTAACTCTGTCAACGAGACAGTCATCAGCATATGTCCCTTTGTGTACACAAGGTAGTCTTTCAAATCGGGGATCCTTTGCAATCCTAACCAAATTGTAAAGTAACCAATCAAGAATCCACAAAAATGATGCAATTCTACTGATTACTCTTATTTGAAGTCAAAACAAAAGCTTTTACCTCAGAGCTACACGATACTTCTGACCTAACTTCTCCAGCTCAGCCATGACACAGTCCGTGATACAAGGAGTGCCTTTAAATCCCAAACGATTCAAAGTTTAACAAAGAGAAAGAATATTGCATAACTGTAAACTAAACAATTAAGTAACTCACATTTTGCGTACAAACAGTCCATCATTCCCTTCTCAAGATCAATCTATAACATAAAACAGAAGAAACTAAGTAAAAAATGATATCCATTTGCACCATAAACAACAAGATTTCAATCAAGTCCACCAAGACAAAAAAACTCAACCAAAATCGATCTTTACTTTAGCTTTAATTTAGATAATGCAATTTGATTGTGGATTACCTTATTCTGGATAGAGAAGTTGATGAAATTGGTATCCACCAAAACCCGGTAAGGAGGAACCAAACTAGAGTTGTGAGAAAAGAAAAGCCCTGAAGGAACACTTGGACTGATACAAAAAAAACCACCAAAATCACAAATCAAAATCCAAAATCACGAAAGCACAAAAAAGGGGATTATAGCTTACACGTTTCTCGGAAGTTCAGTGAGGTCCTTCTTGTTTGGATTCAGAACCTCCTCCTTGTAACTGAAGATAAGTTATCCATTAAGAAACCAACAAGAAAAAAAATCAAAATTTTGAGGAAGAAGAATTGTTACTTACTGCTTCAAAGCTTTGTGGCTTATCAATTTTTTCATTACAGCAAACTTTTGAGGTTTCTTTGATCTTCCCATCGTTGAAAGCAAAGAGTAAAAACAACCCTTTAAACCTTAGAAGGAGAGCAGAGAGAAATGTGCTCTCTTTCGAAACAGAAGACAACGACAACTTTAGTTCTTCTTCTTCTCTCAGATGCAAGAAGAATCGAGCAGGGAGAGTAAGAAAGAGATTTGTTTGTTAAAATTAGGGGTTTGACGTTTGAGTCGTTTGACATTTTAACCAAACCGAACCGAGCCAAATCAATTCGAACGAACCGAACCGAGCTAAGTTGGGCTCGGCACATATACGGAGCTCTGTCTCTTACGGCGTCTCTCTCTGCATAAACCGGCGATGCTGAAGGAAGAAGCTGAGGGAGTGAAAATGGAAGATGATGATGAAGAACCACCGATGGCTATTCAAATCCAACCGGATGTTTCTGTCAGAAAGATTCTCTCATCAAGCGACACTGTTTCAGTTGGTGTCTCTGTTATCACTGGCTATCTCGGCGCGGGAAAATCCACCGTAAGTCCCTTCCTTTCACTGATTTACGTGTTGGGTTTTGGTTTTTGATTGTTGATTGTAGTATGTAATCTGATTGATTTTGCACCAGCTTGTGAATTATATATTGAACGGGAAACACGGGAAGAGAATAGCTGTGATTTTGAATGAGTTTGGGGAAGAGATTGGAGTTGAGAGGGCTATGATTAACGAAGGAGAAGAAGGTGCCATTGTTGAAGAATGGGTTGAGCTCGCTAATGGCTGTGTTTGTTGTACTGTTAAGCATAGTCTTGTTCAAGCTCTCGAGCAGCTTGTTCAGAGAAAAGACAGGTGCTTTGTCTCTCTATCTCTCTTTAAACGCTGGTTCGAACTCAAAACAATTTCAGCTCATATTAATGATCTTCTATCTGATTTCTAGACACAATGAGATTTTCGTGATGATTGTTAGCCCTAAAGCTCTAAGATTTAGTGATGGGTTGAGCTCGCTAATGGCTGTGTTTGAAGTAGAATTACTTACATTTTGGAGAAGAATGTCTCTTTCACTTATTAGACGTTCTGCTTTTGCTTTCTCGTTTGCAGGCTTGATCATATATTACTGGAGACAACAGGTTTAGCGAATCCAGCTCCACTGGCTTCTATTCTTTGGTTGGATGACCAGTTAGAATCAGAAGTCAAGCTTGACTGCATTGTTACTGTGAGTATCTAATTCACTTCTCCTTTGTTAAGCTTGAAGCTGTTCCTTATACTTCTCCTATCATCTTGCACACAGCAGATGAATTGTAAAACATAGAATTATGCTATTGACTCCATTATTTCTCTTCGTAAAACATAGTTAGTCATCTTTCTTTTTCTGGTTAACTCTTTGTAACATATATGTCTCAGGTTGTGTACCTTCTCACCGGTTCCAGTAATTTAGTGCTTAGGTATCTTGTTCCAAATGCATTTACTGACCTAGCTGCTTGAACAGGTCGTGGATGCAAAGAATCTTCGTTTTCAGCTCAATGAGCGCCGTGACTCATCCTCGTTTCCTGAGGCCTTTAATCAAATAGCATTTGCGGTAATCATTTTCTGACAACCAATGGGTACACTGACTTATGGCCTTCTACATCATGACATGACTTTTTTAATTCGTTTTGCAGGACACGATAATAATGAACAAGGTGGACTTGATTTCTCAAGAGGAGTCTGATGAATTAGAGAAGGAGATTCATTCCATCAACTCGCTCGCCAATGTCATCCGATCTGTTAGGTGCCAAGTTGATTTGTCCAATATATTAAACTGCCAGGCATATGATTCAACTGTTAAGTCTCGGAAATTTCTCATCTCTCTCTTCGATTATTATTTATGCTTTTGACTGTAAAAACTGAACTTTTTTTCCTTGTTCACTGTTGAAATTAGCATGTTAGTCGTCTGGAATCCCTGCTGGAAGCAAATAAATCATTAACGACGACAGATCTTCACGATAGTGGAGTAAGGACTCTATGCATCAGCGAACCCCAACCTATAAACCTCGATAAGGTAGCAAATTTATTGAACATTCTTGGACAATTAGTTAAGGAATAGTGTTCTTTGTGATACACCAACTTGTTTCTCGGTTTGACAGGTTCGTTTATGGCTTGAGGAAATTCTGTGGGATAAAAAATCGGAGATGGATGTATACCGTTGCAAGGCTGTGTTGAGCATTCAAAACTCAGACCAGATGCATATTTTGCAGGTAATGTAGTCATGAATTAAAGCATGAGTAAGGTCTTATGATCCTCTCAGAATGTCCTTCACATTCTTGTTGGTTATTGAATATGCGCAGGCTGTTAGAGAGATATATGAGATAGTGCCAGCACGAAAATGGAGCGAGGAAGAGAATCGAACGAACAAAATAGTATTTATAGGTCATATCTCCTTTGTGCTCATAGTAAACATTTTTGCTCCCAACACTCTCTTTTCTCTCAGATTACTGATTCAAGTAATTGAATATATTACAGGACACAAACTGGATGAAGAAGTTCTTAGAAGCGGATTAAGAGATTGCAGACCCTAAACGAAAAAGCAAACTTGCACTGACAACTAGATTGGTCTATTTTGGTTTTTTCCCCAAGTTTTACCGTCATGAACAATACTTTATATTAATCATCATTAACTTGATCAATTTTTGCATAATATATAACAACTATGTAAGGTTATTTAGGTGTTTCAATTAACTTCTTTACAATCCTGGTTTAATTCTATAAGCAAATCCAAAGCAAGAAGATTTATGATCTTGAAGAGCTTATTAAGATAGATATATAAGCTAAGAAATAAGATAGCTCATATCAAGCTTTATTGAAGGAAAGAGATTTAGATTGTCACCAAAATTTTAATTGATTTTTGGATTGATTTTCATATATGGAAAAGAAGGAGAGTTGCTCCAAATTGATGTTCTAGACAAAATCTCTTACTTACAGGAGGGATTATTGGTTCATGGATTTATAAAGAATTAGAAATCCAAACAAAAATCATTTGTTATTCAATCTTAATTAAAATCATGTGTTATTGATTATTATGATTTATAAATACTAGTTAAAATCTTATGTTATTCGTTTAGTCATTTGTTTTTGGATTTGAAAATCCAAATTATGTTTTAAATGGATTTGAATGGAATTGAAAAAGAAAAATAGAAGGATTTAAACACATGTTATAAACTCTAGTTACATGGGCAGATGGACTTTCACATGAGACTTTATCTTGGGCTTCTTATGGACCCTCAAATATACCCAATCCTGCATCATATCCGTAAGAGCCACTTAATCACTTGCAGGGGTATGTAACTGGGTCAAGCGACTCAACAAGCCCATTAGTTATATTTATAGTTTTACTAGTCGCTAGAAAAGAGCAAAAGCAAAGAGTAGACAGAGAGCCATTATTAGGGTTTCGAAACAAGAGCGATTGATCATGAGAAGACGCAACAAAAAGACCAAAACCGAGAAGAATCTACAAAAGTCGGAAGAGAAAAACAAGTTTGATGAACTCCCTCTAGACCTAGTGATCGAGATATTTAGGAGATTGCCTTTGAAATCTGTAGCTAGGTTTCTCACACTATCCAAGTTATGTGCAACAACAATCCGCAGTCTAAGTTTTATCACATCTTTCCGGTCGCAGCCTTGTACCTTAATCGCTTCCACCCTTCTATTCAACTCCCATTCCCGCTTTAAATCTAGTACGGCATACCAAAAGTTGTCCTTCTTCTCATCGTCGTCTTCCTCATCATCATCAACGTCTTTTCTATCACGTTTGACATGTCCGTCCCCATATCCTGATCACATGGAGTACTATTATCATTATGTTAATGGATTGATAAGCGTTGGATATGGTCGAGAGCAAATCGTAACTAACCCCAGCACTGGTAGATTCATAACTTTACCAAGTGTCAGAACAAAGAGAAGGGTCGTGAAAAGTTTTTTCGGGTATGATCCAGTTAGTGATCAATACAAAGTCTTGTGCATGACGGAAAGACTTCGCGGCCATCAACAAAAACCATCATCTCAACATCAAGTGTTCACACTGGGAAAAAAAAAGCCATGGAAAATGATAGATAGTACTAGCATTCCTGATCACCGTCCTTGGACTAACGGTGTTTGCATAGATGGTGTTGTGTATTACGTTGCTAAAACGGGGCAAGGTATGTCACAACTGAGCTTAATGAGATTTGATTTGAGGGATGACACTTTGAATGTTTTTACTAGTTTACCTGAAGAGATTCGAACTCCAACAATATATAGTGACACTTTATTAAACTACGAGGGGAAACTAGCCATAGCCATTCCAATTACATCATGGACATTTGATGTGTGGGTTATGGATCATCTGGATGGTGAAAAACATGAATGGTTGAAGAAAATAACTTTCAGTATTGAACCTTGGAAGAGTTCATTCATCTATCTACGCGTTAGAGGCACTACTCTTACCGGTGAGTTTATCTTCGCACCAATGACTTATTCTGATGAGTTTTATGTCTTCCATTTCAATCCCAACAAGAATAGTTTTACAAAGATTAAGATTGAAGTTTCCGAAGACAATGTGTTCAAGGGTCGTTATAAAAGAGTAATTGTTTTCTCGGATTACATTGAGAGTGTTAGATTGTTGTCGGAGAGACAATTCATGATTTGATACCCATAATCTTGTTTTTTGTACTTTCGTTGATTACTCTGTTGATACTTAATTATGCTAATTATTGGGTTAACTTTATAATACTTATGCTTGGTTTACTTTAAAATCATGAATGTTTATATGCTAATGGAAAATTATAGAAGAGGAAGAGAGAGATAAGAGTAGGTCACAAGTTTTAAAGTTTTTAAGGAAAGGGTTTGGATTTTTTAATGAAAATTGTAATTGTACGTAACAAGTGTAAGGTTGTAGGCTTGTAGCTTGTGGGGAATTGTTCTATCGAAGAGAGAACCTGCCTTATCAAAAAAAGAGAGAACCTGCCTATACCAATTCACACCCTCTTTGATTTTAATTTCATTCGGGACATATACATGGGTTCACTTTGTTTTGGGGCAATCTTCCAAAGAAGAAAGTGACGAACAATAAAGGAAGTCTACATACACTATACATTCTGAATCTCTACAGTATAGTCTTTTAGATGGTTGTGAGACACAACTTGTGACAAAGGAAATACGGAATTGACACTAACACTTATCTTTTGCACTTCTGTTACATTTTTGTTTGGTGTTCTATATACTTAAACAAGACTAATAAATTAGGAATGTCATGAAAGGGGTTAACCTACCCCACTTAAACCGCTCGAATCCACAGTCCACAATGAGGCAACTTGTGCGCAGCCCACATTTTTTGGCATCAAAATTGTAGCCTTGACTCGTCCAATGATAAGAAAATTCATGTCCAGTCCGCTTGTTCTTCGCCGTTTGATAGTCCAAATGGTTTGTTTTCTTTGTCATATTTTTATTTTGGACAGTGTTAAACCCAAATGTTTCAAGTTAAAGACATGTAGTCAAGCCATTAAAACAAACTTGGAGCAGAAGCTTCCTCTTTCTCATTAGTTCCCACAGGAACAAATTCTTGATTGTTCACAGTGAAGCCTTCATTATCACATAAGCTACGGTCAACCCGGATGGCAACACCAAGCGCGTCTGACAAAGCGCCCCCATTGCCCATTGGTTCGACAGAAGACTTGCAAAACTATAACAAACTAGTGTTAATTCTTTACTTTCACCTATGCTTTCATAATCTAGTAGCTAGGAGGTATGATCAGAGCTTTTAAGGAATTTCGTATGCTGAATGGTTTGGTTTGGTGAATGGATTGTTCTGCTTCTAGCTTCAAATATTGTTGGATTAACTTTGATTAATTAGTTTTTATTTCATAAACAAAATTATCATTTCTTTCTAAAATCAGTTAGACCTTTTCTCTTTGTCTGCGGGATAAAAAATCGGAGATGGATGTATACTGTTGCAAGGCTGTGTTGCGCATTCAAAACTCAGACCAGCTGCACATTTTGCAAATTGGTCTATTTTGTTTTTTTTTTCCCAAAATTTAATAATCTTTGGTTAATATCTGGTTTAGTTACGTATTTTTTGGTTAGTTTATTAGGTTTAGCAAACACATAATTATATATATGTAAACCTTTCTCCATTAGCTAAAATCAATCAACCAAAGCGAACACATTAGAATCAATTATCATCTTCTTTTATCACTTCTCTGCTAGTTTATAGGGTTTTGAAACAAGAGCGATTGATCATGAGAACACGCAGCAAAAAGACCAAAACCGTGAACAACAACAAGAATCTACAAAAGTCGGAAGAGAAAAACACGTTTGATCAACTGCCTCTGGACCTATTGATCGAGATATTTAGGAGGTTGCCTTTGAAATCTGTAGCTAGGTTTCTCACACTATCCAAGTTATGTGCAACAACTATCCGCAGTCCAAGCTTCATCACATCTTTCCCGTCGCAGCCTTGTACCCTAATCGCTTCCGTCCCTGTAAACAATTTCCCTCCCAGGCGTTTTAAATCTAGGGGACACCAAAATTTGTACTTCTTCTCATCATCATCGTCTTTTCTATCACGTTTGACATGTCCGTCCCCATATCCTAATTACGTAGAGTACCATTATCATTATGTTAATGGATTGATAAGCGTTGGATATGGTCGAGAGCAAATCGTAACTAACCCTAACACTGGTAGATTCATTACTTTACCAAGTGTCAGAACAAGGAGAAGGGTCGTAAAAAGTTTTTTCGGGTATGATCCTGTTAGTGATCAATACAAAGTGTTGTCCATGACGGAGAGACTTCATGGCCATAACCAAGATCCATCATCTGAACATCAAGTGTTCACACTGGGAGAAAAAAAGCCATGGAGAATGATAGATAGTACTAGCATTCCTGATCACCGTCCTTGGACGAATGGCGTGTGCATAGATGGTGTTGTGTATTATGTTGCTAAAACGGGGCAAGGTATGTCACAACTGAGCTTAATGAGATTTGATTTGAGGGCTGACAATTTGAATCTTTTTACTAGTTTACCTGAAGAGATTCGAACTCCAACAATATATAGTGACACTTTGATAAACTACAAGGGGAAAGTAGCCATGGCCACTCCAGTTACATCATTTACATTCGATGTGTGGGTTATGGATCTGGATGAATGGTTGAAGAAAATAACTTTTAGTATTGAACCTTGGAAGGGTTCATTTCGTTGTTTACGCGTCAGAGGCACTACTTGTACGGGTGAATTTATTTTCGCACCATCGTACTATTCTGATGAGTATTATGTCTTCCATTACAATCCCGACAAGAAGAGTTTTACCAAGATTAAGATTGATCAAGGTTCCGCACACTGTGAGTTCAAGGGTCGTAGATATAAAGCAATTGTCTTTTCGGATTACAGAGAGAGTGTTAGATTGTTGTCGGAGAGACAATTCATGATTTGATACCCATAATCTTGTTTTTTGTACTTTCGTTAATTACTCTGTTGATACTTATGCTTATTTTCAAGTCTCTCGTTTTTTTTTTTTTTGTTTAATTAAGTATACTACCTAAATGCACTATTTGTGTATATGGAGATCGGACATAGTAACCAGGTTGCAGGGTTGACTCAAGTATTCGGCATCACAAAAGACAGTTTTGGTAACCTATCTACGCTTATTATCCTATGCAATCTTAGCTCATTGCTTCCTCTGCCTCTTCTCGGTCTTTTACCGCGAGATTCTCCAGATACTCTTACTAAAGATGATGCAGACATTGAGATGAAGTCCAATTAAGGAACGTGGTGATAATCTCAAATGTTAAATGTCATACCTTTTTGGAGTTGTGTGTATTCAGTTCCAACCCTGTGATTACTTGAGAAGAATGAAGCAGGGTTTTAACTTGAAAACTACGTCATTACCCTTATCATGTAACCAAAATGTTGCAATTCTAAAAACAATAAACTCTTTGTTAAATTGCAGAAACCTACTTCAATATGCAAAATTAGTAATGACAGTAATCTCTACAATTAAGTTTCTAACATGATTCTAGATTTGATTCGACGTACATCATTCAGTCTTCCTCATCAGCACCATAGTTTTGGCATAGTGATGCAAGTCCCAAAACTGAATCACTTGTGAATGGCAAAACAGAATCAGTTAATGGCTTTGAGTTTAATTTTGAGTTTTGGTTCCAAACATAGTAGTTTTGTTTCTATGAATGCTTGTACATCTTCTTGTTTTATCACAAAAGACATATTGTTTTGCAAAAATTTGTTTTTTTCTTCTTCTTAACAACCTCATTAGAGATTACCATTGGAAGAGAATTTTAAGTTTAAAAAATAGTTAAGAGCTAAAAATAAGAGACCCTCAATGAGGTTGCTCTAATGGAAAATAATAGAAGAGGAAGAGAGAGATAGTTAGATAGAGGGGTAGGTCACAAGGAAAGGCTTTGGACTTTTTAATGAAAATTGTAACGGTAACAAGTGTGTATGAGTCTCTTTTCAAAGGTTGTAGCTTGTGAGGAATTGTTAGACAACTCTTAAGTTAAGAGATATGTCTTATAACTAACAAAAGTCTCATAATCAATAAGGATGGTCTTAAATCGAAGAGAGAACGTGCCTATACCAATTCACACCCTCTTTGATATTTATTTCATTTGGTGTATATATGGATTCTCTTTGTTTTGGGACAAGTTTCCAAAGAAGAAAGTGACAAACAATAAAGGACGTCTACATACATCGTAAATTAGTGGTAAATTCAATGCCAATTAACGCTGGCTTTTTCGTCATAAATTTTTGATGCAAAACTATACATTCTGAATCTCTACAGTATAGTCTTTAGATGGTTGTGAGTCACACCTTGTGACAAAGGAAATACGGAATTGACACTAACACTTATCTTTTAGACTCTTCTGTTACATTTTTTTGGGGTTCTATATACTTAAACAAGACTAATAAATTAGGAGTGTCAAAGGGGTTAACCCACCCCAATTAAACCGCTCGAATCCACAGTCCACGATGAGCCAACTTGTGCACAGCCCACATTTTTGGCATCAAAATTGTAGCCACATGACTCGTCCCATGATAGGACATTTCATGCCCAATCCGCATGTTTTTTTGCCGTATTGATCAATACAAATGGTTTGCTTTCTTTGTCATATTTTATTTTGGACAGTGTTAACCCAAATGTTTCAATTTAAAGAGATGTAGTCAGGACTCAGGCCATTAAAACAAACTTGGAACAGAAGCTTCCTCTTTGTCATTAGTGCCCACAGGAACAAAGTCATGATTGTTCACAGTGAAGAAGAAACTTCAAATTTGTATTTAGTATTTACATTTTACAATGTCAGATACTATAAAGGTAGCAAATATGTATTGAACATTCTTGGACAAGTAGTTAAGAAATAGTGTTTTTCGTGATACATGCACCAACTTGTTCCCGGTTTGGTACAGGTTCGTTTATGGCTGGAGGAAATTCTGTGGGATAAAAAATCGGAGATGGATGTATACCGTTGCAAAGCTGTGTTGAGCATTCAAAACTCAGACCAGCTGCACATTTTGCAAATTGGTCTATTTTGGTTTTTGTTTCCCAAGATTTAATAATCTTTGGTTAATATCTGGTTTAGTTACGTATTTTTTGGTTTAGCAAACACACTACACTATATGTATAACCTTTCTCCATTGGTTAGAATCAATCAACCAAAAAATAACAATTATCTTCTTCTTTATCTCTTCTCCCTCTCTCTACAATCGCTTATCATCATCATCATCCACCATCAAATCCATTTGTCCTATGATGATCATTTCTCTTCTTTGATCGTCTTTTGGCTTGTGATTTTGCTCAATTCCAAGTCCACGGTGCTGGATTCTTGATTTAGGGTTTGGAAACAAGAGCGATTGATCATGAGGACACGCAGCAAAAAGATCAAAACCGTGAACAACAACAAGAATCTACAAAAGTCGGAAAAGAAGAACAAGTTTGATCAACTCCCTCTGGACCTAGAGATCGAGATATTTAAGAGGTTGCCTTTGAAATCTGTAGCTAGGTTTCTCACACTATCCAAGTTATGTGCAACAACTATCCGCAGTCCAAGTTTCATCACATCTTTCCCGTCGCAGCCTTGTACCCTAATCGGTTCCGCCCCTATAATCAGGACGTGCCACAACTTGCCTTCCAGCTTTAAATCTAAGGACCAAAGGTTGTACTTCTTCTCATCGTCTTCCTCATCATCAACGTCTTTTCTATCGCGTTTGACATGTCCGTCGTCCCCATATCCTAATCTGATAGAGTACTATTATCATTATGCTAATGGTTTGATAAGCGTTGGATGTGGTCGAGAGCAAATCGTAACTAACCCTAGTACTGGTAGATCCATAACTTTACCAAGTGTCAGAACAAGGAGAATGGTCGTAAAAAGTTTTTTCGGGTATGATCTAGTTAGTGATCAATACAAAGTCTTGTGTATGACGGAAAGACTTCATTGCCTTCGACAAGACCTATCATCTCAACATCAAGTGTTCACACTGGGAGAAAAAAAGCCATGGAAAATGATAGATAGTACTAGCATTCCTGGTCACTGTCCTTGGTCTAACGGTGTGTGCATAGATGGTGTTGTGTATTATGTTGCTAAAACGGGGAAAGGTATGTCACAACTGAGCTTAATGAGATTTGATTTGAGGGATGACACTTTGAATGTTTTTACTAGTTTACCTGAAGAGATTCGAACTCCAAGTCTATGTAGTGACACTTTATTAAACTTTGAGGGGAAAGTAGCCATAGCCATTCCAACTACATCATATATTTTTGATGTGTGGGTTATGGATCAGGATGGCGAAAAACATGAATGGTTGAAGAAATTAACTTTCAGTATTGAACCATGGAAGAGTTTATTTGGCTATCTATACGTTAGAGGCACTACTCATACGGGTGAGTTTATCCTCGCACCATGGCAATATTCTGATGAGTTTTATGTCTTCCATTACAATCCCGGCAAGAATAGTTTTACAAAGATTAAGATTGATGTATCCGCAGACGATGAGTTCAAGGGTCGTTCTAAGAGAGCAATAGTTTTTTCGAATTACGTAGAGAGTGTTAGGTTGTTGTCTGAGAGACAATTCATGATTTGATACTCCTTTTTTTTTAACTTTCGTTGATTACTCTGTTTATTAATCAGTTTTATCACCATTTCTTTCTAATATCAGTTGGACTTTTTCTCGTTGTCTGCTTGTTTGAGACAACCATTGCTTTCCAAACAAAGAAGAAACTTCAAATTTGTATTTACAATGTTAGAGAATTGTGTCTATATGACTTCAATAATTTCTCTGTCTCTCCTTCTCTCTCGTGTAGTCATCTTCTCTCCATACCTCTGGAATATATCAGCCAAATCAAACAAGCTCACTTCTCTAAGTTTCTTGGCCATCTCTTCAAACATAACCACACCTTCCTCATTAGAATAACAATGCAAGAACTTGCTATAATCAAATCTAGGAACTTCAAGCCCTCTCTTCAACGTTCTCTCTACATACTTTGTAATTTCCAAGCGTTTCCCTGCCTTGATCATACCTCCAACGAATATCGTATCGAAATTCACTAACGGGTCCGGTCCTTTCCTTCCTCTCCTACCCAAATGTCCTTGCAGCAACATAAGATACGTATGCATTATAGGCTCGCACCCTCTCTGTATCATCTTCCTGAAAACCTCTGTTGCCTCACTTGCCCGTTTAATCTTCACCAACCCTTTTATCAATGCATGATAGATACTAATATCCGGATTCTCAACCCCTTCCACCGTCTTATAAGCCTCTGCAACTCTTCGTTTAACCAACAGTCCATAGATTATCGACGCCCAAGTTAAGTTATCCACCTGAACACCTCTCTCACGCATTTCATCGAACACCTTACGTGCCATATCAATCCTACCGTTTTTACATAACCAATCAATCATAACCCTGTAGAAACACCCATCTAAATCACAACCTCTCTTCGAAACCATCACGTAAAAGACCTTCGAAGCTTCATCAAACTGGTTCTTCTTTAGAAATGTTTCCATAATCTTTTTACCAGCTTCAATATCAACCTCAAATCCTTCATCCATCATCAAATTCCAAAGCTTAGCAGCTTCAATCAAATCACCAACATCACAAAACCCTTTAATCATCGTCCTATAAGTAATCTCATCAGGTTTGATAAACTCTCTCAGCTTAATAACAACAAACTTAGCTTCTTCCACAAGCTTCTCCTTACACAGAGTCTCCACTCCTCTATTCATCGTTTGCACATTATATAAATACCCAAAATCGTTCATCAGATGGAAAAAGTTAACACATTTCTTCAACTCTCGAGCAGAAGCAAGTGTTTTCAACACAATCCGAAACGTCTTATCGTTAACCAATCCACGTTTCCCGATCTCTTGAGCCAATTCCCAGAAAAGATCCATGTTTCTTGAGTTCCCGATGATTGCAAGCATCTTATTAGAGGTAGTGGAAGTGTGGACGAAATCAGGGTGGTGAGTCTGAGAATAGAGGAAGAAACGGTGTACCGGACGCCATGAGAGTGGGAAATTGTTGCAGACTTGGAGGAAGAACTCGTGTGTTAGTTGAAATTTGGTGGAGGAGAGTTTAGAGACGAGACGTGAATCAGGCGAGTTCTGTTGCTGGTAGAGAATTGTACAGACTCGGAGGAGATGGTCTTGGTTTATCGGTGTGATGTTGTTTGGAGTTAACTCGGTGGAGAAGAAGCGGTGGTTGAGAATGAAGAATCGCCGAATTGGGTTTCCGATGTTAATCATTCTCCGTGAAGAAACGACGGCGATAGCCATAAGTTTCCCGGCGAATGGAGAAAAAGAATTATATAAAGGAATTAGGTAAACAGCGACTGTGAGTATAAAAAGAATGAAAAACTGGAGATGCGGGGGATCGAACCCCGTGCCTCTCGCATGCAAAGCGAGCGCTCTACCATTTGAGCTACATCCCCATTGATGTTTATAGAAGTAATTAAAACTATATAAATGATTAGATAAAACGGTGTCGTTAGGGAGCGAAAAGTTCGTTAAGTTAGTTAGAAAGAATAGCGAAGAAAAACCCAGGAATTGCGCAGACACAGAGGCGCGTTCGGATCTCAAGGTTGAGATTCAGTCTTGTTCCGCCATTTGCGAACTATCTTCTAAACTTTTTTTTATATTTCTCTCTTTCCCTCCCATCTCTTTCGATCATTTTATTTATCTCACCAAAGGAAAACAAAACAAAAAATCAAACAAACCCATAAATCAAAATCTCTGTTTTCAGACAGATTATCGGAACAAAATGTCATCATCAGGATCCGACAAAGAAAGAGAGACTTTTGTCTATATGGCTAAGCTCTCCGAACAAGCCGAGCGATACGACGGTAACATAATCTCTTAATTATGTCGATTTTAATTGCGAGAATCTTTAGAACTTTTAAGGAATGATAATGTGCAGAGATGGTGGAGACGATGAAGAAAGTGGCGAAGGTGAATAGCGAGCTGACGGTGGAAGAGAGGAATCTGTTGTCGGTTGGTTACAAGAACGTGATCGGAGCGAGAAGAGCTTCGTGGAGGATAATGTCGTCGATCGAGCAGAAAGAAGAGTCCAAAGGCAATGAATCAAACGTGAAACATATCAAGGGTTATCGCCAAAAGGTTGAAGATGAGCTCGCTAACATTTGCCAAGACATTCTCTCCATCATTGATCAGCATCTCATCCCTCACGCTACCTCAGGGGAAGCCACCGTCTTCTACTACAAGATGTGATAACAAAAACACTCTTCTTTCTTGCATCATCATCATCTGCAAATGAAACTCAATTTGATCTGAAATTTGTAGGAAAGGAGATTATTACCGTTACTTGGCTGAGTTTAAGACCGAGCAAGAGAGGAAGGAAGCCGCTGAACAGTCGCTCAAAGGCTATGAGGTATTGAATGTAGAAAACAAGTTTTTTTTCTCAAACACTTGTAGATTAAGAGAATGTTGGTCTGATGCATCGGTTTTGATTAGGCTGCAACACAAGCTGCAAGCACTGAGCTTCCTTCGACCCATCCGATTCGTCTTGGCCTTGCTCTTAACTTCTCTGTTTTTTACTATGAGATCATGAACTCTCCTGAAAGGTTCACATTCATTTGTACAACATTGATTCCTAAATGAAATACCATCAGGTGCCAACTTTGTTGTAATGTGGTTTCCACTAAACTGTTGCAGAGCTTGCCATTTGGCGAAGCAAGCCTTCGATGAGGCGATTGCGGAGTTAGATACTCTAAGTGAGGAGTCGTACAAGGACAGCACTTTGATCATGCAGCTCCTGAGAGACAACCTCACCCTCTGGACTTCTGATCTTCCTGAAGATGGAGGTTTGTCTGAAAATCACACAGCATACATGATGTCTTTCAAAATGTTATGAGCTTAAGCAATGGTTTTGTTATGTTTTTCAGGAGATGACAACATCAAGACTGAAGAACCCAAGCAAGAACAGGCTAAGCCTGCCGATGCCACTGAGGTAGTAATTCACCTTAAAATGAAGTACAGATATGAATTGTTCTTGTTGGGTCAAAAGCTCAATGTTGTTTTGTTTGTTTGTTTGTTCCAGAACTGATCAAAAGGGCTTGGAAGTTGAATGAGATTTAGATTCGATGCCCAGAAGGGGGAGGCAAATTCCTTTAAATTCCATAGCTTGGTTTCATCAGGAAGATGGGATCAGAGACAATTGAATTCAATCCTATATTGTTTCTTTTTTTGTATTACTTTTCTTCTTCTTTATTTTGTTGTCAATTTTCATGTCATCAAGTATTTTATGTTATGCAATTATATTATGATTTGATCAGATATGCTTTTGCTGCTATACATTTCAAATGTATATTAAAAATTGCCAACCAAACAAACACAACCATGGCTCTAAATGTCAACATGAAAAGAGCGAAAACCGCAAAACAAAAAGCTTGTTATCATTATTAGCTCTTCAACAGAGTAAAAAAGGATGGTTTTATTGACATTAAAACTGCAGAATATACAGAAAAAAGCTTATCATAAGAGCTGAAGACAAACCTAACCATATACAAAAAAGATGGGAAGATGAATGAAGCAAAGATCTTTTCTTCTTGCTCTGTCATTCTTCTTCCTTATCAAAGTAACTCTGCGGCAAGGTAAAGTCTTCCTCGTGATTCAGAATGTCTATGTCCTCATCATCTGATTTCTATTGAAAAAAAACAGAGGTAACAGATTTATAAAACCATAACCCCAACTCTAAACAAGGCCATGAAGTGAAACCTAAGGTATGGGACATAACAATCAATGCTTGTTGTAATTACTACTCACCAGCATCTCAATGTTGTAGAAACGATCAAGTAGCTGCAGAACCTCATCTGCTGTGAACGGTCGGTCAAAGCTATGGACAGGAATAGTTTGATATAGAGATTCAATCAATGAGGGTCATAGACTCATGTGTTGGAAGTATGAAAGAAACTCTGAAAACAACAAACCTTCTTCCGAGATACTCCATCAGACCATAAAGAACAAAGTGGCGATGTATCCCTGCAAACCATCATAATCCCATTAGTAGAAATCAAGAAACCAAAGAACTGATCAATGTACAAAGAACAAGAGACATTGAAATGATTCGCCTTAGTAATGGTTTATTACGGTTTCTGATCACTACCATGATAGAAAAGGAAACATTTTCAGAGACATATATCCTAAAGGATCAAGATTTGAGATGTAAAGCTTGCCTCGGAGTTTAACAGGAGGATAGATTTCAAGAGCTTCTAATAACCTGAGCTCTAATTCAACCTGTGACTGCTCCTGAGAAACAAATCCAATAAAAGAGGAACCTTTAAAATCTCAGGAACAGAAATGGTAGAGATATAGAGCGAAAGAGAAAGAAGAGAGAGACCTTGGAGAGAGAGGAAGCGGAGGAAGGTAAAGCTTTACAGGGAGAGTGTACGGATAAACCGTCTTGCTCTTCCTCTTTCTCTTTACCTCCTCCGCCACTTTCGTCCGTTCTTCCACCCATTTTTTAGGGTTTTGATCGCAAAAATGTGTTGAAAACTTCTAAAAAGCTGTTCGTGAATTGTGTGTTTTGTGTATTTCAGCAGAGCTTGTTGGATCTCTGAACTGGGCCGGCCCATATTCAAGATCATACTGGTTACCGCAAAAGATAGACGAAGAATACTATTATTAGCACATTATTTGAGAGACATGTAAATTTACAATTTGGAGAGTTATACTAATCAAAGGGTTTGAGATTAAAAGAAGCGATAATTCTCTTTAATAAAAAAGCCAGAGGATTAAAAAAAAAACTTGATTCAACGGTCAACTTTGATAGACTTTGTTCCTCTCATCCTCAGTTTATTCTGCAGAAACTCAAACCTAGAAAAAAATCAACACTATGTGAACAACGATTGTATCGCCAAGAAAATGAGACCAAACCTAAATTTGGGTTTGCTACTATATATAGATAGATTCATTTTGGATTTCATCTGCTTATTGCTCGGCCCCTGGAGTAGTCTATGTTGAACAGCATGTTCCTGCGGTTCTCGGTTCCCATCCTGATCTGAAACTTCTTGGCCAATGCCTCCACTTGATCATCGTTTTCATAGTCCATTTCCCTGACACATCTCCTTCTGAGCTTTTTCAATGTCTCCCTGGAGGGTTCAAATCCAGCCTTGATCTGTATAATTGGCACAAGTATTAGTTTCTCAGAGCCATGTAAGCAACACACATCATTCCCTCATAGTGGTTAGGTTTTGTTTGTTAATTCTGGTTTACCATGTCATCAACGACGGTCAGAGCTGATTTGGGATCCCGGTTAATGAGATGAGCATCAACCAGCAATGAATACGTCCTGGAATCAGGTTTAACACCTATGCTAACCAGATGCTCGAATACATTTGTGGCCTCAAAAGTCTGCAAAGCAAATAGGCTAGAGTCGTTATGCCTAATTGTTCATTCATGAAGAAAATATCAGAGAGTGATTTGACATCGAAACAGCACCTTCTTGACTTTTCCAAATGCATATAGTAAAGCATTGTATGAATCGATATTAGGAGTCAGCCCAAAGGAAGCACTTATTGCCTCAAACGTCTGATAAGCACGATCCAGATCCCATGTGTTTGCGCAGCCAAGAATTATACAGTTTAGAGCAGCAACAGACTTATATGGAGTATCACCTCGACTCAAACTCTCCAACTGGAAGTATACCTGGTGGATTATATGACAGTGCAAGGTCAGATAAGCATAACATTATATCTGCTTAATCCCAGCACTCTAAAATGCATTAACATTCAGATCATGCACAACTTCGATAAACAGGTTTTCTGGAATGTTCTATTAAATTTCAGAAGTTTCTTACGTCTACTAGTAAATTAGCCAATAACCCTAACTTAATTCTTGTTGCGAAGAAAGCTGATAATATGTAGAATATTTACCCTTTTAAAGAGTCGAGGTATACCTCATCCAATGTCTCAAAACCTTTCTTAGAGCAAGCCACAACCAGCGGGTATAATGATGTAAAAGGTGAAAGCATTTCCTCCACAACTTCTTTTTCAGAGTCTGCATATGCGGTTTCAAGTTCATGAAGTGAGGTGAAAGCTTTTTGCAGATTCCCCAACGATGCATAAGCATTTATCTTTGCAATGTAAGATGCAGGGTTGGCTGCCTTCCTCCCACGCAGACTCTGTTTCAGAATCGTCCATGATCCTTCCACTAAAGATGAACTGCAAGTCCTAGCAGCAGTTGCAAGGCCAGCTACTACCAACCCTTCATCAACAGAAAGAATAACCGAGGGCCTAGCCATTTCGCCTCTAGTGATCCACTTGAACATAAATTCAAACGCATAAAATGCTAACTTGCTATTATCCTCTTGAATTGCAACTTCAGCAATATAATTACACAGTATCCAGCTAGGGCAAAGGGACTTGTTCCGATCAACAGCCTGCAAAACAAGAATACAAATGTAATTGATAAACGAGACGGCAAAAGCTTCAAATTTCAACTGAAGATAACAAAAACTCGTCTGTACCTTACACCTCTCGATGATGGAGACCAATGTATCTGTCCTACCTTTGGCTACACAACTACGAACACATTCAGTAAAGACTGTGGTGGATAACATATAACCAGATTTTAGTGCCATGTCCATAACTTTCATGGCTTCGTCATTCTTCCCAACTCCAAAATGCATTCCAATAACCAAATCATATGATTCATCATCCGGAAGAGATTCCTTCCCCAACAAGAGCATCCTGACGACATTACATCAAGTCATGATACATTTCAAAAGAAAAAAATCTACCTTTGCATAACACCAGTCTCAATAACAGCTATCAGAGATAACCCTTTGATTTATCAGCAAATACGACCGTTCAATCATGTAAAGTCTTAATCTTTACACTATTTCTAGAAGCAGTGTTCATTGTACAAAACCAATCTGTCTACAAACTCAGAGAATCTAACCGTTCAAGCAGCTTCATGGCGGCGTCAGTCTCTCTTGCCTGGTACATAGCCTTCAAAACTAGATTATAAGACGCTGTATTAGGTGCGACAGAGAACTCTTCCATTGGCGCAACAAGATCGAGCATGTCTCCAGCCGAAGCACCCATCATCAAATTAGCTCGAAGGTAATGATTGTAGAGGTTCACATCAGGCTTATTCGGCTTCCCATTCTTGTCAAGCGATCGAACCCAGACCTCAAAAAGCTGTTTCATGTCAGACCAACGCTGCGACGCAGTCCAATCAGCAAACATGTTAAGCAGAGAGTTCATGTCAAGCGTATCAGAAAGAGCTCTGATTCGAGCAGCAGGAGCTTGGTTTAGAAATCCTAAGGGAACGAGAGATTGGTTGAAGGAAGGAGTGTTTGGGATCGGACTACGCCAATTCTCTTGGTAAAGAGGACTTCCTGTTGCTGGATTCGGTGGAAGCGGCGTGGAGGTTGATTGATGATTTGATGGGTCGTGATCTGTTGATTCGGTTGCGAGCTGGGGGTCTTGAGAGAGGAATGGTGTACCGGAAATGGCTCTGATGGGTGAAGTAGAGGTAAAAGGATTGGGTTTTAGGGTTTTGAGGAGAGAGATTCGGGATCGGGTAAAGAGATGAGACGCCATTGTTGGAAAGATCTGTTTTTTGAGTTTTGGGGTTTATCTGTGTTTAGGGTTTTCTGAGTTCAGATGAGTTTTTTAGAACACTAACTCCGGTCGTGACGATCTGTCCTCGATGTCTGCAGTGGCATTTCAGAGATTATCCCAGAAATGTGATGTCATTTTTTCAGGAGTTGTCTTTGACTCTCGACATGTTCTTTTAGTATAAAGCCCAGCCCATTAATGTATACAGCCCAAACCTTTTTCAAATAAAACACATATACATTTTATAATGTTTTTGTTGGTTTTAACTTTTAAACGCTTGATTTTTTTCATAAGTTAACGATGTATATGAGTATCTCCTCTGTAAAATTACTTTTTAATGGTTGGTGTTGGGACATATCTTTTTGCATATTAGGTATTAACGACTCAATTTTGCAACAAATTTAAGCAAAATATTTCGCTTGTGGTTCTTGTTGGTGATAAGTTTCATACTTGACATCAGCATGATAGAAACACATTCATTCCCATAGGAATGATGAGAAAGAATGTTGCTCTAAGAGCGCGGCAAACATTATTAATCGAGTTCGGTCTAACAAAAATCCTTTATCAGCAGAACCGTGTCTACTTGAAGAAAATGAAACAATAGCTAGCCTACAACCTTAGAATTGAAGAGGCCATTATCATCGGCCATGGAGGTTGTATAAGAGGTGGAGTCCATCTCCAGAGTCGAAGAGAAACTAGAAATATTGGGATCATATATCCCAATTTTATGATTTTAGCGAATATCGTATCACGAACAATGAAAATGATCGGATAAGAGAACAAGCTAGCGAAAATCTCAGAGTGGAGTTGCACACATTTCCAATTCAATTTAACACGTATATATCAGATTTTTTAAAATCTACAGAAATTTGAGTTCTCTTATTCTAATTATTGACTTCAATTCGAAGAAATTCTTAGTGTAAATTACCGAAATTTACCGTCCGTCCGCATGATATCGCTCAATGGAATCTTATTTAACTGATAAGTGTTTACAATTACTCTAATAACTTTTAAATATAACTCGCAGAAAAAAATCTTTAAATATATGTCATAACTCATAATGAACTTTACATGCATTAAAAACCCTCATACTAAAGATGTCATTTTCTTTGTCACTGAATCTAGCATATATCTATAATGTGAACGAAATTCACCAACCATGTCAAAGATTATCGTCACCATGCTTTTCTAACCACACCACGCGGCCACAACCCAAAATGTGGACTTGAAAAATATAAAACTCTATTAATATTTATAAATCTCGAATAGTTAAGAGAAAGGACGTTGAACCCTCTATAGTTTACTTTTTTCAAATGACAATATTATTTTACAAAACTTACACTATTTCTTGACCTTTTTTTTTAAAAGCGACTCATATAGGTAGTGGCTTGGTTAAAGGAACCCATCAGAACCGTAGCGAAAACGAGTCTTCATACGTATTTGTTTTTATAAATAGATACTTTATAAACTGTATTTACTTTAACTTATGTTTATATTTGAACTTTTATTTACTAAAAAAATACTTTTCAAACGACCGATTAAAGTTAAATTAAATTACTGGAAAAAAAAAAGTTATTCCTTACGTAAGAGGTAACGTTTCTAGCTATTTTTGGTCGTCTTGTTAACAAGTAACAACCATTGAATTCTCGGATTATTAGTGTGACTTGTTGTGACAGAATCACACGTGTTGTAATGCGGATGCAAAGTTTGTCTTGCACATGGCTCCCTCGCTTAGCCGCTTTGCCTTAAAAGTACTTAACACTTAAGTTTTTGCCTTTAAAGTACTATTTCCAATTTTTTGTGTTCTTTTCCCTGTTTTTCTCCATTAGTTTTCATCGGTTAGTGCTTCAAAATCAAACTACTACTTTAAAATTATCTTTATATTATTTTTTATTTTTTTAAAAGGAATTATCTTTATATTATTATATAGTTTATATCTTATAATTTGTTTAATAACATTTACAACAGTTCTAACTTTGCAAACGTGTGCATGCATCTTTTGTTGTCTTTGTGGAAAGCTACACTCTATCTAAATCCTAAAAAAAAAGTAAAAATAAAGAATGCATCAGGTGTACGTAAATTGAGGTGACAAATTAGTAAATAACGATTAACAAAGCTAGTTTTTTATCACATAAAGTTCCACTACAATATTACGTGCGTCGACCGACTAATCACACATATTGACTAGACGACAAGCATGCTTTTTACCTTCTCTGTTACATGAGACCCACATTGCTTTGAGTACTCAAAATCTAACATTTACAAGTCATCACACAATAATATCTGAACTTTTCTTTACTTAAGCCTTAGGGTATGCTGCTTATTAGTACCCAAGAAACATCATAAATAATAAAAATTGTCGATCATTGAATCAGAATCTCTCTCTCTAACAAACTCCCAAACTCACATTTGTGGTACTGTCAGGGTTAAACAAGTTCGATCAAGTTTTAGCAGTCATGGCGCTTTTGCTTCCTCTGTTTCTTCTCTCTTTCATGGTTACCTACTCAAGTAAGCTTCTTTCTATCTCCTATGAACATTTCTTTGTCCCTTGGCTTTAAGCCTCAAAATGGTTCAGACTTCAGACCTTTTCGCTTCTTGGCTACGTTTTACGTGTAATGCTAATCCGAGATCTCTGTTTTGTACAGACGCAGCGGTTTGTGTGTGCAAGGATGCGAGCGAGCTGGATCTTCAGAAGGTGATAGACTTTGCGTGTGGAGGAGGTGCTGACTGTACTCAGATTCAGACGACCGGAGCTTGTTATCAACCAAACACCGTCAAGAACCACTGTGACGTCGCCGTTAACAGCTACTACCAGAAGAAAGCTTCTACCGGTGCCACCTGTGACTTTAACGGCGCCGCCGTCATCTCCACTTCCCCTCCTTCGAGTACTCCTTCTTTAAAACAACAACTTCTTTTCATCAAATGTGTATATATTTTTTTGCTGATTATTTCTTTACTCTGTTCTTGCAGCTACGTCAAACTGTTTATCTAGTTCCAGGTATGTTTTACTCCACCTTGCCTTGGAGCTTTCTTGCTTCCCAAGTTACCTCAATAAGTCTTAGATTAGGGTTTTTGTCCTCTCTTTAATTCTTGATCGTTTTGCTTAATGTTTTCTTTAGATCGGTAATGAGCTCTCTGATGATTCTGTAGGCGTTGAATAGTTCAGTAACTTGTCTATTAATGTGTGACAGAATCTTTATTATTGATTTTATTACCAATTTTTAGAAATTGTGATGATGATTTAAATGTGCTTATAAGAGTAACTTTTTTGCAGCTCAAACGGAACCCCCACTGCCGGATATCCATCAACCGGCAATTCAACCACCGCAGCTCCAGGCACCACAAATCCAACCACAGGAAATTCAACAAGCAGCACACTACCCACTGATGATAAGCCGACATCATCTACGATAGCATTTCCTAACACTACTATGGGACCGTCCAGCAGCACCAGCGGTTTCGGTGTAGGTGATCCCAACGGTGGAGAAGAGCTCTCCGTCCGAAGCACGATGATGATTGTCTTGCTAACTACCATCGCTGCCGTGGCATTGAGGGTTTAGGTGAGATCATCTCAGATGATGACAAGGACGTTTATTTGTTATGAGAGCCAAGTTAGAGCTTCTCTTTCTTCCCACTTTTTAATCTTTGTAGGGTTGTGACTCTCTCTCTCTCTCGAAAACCTTAATCAAGAGACAAGAGCTTTTGTTGGCTTTCTTTTGTAAATTTAGAAAATTTGAGGAATATCATGGGGAAGCACGGTAGATGTCCGTAATTTACACTAAGTGTTTCTTCGTATTCAAATAAATAATTAGAATAAGTTCTCATTTCTAAAGTACGAATGCATCACTTGTATTAGGCCTGGGCAAAATATTCGTTAGATCCGCTTCGACTCGGTATTCGTTTCGATTCGATTCGAAAAATCCGAATATCCGTAAAATTTTGGAGCAAATCAAATAGAAAAATGTAGTATTCGTAAAAACCGGAGCAAATAACAAATATTGATTTTTTTAAAGTCAAATATCCGCTTCGATCCGTATTTTTTTAATATATTAGTATATATATATATTTTTGGTAAGAAATTTATGATATATATGCAAATCATAATATATATTTTTGGCTTGTATTTGTAAACTCATTTTTTATCCTTTAAACCTGTGTTTGTAACACAATTTAATAATTTTTATTAGTGAAGTGGAATTTATTGGAAAAAAAATCAATATCCCTTAAAAATAAGAAGTTGGAATTCTGCGACGATTTCTTTTTCTCAAATTTTATCTTCTTTTTCGTAGTTTTACATGCAAGCGTTTAGTTTTTTAGGGTTTTAATAGGTGCAGAAATATCGAAGCGAATATCCGCAAATATCACAAAAAAATCCGGATATTTGATTTTCCGAATATCCGGAAATTTTCGAATCAAAGCAAATCACAAAATCAAGTATTCGGTTGAGACGAATCGAATAACAAATATCCCAAAATTTCCGGATATCCGATTCGTGCCCAGGCCTAACTTGTATCACCTATAATAATTGAAAGAAAGTTTATCCCTTTTTGATCTAGATTGAAGTTAATGAGTTAGTGTAACAACAAAATGAATAATTTCATTGCTGGTTTATATTTTACGTAGATCAGCACCTTGTTTTTTTTTATAATGAAAATGAATCATGTTATTCAAAACCTGAAACAAAACCCTTTGTATAAACTATATTTGATCTATTTTTCTTTGCAAAGGTTGTATTTTTGGGTAATGATAAGACTTGAAGAAGTTGAGAAACGTAAAATTTCATTTCTCGAATTACACATGGGCCTGTTTTAGAAAATGGACCCGTTGAAAAGTTGAAACATGATTCACTCTAAACTTAAGCCCATAGAAAGCCCAGTATAAAGCTAAAACCTAAGTCAGTGTAAGTACGTCATGCATTGGTGTTGTGTCTTTAACCTCAGAGCAAGGGCCGCCTTAGAAAGAGAGAGAGGGAGAGAGAGAGAGAGCATGTCGTCGGGGTTAAAGAGGAAGAGAGAGAACATGTCGTCGGGGTTAAAGAGGAAGAGAGAGAGAGCCGCCGCCGCCGCGTTTGGTCGGATCCGTTGCGAATGAGAAAGCATCGAGCTTCGGAAGAGGAAGAAGGGTTACGGGAGAGTGAGGCTTCGGGCCGAGGAAAGAAGCGACTGAAATCTACCGGAGGAGAGAAAGAGAAGCACCAACGTCGGAGGTACTCCGGAGGATAATCTACGGGAAGTGAGATGGAGACAGCCATGGAAGAGCGGAGGAAGAAGGAGGCTCGGGCAGTGACTGGAGATCGGCAGAGGGTAGATTGGAGGGTCGGCAGAGGGTAGATCGGTAGGTCAGAAGCAGAGGCGGAGCAAATCAGAGCAAGTGAGATTAGAAACCGAAGAAATAATGGCAGCTGCGACTCGCGAGTTGGGGTTTTGAGAGAGAGTTTCCGGCTAGGTATGAGCAAGTGAGACCTGATCTGTGGTGGATCCAGAGAGTGCTCGTGTCAAGGAAGCCACTGGAATCGTCTTCGTCGTCATCGGACGTAAGCTCCAGCCACGGTGCTGGATTAGCAAGAAGACAGAAAACAAGAGTTTAGTATATTGACACGTCATCGATGACGTGGCAATTTTTTCATATCCCGCGTAAATCCTCTCTTCTCTTTAGTCCCTCACCGCCTAAACCCTCTCACTGGACGCATAAAAATTCCTCTAAATCCCTTTCGTCTCTCGCGCGATCTCCATCATCAAACCAGAAGATCTTTGAAGGTAATTTTTCTTTCAGAAAAACTTCCGGATTTGCGACGACGATCTTCTTTTAGGTTAATTTTCTTCGTTTTTTCTTGCCAATTTCTTTCGAAAAACCTTCTCGATTTGCCAGTTTTAATCGACGTCGATCATCATCTAGATTAGAAAAATTTCCTCTCGATTTGCCAGTTTTAATCGACGATCTTCATGTAGGTTTTTGTTTTTTCTTGCCAGTTCCATGAATAAACCCTCTCGATTTGCCATTTTCACCTAGATCTTCATCTAGATTTGAAACCACCCCTCTCGATTTGCCATTTTCGATCGATGTAGGTTTTATTTGTTTCAGAACGGAACAATCTCTTCGTTTGATTGCGTTTCTTACTTTTCTACTTTTGTTCGCAGAACCGATCATGGATGGTGATAAATCAAAGACCTTAACCAAGTAAGCCTCAGCTTAGTTTCTTCCGTCTTCTGCTTAGTTTCTAGATCTCGGGATCTAATATCTCGTTCAAATCAGCTTTGTTGCCTTATTTCTTCGTTTTCATGTCAATATTGCCTCTTTGTTTCTGTTTTTCTTGCCTCTTTGTTTCTTTGTTTCAATTTTGTTGAGTATAACTTGTATGACACTCTTGGATTGAAACCATCCTTAAAACTATTCTTCCTTTTATGATCTTTAGGAAGGAGCGTTTTGAGTTGATTAAAAAGGGTGGGCGTTTTGAGTTTTACAAGAATCAATTCCTCATGAACCAGAACAAATCTCCTACTGTTGTGAGTTCATTCTTTGTTCTTTTGTAGCATAGGTCTTTGATGTTTCTCTGAACACTCTCCTAAAATCTTGTTATGATTTTTCAAATGTCACATTTGTTTAGTAAGTCTATTAGTCTAATACAATAATTCAGGAGATGGCTTCTGACGGTGCTGGTACTGGAGCTAACACGCGCAAGGATGTCTATGGGAATAGCTGGATACCCTATAACACACAACTGGTAATCAAGTGTAAAATCGAATATCAATTTATATGGGTAGTCATTTAGTCGCTGACCTAATGTTTTGATCCTCAGGAGGCTGAGAAACCTTACAAGTGGTTGTCTCCTTTTTTTCTTTACCGGTAAATCATTGGTTCATTTTGCTCAAATTTCTGTTTTCGGCCAAGTGTTTTGAGTCTTGACACTTATAAGAATCTGTTGAATGTGATATTAATGTCTTTTCTTAAAAATTTTATTATCTCAAGGGAAAGCATACTTGAGGCGGACAAGGACAGATATTTTAGTGTAAGTGATCTATTTTGCCATTAAACTTCAGTTATTGGTTGTATGAACCTTTGGTCTTTGATTTTTTCACTGACAATGGGTTGAAAATTATAACAGTTTGAACTACTTTCTCAATCGTGGGAGCTGGAGCCAGAATCTGTAAGTATTTCGAAGTTATTTACTTATTTCTGTAAGTATTAATGCATTAACATGTGGGTTTGATATATTAGATGAGGGCTCCTTATGTGGCTAAATCTGCCATCCGCATGGATGAGTTTGAGAATGTGAAAAAAGCCCAGCACAACAAGTATCTGGTAATTTGTTATCTTCATATTAAATGGAATGTAACATTAGATATTTATAAAATATACTAATCATATGTTGTGTCTTCAGGAGCAATGGATATCTGGGGATGAAAATTATGAAAAGTCAGTCTCTGATGAACCTAACGAGCTAGTGAGGCCAGCCACGGGTTTTTTGGTTTACTTGTAAGCGCCGCTTCCTTTGTTTGCTTTCATGAGACGTAATGCTAATTCTTTTGCTGACTTAATACTCTAATTAGTATCCCTAACTAAGTTGTTTCAATACTCTTATTAATCAGGGAGGAGTTTCTTGCGAGTGCCAACGACAAGTCAATGGAGGAATTCACAGAAATTTGCAAGAACAGGTCTCTTAACACTGTTAGTGTGATTGCAGATTTGACTGAGATATGGGAATCGATGTCTGAAACTGTAAGTGTATTTCTTTGTAAGTTCTTTGTTAGCTACTTAACTAATTGTTATGTTTTAACATCATTTTTTGATAATGAAGGCTAAGCAGCCTTACCTTGCTAAGGCTGCTGAGATGATGGCTGCTTATGACCAAATGCTGATAGCCCGAATCAAAACAATGGAACGTCCCACCTCAGACAACAAATCTGGAACATCACAGGTGTGTGCTCGATTTGATTGGTTCTTTTAATCTATTTACATCAGTAGCTTATAAGAAATATCTACTCTGTTTTTATATGTAGGAGGTAGGATGCGATGGCTAAGAAGAAGTTGAAGATAGGCTACAAGGATCTCTGGCTGGTTAAAATGGGATCTCTTGAAATGGTTCCTCTTTTTTTTTTTGTTAGTAAACCACGATGTTGATTGAGAGATTTGCAGCTCTATATTACGATTTAGCTTTTCATCCCTATAATTCGCCACAGAGAATCTTTTGGTGATCCATTTCATGTCATATAAACAATATACATATATGTGGCTACATAGGTAATTCCCAAATCTTTTGGTGAATCTTTTGGTGATCCATTACCGGCATCTACCGTCCTCCGGTATATACAAACTGAACCATATACTTCTCTTTAATTACGATAATCTTTATTCCTAGGTAATTCACAGTCTATGATAGTATTTATAATTATATACTATGAAAGCCCAAAATGTGAGAGTAGATAACAATTTATAATAGCCAGAAATCTTTGTCCACAAAAAAAGCAAAACTATTTAACCATTGATAAACACTATACCTATAATCATGCACAAAATTTTTAAAGGGGGCAGTGGTCATTTCTGATCTTAACCCAAAAGCCACTGAATTAAGTCCATACACATTAATTTATTTTCTATCCAAATTCCAAATGAAGTGGTACATGCTCGGTTTCCTAGCAGAATATGCTTGACATCGTAAGAATTCACAAAAATAACAACTCGCCAAAGATCACTAATGAAAAGGAACTAAATTCTACCCAAGAGAAGTTGAAGTCAAAATGGGGATCTCTTAAAATGGTTCGTTTTTTTTTTATTTAAGTAAACCACCTATAATATTTTTTAGTAACCCACCTATAAATTATAATATCTCGCACCGATTCTACTGGTAATGTTTAGATGTTGATTGAGAGATATATATATATATAAAACCAAGGATAATGTTCGTTTTAGATCTCTATCATTTCTCAATACTATAATGTTTTAATATGGTTTGTTGTAACAATTAACACGATCTTTATCAAGGTGTTCGAGAAATTGCAAATTGTGATGTTTTTACTTCTTTTTTTTGGTGGTTCAATGGACTTTTAGTTAAAATGGTTTAAAGGCCATCATGATAATTTTGTTCTTTTTTCACCTTTTTCTAAATTTTTCTAGGTGTATTAGTTAATGTAATGTAAGAAATATGTTCATTTTCTTTTTTATTAGCGAGATATGAGGTCGGTTCCTTAATCCGCGAAACAAGTAGTCGTTAAAGTTTGTTCCACAAGTTTTGTTAGTTGTAGATACGATTTTATTAGATTCTCTTAGATATTGTTGTAATCTTTTAGTTAACTTGAGAGTAAGATCCCCGGAATAGCATCATATTGGTCATACAGGTTTAACATCTTAGAAGCAAGTGACAAATTTTTTATTGGAAACCAAATAATTTTCAAGTTTCTGAAGTACATTTTGTATATTAGGGGCTATTAGAGACCATATAGAGATCATCTATATTAGTATTTTGAAGTATTTGTATCGAGTGGGTTAAAAATTTATCCGAGTTTTTTGATATCATACCCGATAAAAATGTACTTCACAAATTTTTCTTTAGATCGGGTTATAAGAAATCAAAATCTTACATCGGATATTTCATATCTAAAATATAGATATTTAGAAGATTTAGTTAAGATTTAAAATTATGGCCTTGAATGGCTGCAGTTTTTGGAGTAGTTTTTGGATTATGATTGTGCAAAAATCCAATAATTACACATTCATGATTCTAGAAAAAGTAGATTTACTAAAAAGTAGGGAAACCAGATTTTAGGAGATTCTGGCTTTTCTTCGTAGAATCCAAAAACCAAGTTTTGTGAGTTTTTCTAAACAATTTACGTCAAAAAATTTTTTAATTCTTTTTTATTAAAATTAACTTAAATACGTTTAAGAAATTAATATTATGTAGAAAAACTAAAAACTAAATAAATTACCATTCAAGATTTTGCAAAAACTAAAATCTACCCCAAAAATCAAAAACCACAAAAATCAAAAACCAAAATCCAAAATCCAAAAACTAGAATCTAAAAACCAATAAGAAACTACTAAACATTCAGGGCCTATGATTCTACTATCATCTTTATTTGATTTTCTAACTGTTTTGAATCATCATAAAATACATAATGTTAACAAAAATATGAATTTTTTCTGTTTAGCGTCCCATATCACCTAAAATGTTTTAAAAATATTTCATAATTATATTATAAATAAGATCAAAACGAATAAGGATCCAAATGAGCAATAAGATTAACTTTACAACCAAATTTAAAAGTTTATATAAGGTTTAATTCAGTTTTAGTTAAACAATTTAATCTGGAAATATTGAATTTTAACTTTTAAAACTTTTAAATATTATAATTCATATATTTAAAATCAATAAAAAGTTTATAATATTATGAAAATTTGAACATATAAAAATTTAAAATAATACGGGACGAGATTATATGGCAGGACGGGGTTGAAAAAATATTAATAATAAAACAGTATTAACCCGCCGCTTAAATATGAGTTAAATTATCATTGTATTATTTTTTAGGGAGACTCACAAAAATGCCCCTTTTTCAATACCCCTTTTCAAAAATACCCCCTTTGGCTGTACATTTTTAAAAATACCCCTTTTTATGTACAAAATGACTAAATTACCCTTCTTTTAATAAAATATATCACAAATATATAAGAAAATATAACCAAATTAGGTCCACAAAATACAAAATATTTTTTGGCGGGAAAATTGATCCCGCAATTTTTCCCGCCAAAACACTTGTAAAAACCTTTAAAATACCTTGTAAAATTTTCCCGTAAAATTTTTTCCCGCCAAAAAATTTTCCCGCGAAAAAATTTTCCCGCGAAAAATTTTTTTTTGCGGGAAAAGTGATTCCGCAATTTTTTTGGCGTTAAATTTTCCCGCCAAAAAATTACAAGGTATTTTAAAGGTTTTTTACAGGGTATTTATAAGGTTTTACAATATATTTTAAAAGGTTTTACAACGTATTTATAAGGTATTTATAAGATATTATAAGATTTTACAAGCTATTTTATAAGGTTTTACAAGTTATAAGGTTTTACAAGTTTTTTATAAGGTTTTACAAGTTATAAATACCTTATAAAACCTTATAAGTACCTTGTAAAATCTTTTAAAATACATTGTAAAACCTTACAAAAACACTTGTAAATACTCTGTAAAACCTTTAAAATACCTTGTAAATTTTTCCCGCCAAAAAATTTTCGCCAAAAAAATTGCGGAATCACTTTTCCCGCAAAAAAAAAATTTTGGCGGGATAATTTTTTGGCGGGAAAAATTTTTACGGGAAAATTTTACAAGTTCTTTTAAAGGTTTTTACAAGTGTTTTGGCGGGAAAATTGCGGGATCACTTTTCCCGCCAAAAAATATTTTGTATTTTGTGGACCTAATTTTGTTTCAAATAAGGGTAAAATGGTCATTAAAAATTAAAAGAGGGCAAACTTAAAAATGGACTCTCAAAGGGGGCATTTTTGAAAAGGGGTATTGAAAAAGGGGCATTTTTAACAATTTCTCTATTTTTTAACATCACCTTAGACCATCTCCAATGTATTTCCCTATTTTTATCTCTATCTCTATAATAGAGGTAAGTTTTTTCTATTTTTACTCCAATGTGTTCCTCTATTTTTTCCTCTAAAAAGTTTAACTTTTATAGAGAAAAAAATAGAGATTCTCTATTATTACCTCTATATATAGAGAAAAAAAGATTTATTTTTTTGATATTAATATAATCATATTAAGATGAGAGGTGAAGTTTAATGATTAATAACAAATTATTATGGTAAGTTAGATATCAAATCTTATATGTTCATTTTGATTGGTCATTTAAAAAAAAAATAACAGATTTTCGTTTTATAATTTAATTAAATTAATTAAATGACATAAATTAGTATTTTACTTGTTTATCCTTAATAAATTGAATGAATTTTTTTTAAAAAAAAGATTTTTGTAATGGCATTGTTAAGTAAATTCTTACAAAAGGAAAGGTTAGTTAAGGTTATCTTATAAAGTGTACTCCCCAAATAATAGTATAGGATAATTTTAGAAAACTAATAGTCCCCATATTAAAATCTAGTTTCTCTATATTTTTCTTCTTACACTGTAACAAAATCTTTCACTGATTGACTTTATAAGTCATTAATTAAAATCTAGTTTCTCTATATCCCACTCTTATATATATATATATATATATATATATATATATATATATGTTCTTCATAATTATTTAAATCATCAAATACAAAAAAAGAAAGAATTTATTACGTGTAAAATTTTTGATAGCTATAAAAAAAGTTTCTTTTTAAGCAAATTAAGTGATTGTCTCATTTATATTGTTTCGACATGTTCTAGTGGTTTACTGTTTTAGAAGTTGTTTTATATTTTTATTAAAGATATTGGAACTAAGGACCCCCGCGATGTCGCGGGGGAATATATTTAAAAAATCATCTAAAAAATATCAAATGAAAATTCATAATGAATTGTAATATTTTTTTTATATTTTAATATGAATCAATATATATTTTACGAAAATTATGATAAAGATAACCTCACAAGCATTAATCAATTATATTAATATTAGAAAACATTAATTTGTAACTAAAAAACTATTTCCTAGTGCAAAAAAGTCAAATAATAAACCAAAAGTTATAAGAGTTTGATAAATAATCCAAAATGTTCATTGGTTCGTCAAATAAATCAAATACTACTATGTTAAATTAAACGGTAGCAACAATTTCATTTAAGTATATATTAGTAATTAATTTTTTTTTAAAAATATGACAAATTTTAACCGAGAGAAGCGATCGTAGACATCAAATATACCAAAAGTTGCACAAATATACCAAATATTGCAATGATTAATTAAATATACTAAATATTACAATAGTTCGTAAAACAAAACCAAAAGTTGCAATGATTCGTCAAATAATCCAAATGTTGCAATAATTTAATTTCATTAAAAATTAAAAATTAAGAATTAAAAATAGTAATTTATGAAAAGTTACACCAACGGTAGAAGATTAAATCTTATAACGATTTATAAAATAAACTTAAAATTGCAATTATTCGTGAAATAAATGAAATGTTGCAATGGTTCAACTAGACGGTTGCAACCGTTTTATGAAAAATTACAATAAAAAGATGCAACCGTAGAAAACATTTACGCGGATTGCAACTTTCTCAATAACATAACGTAAAATATATATTTTTTTAGTTTTAAAAAAAAAAAAAACGAAATGTTACAATATACCAAAAATCGTAACGTTTCGTTAAATAAACTAAAGATTACAACAGTTCGTAAAACAAAACCAAAAGTTACAATGATTCGTCAAATAAACCAAATGTTGTAACGATTCAACTAAACGGTTTCAATCTGATTTAAATATATTTTGATGATTAAAAATTAAAAATAAAAATAAAAATTTATGAAAAATTACCGAGAGATGCGACGGTAGATAACTAATAACCCCTTATAAATTTTTGTTTGGATTTCCAATTTCTTATAAATCTATGAACCAATAACCACTCCTAAACGTTATAGCGAATTATAAAATAAACCAAAGGTTATAATTGTTCGTGAAATAAACTGAATATATAAACGAAAAGTTGCAATTGTTTGTAAAATAAACTAAATATTGCAATGATTCGAATAAGCGGTTTCAGCTGTTATGAAGAGTTACAATAAAAAGACGCAACCATATAAGACATTCGGAATGCAATTTATAACATAAAACATAAATGTAAAATACATATTTAAAATTTTTAAAAAATTAACAAAAAGTTGTGACTAAAAAATATAATCTTTCACAAATGCAAAAGACATTTATTGAGATTGCTATTATATATAGATTTATTATTTTAACCATATAAATTTGTATCATTTTTTATTTACTTCACATTTTCAAATTTACCTTTTTGGTTAAAGTTTTTTTTTATTTATAAAGTCTTAGATATTAAGTTGACCAAGAAAAAAAGTCTTAGATATTTATTACACGTAAACTAATATATGTTAGTATTGTTAGTTTTTAATCTTGTTGAATATATATATATATTTTTTTGTCAACAATCTTATACACTCTTTTTTTTTTGTCAATTACTTTATTAGATCACGAAGAATATTGTATACAAACGTGTTTTCCTGTTTAATTATATTTATACATATCGCAATCTAACCTAATAACTGACACGTGTCAGACAATTATGGTAATAACTACATTTATAAGTAACCCTTGTCATCATCAAGGTTGTGAGAAGAAAAAAAGAAAAAGGTAACCCTTGTTCGGCGCGGCGCTCTCTGAGTCTCAAACTCATCCCAAGGCAAAATACCAGCCAGCTTCTTCAAGTTTCGTCTGGATTTGTATTTGTCGAGATTGGTGTTTAAGAAACGCTCGATCATGGCTGTCAACAACTCCAAGGGGAAAAATAATTTTGTGGTTCGTCTTCTCGATTTGCTTCTTGTATTCACTGCTTTTTGAAATTCTATGACAAGTATATTCTGGTTTTTATCCCTTAATTATGATTCTTACTTGTGTGTACAGTTCAAGAATTTCTCTCACAGAATCAGTGACATTGACTTCAGCAACGTCTATAGGATCCGCGATCATGTGAAGGCTGATCCTTCATTAATCAAGGTATGTTTGACTTTGATCATGTTACCTTTAGACTTTCTTTCTAAAGTTTTAATTTTGTTCTTCTTCTTCATGTTAATTCTGGGATAATTTTGTTTTATACAATCTTATCAAAATCAGGCTGATTCATGTTACCTTTGGTTTAAGTTCTGGTTTAATTTGATTCTTTTTTTAGGGAAAAAAAAAATCAAAAACGAAATATATGTCAAAGGTTTTACATTCAATCTTGTTAAAAGAACAAGAAAAAACGAATATATGTCAAAGGTTTTACATGGTTATTCAATCCTCTTTAAGGAACAAGAGAAGCGAGCGATTGAAGAAATATCTGCTCTCGTGGCAAAAATTGCAAAGAAGGAGGCCTTGCAAGGAGGAGAAGACACATCACATGCAAACGGAGTTAGAGCTTGAGGAACAAGCTCCTAGTCGAGGAGGGGAGTGATACGAGATATGTATCAAAATATCTTTTCTATTAAGATTTGGGTGTTTTTTTCTATTTACTTATTATTATTTAAGTTTAAGCTACTTTTCGGTTTATTATTTATTGTACTTTGCCTATATAATAAGGCTCTGTTATGATCAATAAGAAATGAACTTCCAACAGTTAATCTGATTCCCTTAGATACACTTGAGTTAATAGGAAGCTTTGCCTAAATCTTGTATGCTTCTTGAAATTCACTCACAAGTGTTTTGAGTTTGTTTTCTTTGGTGCTCTCTATTTTTGGTCGTTTACACATTCTCCACTACGATGTATCTTATCGAATCAGTGACATTGACATCAACAAAGCCTGGATAAGGTGAAAGCTGAGCCTTCAAAAGGTTCCACTTTTTTCAAGGATTGCCTCTGTAGAATTGAGGGTATGTTTTATTTTGTTACCTTACATTTTCTATTTTAATGATTCTGTGTACCTGAAGTTGGTACTGTGTTTTTATCTTGAGTTTGTTCTATAAGCATCAAGGGTAACCAGAGATGCCTTATTGACTGTAAAATTTGGTTCCTTTTGGTTGATTAAATGCAGGAGCTAAATACAGCAGCAGATTTTATTTTATTTCATGAAGAGATGTTGCCGTTTGTTCAAAACCTTCCCTTGTTTATCTTGCAAAAAATAATTTATCTTCTCAAAACTTGTCTCTGGATTACATATGAAAGCAAGATTGTCTCTCGAAGCGTTTCTCAGGTTTGCTATTTTTCCACTCATATTGGAACTATTTGCCAGTGGATCAGTGTTATGGTTGGATATTGTTTATCAGGGACATAAACTTGGTTCATGCTTATATGTTTGTCACCGACTACTCAGACATTTTATTCTTTTCAGCTGCTTATATGGGTTTTGAAAGTGCTTAGGGTAATGATTCTTAGTCACAGTCGATGCTGCTGCACCCTTATATTGTCTAGCATACTCTGTTTTCAGAGTAATGTAATGATATACATTACAGTAGTTTTACATTCTTTCTTGACTGATATTTGGTAGATTGTTTACTTTCTTCTTAGTTCTTAGGGTCAAGTACTTTAAACTTGCGGTCTCTATGATCAATTTTTGTCTTTGTCCTAACCAATCTTTTTTTTTGTATAGCTTCCTTCCACGAATTGTTGATTCCTTGGTGGTTTCTTCTGGAAAACAGTGGTCAGAAAGATCCAGATGTTATTGAGCATACATACATTTTTTGCTATATAGTTTATATTGCAGTTTTCTCCCTTTAAGAACAATACATGAATGTTATATGCTGTAAATGTTGTTAAATCCAACAGAGCAGAATTTTTCTTCATCTTATGGATTTCAAATTTTGTATATGTTTGATTTATTATGATGAGGGGATACATTGGCGCTGAGGTATTACCCTCAAGACAATATCAGTAATAAAATGTCGATTTCAACATCACGATAAATAATGACTAAAATGACATTTGCTGAATCTTTTATTTACAAAAACAGTGTGATTATCGACTTCTATTATTGTCTGTTTTAATCTTTAAAGGAAATACTTACTAATCAAACTCAATAATGATCTTACACAAAATCTTCATTTTCCTAATTAGATAGTAATAAATAACCACATTCAAGTCCTTTAATTGTATAAACCTAAAAGTTGGCAAAACATGAGAACCTGGTTTTTTTGTATTGTAGTGGTTTGAGACGAAAAAAATATACTCTCAACAAAAATTAGGTTTGTGACGAGAAAAAGAAAAGAAAAAATAGAACTTTTTTGGTTTGTATATTATTTTTCATTTAAAACCCGAGTTGATAAAATCCGTCCGCCCAAAGCCCAAGCCCCAAGTGACTATTTATAACGAGTATCAATTTTTTTTTTTTTTTTTTGTTCTGAATCCTGGTCCTCTCTAAGCTCTTCGCGGCGCTCTCTCAAACTCGTTTCGTGTGGATTCGTAATTGTCAAGTTTTGGAGTCGAATTCTTACTGTTTTCAGGATTGGTGTTTAGGAAACGCCGTAGATCATGGCGACTCCGGCTGATTCTCGGGCTGTCAAGTCGCTCAACAACTCCTCCAAGGGAAAGAAGAGATATGTGGTGCGTCGTGTTTCTCTTTTGCTCCGTTTCACTGACATGTGTAAATTCGTTGGTGCTCCTTTTAATTATGGTTTGTGGTTTGTTACTTGTGTAAATACAACAGTTCAAGAAATTCTCTGAGAGAATCAACGACATTGACATCAAGAAAAAAGTCTTTAGGAGTCTCGATAAGGTGAAAGCTGAGCCTTGTCAAGGTTCCACATTTTTCAAGGACTGCCTCTTAGAATTGAGGGTATGTTTTTATCATGTTACCTTTGAGATTTTCTATTTTAATGATGATCCTGTGTAACTGAAATTGCACAAATAAAAATAAAAATGACATTTTTTTGGTACTGTGTTTTTATCTTGAGTTTGTTCTATAAGCTAGCATCAAGGGTAACCAGAGAAGCCTTATCGATTGTAAAATGTGATTCGTTTTGGTTGATTAAATTGCAGGAGCTGAATACAGCATCAGATTTTATTTTGTTTTATGAAGAGATGTTGCCGTTTGTTCAGAATCTGGAGTTGATTCTCTTGCAAAAGGAATTTATCTTCTCAAAACTTGTCTCTGGATTACATATGAAAGCAAGATTGTCTCTCGATGCCTTTCTCAGGTTTGCTATTTTTCCCACTCATATTTGCCTGTGGATCAGTGTTATGGTTGGATATTGTTTATCAGGGACATTAACTTGGTTACTCACTCTCAGGCTGTCTACTTTTGCAGGTTGATTGCTGCTTTGTCGAGAGATATCCTGGAGGACTTTATTCCGTGAGTATTTCTCAAACATTTTATTCTTCTCAGCTGCACAATACTCTTATATGGTTTTTGAAAGTGTTTAGGGTTATGATTCTTAGCCACAGTCGATGCTGCTGCACGTGACAGTTTACTCTGAAAAAATGTCTAGCTTACTCTGAAACCAGAGTAATGTAATGATTGATACACGTGACAGTTTCTTGACTGATATTTGGTAGATTGTTTACTTTCTTCCTAGGGCCAAGTACTTTAAACTTGTCTTTGTCCAAACCAATGTTTTCATTTTTTTTTATGTATAGCTTCCTTCCACGAATTGTTAATTCTTTGGTGATGCTTCTGGAAAATGGTGGTCAGAAAGATCCAGATGTTATTGAGCAGGTTGTTGCTGTTCTATAAAATATTTTTATACTCTGGAGAAAGCCTCTAATCTTATATAACTTTTGCTGAATATTGTTCCATGCAGATTTTCTTGTCATGGTCTTTCATAATGAGGGACCTTCAGAAATTTCTTATACGTGACATCGAAGGTATTCTCAGGTAAGTAACGGAATCCCAATCTAATCAAGAATGTATGTTGTGGACGTCATTGTTGTTTTGGGAACGTTTATGCCATCTTTGTTCTCTTGTTTATAAGTTTATTGAATATCTGATACTGGTTACGGCTCGCATATCCAGTTTTGTGGTAGAGAAACTTGTTTTATTTTTCTTGGGTTCTTTTAATTCTTTCTTTTGAACGAGAAGTTATCCGATACTAGAAGGCTTAGCCAATTTAAAAGTGTTAGATAGTTTCTTTTCATGTTAGAGTTGTTTTTGGCAGTTTGATGGGATTTATTGTACATAGTCTCTCTTAGCATACAAACATTTTTTGCTATAGTTTATATTGTAGTTTTCTCCCTTTAAGAACAATACGTGAATGTTATTTGCTGTAATTGTTGTTAAATCTAACAGAGCAGAATTTTTCTTCATCTTATTGATTTCAAATTTTTTATATGTTTAATTTGTTATGATGAAGGGATACATTGGCGCTGAGGTATTACCCTCAGGACTATATCAGTGATAAAATGTCAGATACAATGTCATCTTTGTTGACGAGTGCACAGGATAATCAACTAAAGAAAGGTGATGGATTGCTTGTCATTTCTTCTTTTTCCTGTCTATGTCAGGACAGTCCAGTTAATCCTTCTCTCCTGAACATTACAGGGATCAAGAGGATCCTTTCTGAAGTTGCTGATCCACTGAAAAAAGCTGGAGGAGTGGCTTTACTATATTCTGTTATGAGGGGTACCTCTGTGAGTCTCCATTCCAAAGCTCGGAAGGTTTTGAGGTTCTTGCTGAAAGATTCAACATTATCCTTTTGTGATAATTTTCCTCAGGGCAAGTCCTTTTTCTAAACATGTGTTAGAATATTTTATATATAAATCTAGTGTGTTTCTCTATTCCTCTCTAATACTTGGTTGATTTAGCTTCCTCTTGGTTAAATCTTAATAGAGAGGGGTAAAATTCTAAGGGAGTATGAAATCAGTACCTTAGAGTTTTCTTATTTTTGATGTATCCAATTCTGTTAAGGTCGAATGTGATAAATGTAGGAATTATTGTTAGAGAAGGGGAAGTCGGTATCGCATAATCTTGAATTTATACCCTGAAGCTGCCATACATGATTTCTTTATTCTCATCATTGTTGATCTTGTAACCCGTTGCAGGTTCTGATAGTACAGTAGAAGCTGTGAGTTCAACTTTGCAAAGAATATGCGAGAATTTTAAAGCAGAAGAATTAAGTGTTATGTGGAACTGCTTGTATAAAGAAACAGAAGAATCAATCGCAAACAAAAAATCAGCTCATTTAAGCCGACTGTTGACTGTGCTTACTTCAGCTGTTAGGGCTGAGAAAGGTCTCAAGGTTTATGGTAAGTTATTAAGTAATCCAATCTTTCGACTTGCTTTTCTCCTCCTATTTAGCTCTTTCTTGTGGGTACGCATGAAAACATACATTTGCATGACCGTATTGCCAATTTAATTCTTTTTCAATGTGTAACAGATTACCCGTATTTGGTTGGACTCGTGAGCCAGATTGTGTCAACTTTTATGGATTCCTCTGCCACTGTTGTAGAAGGGGATAACTTCTCTGCTGTTCTTGATAAAGTTCTGGGACTGATGTTATGCACCATTGACAGTCCTAGTGCTGTCAGTGAAATGGAATCCATTGCTTCGCAATGGGCCCCCATTTTTTCCTTGAAGAGTTCAAGGTATTTGTATACTATTCATCTATTTATACTTCTCAATGCTAAATCTTTTTTATTTTATTTATAATTGATCATGCAATCCATGTAGTTTGCTGAGTTTTTTGCGGGAGTTGCTAAAGAAGGAACAGTTAATAGTGAAAGCTTTTACAAGTAATATATTAAGGCAAGACTTCACGTCGTATATCTTTTTCATTACCTCTTTTAATCTGCCTATCTTGATGTCTTTAATGACTAAATTCTGTGTTGCAGTTCGATCAATAATATGATTTTGTGGTCTTCGGAGGACGTTCTTCCTCTGTTAGTATCATTGTGTGAGAAGCAGCAAGCAAGTCCCGACAGGGTGACCATCATAGGGGAATCATTTGAGAGCAAATTTGAGAGAATTCATGAGTATTTGGAAGAGAATATTAAGAAAATTCAGACGAAGATAGAGAATACAGGATTAGCTCAAATTGATGAGGCTGAGTTGGCTGCTGTTTGGGGAGCTGTCAATTGTTTTCCCTATTTTAAAGTGGATTCATCATTACTGATTTGCTTTAAGAATACTCTCAGACACCATTTGGCAGCCTCAGTTGGTAAGTTTTTAACATGCCATTCAATTGTTGGGCTTCCACTATATATAGATTCCTAAATAATTCTCATCTCCTATTTTTCAGTCTCTTTGCCTTGAATTTCCTTCATTGTACTGTGTTCTTATTTTTAGAAGTTAGCATAATTTTTTTTATGTGCTACATTCTGTTTCAGTAAACACTTCTAGTGCTCCAGTATTGATGTGGCAGAGCTTACTTGGTGCTGCTTTGGGGTCATGTCTCAAATTCTGTCCTAATGGAAGACTCATCCACAGTGATTTAGAGGAAGCTTTGTCACTTGCTAAATGTTACAAGTCATGTGCACAAGTGCTGTCTCCTGTGGCCGACTATTTGGATTTTGTGTACAGGTGAGTTTGTATGTTCTGGTGGTTATTCAATTATTTATCCATGTTGATGACTCTGTGATGGTACACTGATTCGGTTTTTTAATCGCAGGCCTCTAATTGCTAACGATGATAGCTGTAAAGCATGTCCAGATCTCCAAGCAAATAAAGCTCAAGAGACGTTTGACGTATTTTCTGAAAATTTACGTCACTCAAACAAAGATGTCCGTCTTCAGACTATACGGATTTTGTGCCATTTTGAAACTTTGTCTCCTAATCCATCTTTGGAAGAGAATCCTCCAAAGAAGAAACAGAAAACTGAAGTGATTCCAACGTCTTCTCCTAAAAGAAATGTGAGTAGATATCCTTTCTCTCCAAACCAGAATTTTTTATACTAACAGTATTATCTATAGTAACTTTTTGCTCTGCACTCTATCATGTCATAACTAATTTACATATATATATATATATATATATATATTTTTTTTTTTGTCAAATTTCTAGGTTCTTCAGTTGTTGCTCACAGTTGAAAAGTCCCCTCATACAGTTTCAACTGAAACGAAGTTGATCAGTTTGATTACAAGAATAGAAGAGGATCTGTCTACTTGCAGGATACATGAGGCATATGTACCGGTGGTATTCAATGGAATGATAGGATTATTTTATAGTCGTTATTCTAAAGTATGTGTGGCAGCATCTAAGTGCCTTGCGGTTCTTATGAAGAAGCACACAGCAATGGTGTGGAATGATTTTGTTTGTTATCTGGGTCAGTGCCAACAAAAATTTGTAGCAATACATAATCATCCTGAGTGTGGAAAGTACAGCATCTCAGAGAAGTATACTGGTAGGTCATTTGAAATCACCAGCTCAGATCTTTTTACCATTTTTTTGTATCTCTAATATTATCTTCTATATTGAATGATATTTTCTTCCTTACTAATTCTAATGTATGTATACTGTTATTTTTTTCATCTACAGATCTGATGGAGCATTTTTATAAATTTCTATATCCACCATCTGATAGCACATCTACTGCAGAAGTGATATCTATGTTGCTCCAGACCTTACAAAAAGTTCCCACTGTTGCTCAGTCGCGGGTTTCTGAAATTCTCCCTCTGTTATTAGAATTTCTTGGATACAACAGCGAAAATCCCGAGAGGTAGTCATATCTCTTTCTTTTGTTCTTAAAGAGTAATTTAATTGAGTTGTAGTCATCTAGTTTTTCTTTCTACGTTGCAGGGTCGGATTATTTAAGGGCGGAGCTTGTAAAGGAGAGGAGTGGAAGCAGTTACTTATACAGTGGATGATTTTGCTGAAGTTGATGAAGAATACGGGGTCGTCTCGTACTAGTCTATTTGTTAACGACGTTCTGCAAAATAGGTTGGCGCCAAACAACCTGATTTTTAACCTTTTGGATTAAAAAAAAAACTTTCTTCTGGATACAGAATTAAAGATTTGTGTTTGTTGGAAAATTTTCCAGGTTCCTTGACGATAATGATGCTAAAATACAAACGAATGTCCTAGAGTGCCTTCTGGAGTGGAATGATGACTTACGCCCACACTGCTTGCATTTATTGAATTTGATTAAACCAGATAAATTGAGTGATGAGCTCACAACCTGGAACTTATCCAAAGACATTGAAGAAGCTAGCAGACCTCATCTTGTTTCTCTTGTAATTCGCATTCTTATGCCAAAAGTTAGGAATTTAAAGAATTCAGCTTCGCGTAAGGTACATATTACATATTTCTTCTTAGTTCACTTTATCGTGCCAAATGCGGTTCTTTCATTTAGGACCTAACAATTTTCTATTTGTTTTTCTTGTCAGCGTACAAGTATTCCTCACCGGAAGGCGATTCTTCGCTTTTTTATATCTCAGATGGATGTTAATGAACTTTCCCTGTTCTTTGCTTTGTTGATAAAGCCTTTGAACATTATACCAGAGGAAGCCATGGACTTGTTTAGTAGCTCAGGAAAAAGTTCTGTGGATTGCTTCCAAAAGTTGAATTTCTTGAAATATCTCACTGTTGATACTATTTCGACCTTATCCAGGAAGCAGAAATCTGGGTTTCTTTCTGTCATCCAACAAATCCTTGAAGTTTTTGATGAACCCCATGTCCGACCATTTTTAGACTTCCTGATGGGATGCGTTGTCCGGCTATTGGTAAACTATGTTCCACATATTGATGATGAAACATTGTTTTTTCGCCATTTCATTTCATTCGAATTTTCATCTTGTCTAATATTTTATTTTTATTTTATGGGTTTTTGATTAGGCTGGCACTTCTTTAAAGCAGTTTAAAAAGTTGAGATCCTTATGTCTGAAGATTATTGCATATGCTCTTAAGAAGTACGGGGATTGCAATCTTGGCTCTGAGTTCTGGGACCTCTTCTTTTCAGCAGTGAATCCGTTAATTAAGAGTTTTAAGCAGGAAGGCTCTAGTAGTGAGAGACCAAGCTCATTGTTCAAATGCATCTTTTCAATGAGTAAAAGCTGCAATCTCGTGACCTTCTTATGTCGGGAGGAGTTTCTTATTCCAGACATTTTTTCAATCCTAACAGTCACTACAGCTTCAAAAGATATAAAGTCTTATGCCTTGAAGTTCATCGAGAATCTGCTCAGGCTTGAAAATGAGTTGGATGAGGATGAGCATATGATCAAAGGGTTCTTAGATCCATATATAGAGGCACTGATTAACAGCTTGCATTCCCTCTTTCTTGGGGATATTTTGAAAAGGTAAGGATTCTTGTAAGTTGACGACTTAGTTATTTGTGTATTGTTTTTATTAATTTCTTTTCTTGAAGGAAATTTTTATAATTATGATCAGGAAATCAGTCAAGTATCATGGAAATAGAGAGATTATGATTCTCAAACTATTGTCGAAGCACATACGAGATGGGTCTCATGTTACGAAGTATTTGGATGTCTTGCTGTCTTTCTTGGATAAAAGTGTGAAAGATTCTGGTATGGTTATTCATTGCTTCTATTGGTAAAACGTGTATAATATCATGTCTCTTGCGTATGACTGTCTTATTGTTGTTGCAGATATTCATCGTGAGGCTTTGCTAGCCATTCAGGACATCTCATTGAACCTTGGGACTGAGAGTACCAGCAGAATTGTTAAGATACTGTCTCCTCTGCTTATTGACGCTGAAAATGAAGTTAGATTATGCATTTGTAATCTTCTTGAATCTCTTGCAAAAGTTGACCCGTCTCTGGTTCATATGGTTAGTGTTCACATCTCTGATACTTCTTCTCGCTCTTTCTTTCCGCATTTGCTTTTCTAACAAACAAACAATTGTTGCGTCATTCTACAGGCAAAATGTGTCCGCGATATGAATGCCAACTCACCCATGGAAGTTGATGGCCTTGACTATGAAAAGATAATTGATGCTTATGGGAAGATTGATGCAGATTTTTTTAATAAATCCTCGGAGCAGCACGTGATGATCATACTCTCACAGGGCGTATACAACATATCATCAGAAGAGCTTACGTTAAAGGATAGCGCACGTAACCTCTTGTGTTCTTTCATTGAATTTTCAGCCTCAATACTTTGCCTAGAGGCTTCTGCTCACTCTGACATTATCAAAGAGGTTACAAAATCTGATGGAAGCTGGACTGGAGATCGTGTATTGTGGATTATAAATAAGTTTATTTTGAAACACATTGGAGATACAATAAATAGAGGAATTTCTACTGGAAAGGTTAGTAACGAACAAATGAAAATCCCATTGGACTCTAGTTGCTTACGGTTAACTTACCGTCATGCTTCTACTTAATCGCCAAATCTCTTGACCAGGAATATTGATTTGTATTTCAAATTGTAAGATTAAAAAGCGTGGCTCTCTTCTGCAGGGGGAAATTCTCTTGATACGCAAAATGGTGACAACACTTCCAGATGCCGGAAATCTTACTGCATTCAGACCTTTATGCTCAGAAGACGATGAAGTGGATTTCTTTAAAAACATTTTTAGCATTCAGGTAAAGTAATTTTATCATCTGACTCCTTGAGTCTACAGTTTTTATTGGCGTTGTGGTGAGAATAATCAGAGTTGATATATTATAGCCACACAGGAACCAGTGCCACTTCTGATTTTTTTTTTTTTGTTGGGACCTTATTTTACCCTTTGAGGATGAAGCAGCATATCCACTTATTGATGATGGATACCTTAAGATGATTTACTTCTTTTGAATGTCTTATAGGCACACCGTAGAGCAAGGGCAGTTAAACGTTTCACAAAGGTGGTCAAAGATAGCAGTCTGCCTGAGGTGATCTCTTTGCATTTCTCAGATTTTTAATTAAGATTTATGTACTTCCATAGACGTATGACCAATTTCAGTTGGGGTTGCAGGGAGTAGTGAGAAGACTTTTGGTCTCAGTTTTTTTCAACATGTTGCTTGATGGACAAGATGAAAAAGGGAAAAATGTTCAAGATGCATGCAAAGAAGCCCTTGCATCTGTATCTGGTCATATGAGTTGGAAGTCATACTACGCCCTATTGAATCGGTGTTTCCATGAGATGAAAGAGCATACCAAAAAGAGAAAAATTCTGCTGCAGCTTAGTGGCTTGATTTTAAATAACTTCCATTTCTTAAAAGATAGTTACACACATGAGGCTGCGGAGATTAGGAGTTGCGTTGAGAAAATCCTTTTGCCGAAGATACAGATGCTGATTGATTCTGACAGTGTTAATGTTGACAGCTACGTGGCTGCAGTGAAGGTTCTAAACCTTCTGCCCAAAGAAATAAGGGACCCGCAGCTAGGCTCTATAGTTCCTAAAATTTGCAGTTATTTGAAGGATGGGTTGGCGAGCACACGTGATGTAGCAAGAAAGGCTCTGGCTGCTTGTGTCGCAGAACTCGGGCTAGAGTACCTGCAATTTGTTGTAAAAGATTTACGTGCTATATTAAAACGAGGATCTGAGGTGCATGTGCTAGGATACACTGTCAATTTTATCTTATCAAAGTGCTTGTCCAATCCTAATCCTACGTGTGGGAAGTTGGATCATTGTTTGGGAGATCTCCTTGCAGTGGTGGAAACCGATATCCTTGAAGACGTTTATGAACAGAAAGAGGAGTTAAAAACCGCGTTCAAGAAGAAGAAAGAAACAGTAAAACGCAAGTCACCTGAGACTCTGAAAATGATTGCTGAAAATGTAACGTTCAGAAGTAATCATGTGTTGAAGTTACTTTCTCCGGTCACAGCTCAGCTGCAGAGGCCTTTGACTCCAAAGTTAATATCAAAACTAAAGGAGATGTTAAAATGTATTGCAGCTGGTATTGAAGGCAATCCATCTGTTGATCAAAGAGATCTTTTTTGTTTTATATATGAACGTGTTGTTGATGGTATTAACGACAGGAATGGTCTTGGAGATGAAGCATGGAAAAGGAAATCAAGAGATCTGCAAGTGACAGATGGTGCTAAGTCATGTCCACATCTTATAACCGTGTTTGCTCTGGACTTATTGCACAACAGACTGAAACAAATAGACCTGAACAATACTAACGAAGGACTGGTGTCAATGTTGGATCCTTTTGTCAAACTACTTGCTGGGTGCTTGAGTTCTAAGTATGAAGATGTTGTATCTTTATCTGTTAGATGTTTCACTCCACTGTCAAAATTGCAGCTGCGCTCCTTCAAATCTGAAGCAGATAAAGTGAAGACAGCACTGCTAACTATTATCGCTCAGTCTGCAACGAGTTCCAGTAGTCCTCTTGTGCTGTCATGCCTTAAGCTGTTTACAGTTCTTCTCGAATCAGGAAAATTCACTTTATCATCTTGGGAGTTGAAAATGTTGCTTCAACTTCCCATGTTTGTTGATCTGGAATCGGATTCATCTGAGGATTCATCTGTTACTTCTCTGTCACTTATCAAGGCCATTTTGGGAAGGAAGCTTGCAGTCCCAAACATACATGATATAGCAGGTCAGGTATTAGGGTTGATGATAAAGACCCACTCGGACCATACACGCAAGCATTGTAAAAAATTACATTTGGAAATTTTGGTCCATTATACACCTTCTGAGAAATGCCTACAACGACATGTTAACATTTTGCTGAAACATCTGAGGTACGTATGTGCATTAGCTCTTTGAAATTTGGCTTTCTTTTTTAAAATAGCAACTGAATTTTTCCCTCCTCCAGCTATGAAAAGTTAACTGGAAGACTAGCAGTTCTTGACATGCTTGAAGATCTTATCAATAATTTCTCGAAACCTTATCCTGGCAAGCAGTCGTTTCTTGACCAGCAGTCCCAAAACTTCTTTCTTCAGCTTGCTCGTCGTTTGGCAACTGATGATGATAAAAAAGTACTGTCGAAGATTTGTCATGTGATAAAACTTCTGATAGGTCGCATCAGTAAAGATCAAGTTGATTACAGCCTCGAGCACTGTCTGGTTTGGTATAAGCATGAGAATTCACGTGCTATAGCTGCACAGGTAAATTCTTTGAGGGTTCATGTTCTTATTGACAATAGGTTGATGTCAGATCAGTCGGGAGTAGAAAATAACTTTACATGATCGTTATAGAATTTATGACTTGAAACATCGTCATGAAGCTTTGTTTTGTGATATGCGCGTTTTTTGCGGTAGTTGATTACTCTTACTCATTTGTTGGATGCCCTGCAGGTACTGGGATTATTCATCGAAGCCATGAAGGAAATATTTCGGAAGCATATCTGCAATGTATTGCAGGACGCTAAAATGATTTTGGAGTCTACTGTACTGTTGCAAGATACGGTTGAGGAAGGCAGTATTCCTTTCTGGAAGGAAGCTTATCATTCACTTGTTATGATAGAGAAGATGCTCCAGCAGTTTCCTGATTTAACTTTTGGAAAAGATTTTGAGGTAATGCTCTCAGCTTGTTAATCTTTTTTTTGCCTTTTTCTCCTTGTTCTATTCTTATTAGACCTCATTTCTTATTCAGGATATTTGGAAAATGGTGTTTAAGTTGTTGTTGCACCGACACCAATGGTTGCGTACTATATCCTGCAGGCTCTTGAATTATTATTTCAAGGAATCAGGAAAATCTCAGAAACTAGTAGCTAGTTCTCTTCTCGGGAAGCCAAGTAGCCTGTTCAGGGTGGCTGTTTCTCTTTGTGTCCAATTAGAGGATCAACGCAGCACATGCATTAAAGACATTACAGAAAATATTGGTTTTGCTCTCTCTGGTCTTCATTCTATGATTGGACAATCTGATGATGAGTTCTGTTCCAGTCTTGACGATGATGAGAAAGTGTTGTTCCTCAATGCCTTTGAAGAGCTTGATTCAGGGAAAGGAAGGTCTAATTTTCTGGCTCTTACCTCAGGAAAACGCAGTGAAAACGATGCGAGAAATGTATTGATTGGAAGTTTGCTCAAAAGAATGGGGAAGCTCGCTCTTGACATGGACTCTCTTCAGATGGGAATTGTGTTCAACGTCTACAAAGCATTTGCCTCACAATTGAATCAAGAAGATTTTCTCTTATATGCCTTCAGAATCCTGCTCCCGTTGTACAAAGTTTGCCAAGGATTTACCGGAAAAGTCATCACAGAAGAGTTGAAACAGCTAGCGGAAGAGGTAAGAGACAGTATAAGAGACAAGAGCTTAGGCAGCCAACTGTTTGTGCAAGTCTACAGCGAAATCAAAAAGAGTATGGAAGCGAAAAGGGAGAAGAGGAAACGAGAAGAGAAGCTAATGGCGGTGATAAACCCGGAGAGAAACGCAAAGAGGAAACTCAAGTTAGCCGCAAAGAACAAGGCTAACAAGAAAAGAAGGATTATGAGCAATAAAATGGATAGATGGGCTCGCTCTTAAGCTCACACATAGAATTATAGCCATTGTTTTGGTTTAATTTAAAGTTCATTATAATTAATTACCGTCAAAGACTATGTAGTGATTTTGTCAAGCAATTGTGAAACTTATGCCAAAATATCTAGCCAATGGGGTAAGAATAAAATATAGTTTAATAGCCAAAGTAGCTTCGTTCCCGGTTAAATATTTTATTCAGCTTCGGTCGCTATTTAGACAGAAGCATACCCGTTGACCTGTCTTCAACAGATCGTTCATCTGGAATTCTGTTCTGTAGCAAGGTAAGAAAAAAACAGAAATCTTCAACTCTGCTTCTGGATTCTTCTGCATCTTCTCTTCGCTTTCTAAAGTCAATTGTTCTCAATCCTGAAATTATGGCTGCAAACTAATGAACGAATGCATGTCCATGATTCTATAGTTGACTAGGGTATTAATTTGGGAATTATGGTGAGATTCTTTAGTAATTTGATGTTTCCTTTCTACTCACAGGTCTAAGATGATGATAGCACAGGGATTGGGAATATATGTGGTGGAGAGCAAACGAGGAGCAATATTATGTATATTGCTTTCTCTGCTCTGTTTAGGCACTTGGCCTGCTCTTATGGCTCTTCTTGAGAATCATGGTGAGATTCTATGGTAATTTGATGTTTCCTTTGTACTCACAGGTCTTAGATGATGATAGCTCAAGGATTGGGAATATATGTGGTGGAGAGCAAAGGAGGAGCAATTTTTTGTATATTGCTTTCTCTGCTCTGTTTAGGCACTTGGCCTGCTCTCATGGCTCTTCTTGAACGGCGTGGTCGCCTCCCACAACATACTTATCTTGATTATTCCATCACTAACTTCTTGGCTGCAATCTTTATAGCCTTTGTGTTTGGTGGGCTTGGTGAAAGTACACATGAGGCACCAAGTTTCATTACACAACTCACTCAGGTTAGGATTTGAAGGATTCTGGACTTATATGGAGATTTCATTGATGTGTTTATAGATCTCTTGCTGCTGCTGCTACAGATTCAAGATAATTGGCCCTCTGTGTTGTTTGCGATGGCGGGTGGGGTGGGTTTAAGTATTGGGAATCTTGCTACTCAGTATTCTTTAGCTTTTGTTGGTCTGTCTGTTACAGAAGTGACAACTGCGAGCATCACCGTTGTTGTAGGCACCACTGTCAATTACTTTTTGGACAACAGATTGAACCGAGCTGATATTCTTTTCTCTGGTGTTGGCTGCTTCTTGGTAGCTGTTTGTCTTGGTTCTGCGGTTCACTCTTCCAATTCTGCTGATATAGAGGCGAAACTCGGAAAACTCTCAGGGGATTGTGAAACTGTGAGCCACGAAGAGTGTCAGAGACTATTTGGAGGTAACTTCGACATACAGTGTGGATTAATTGTCTGATAGTGTTAAGAAGATCACTCACTTCTTTAGTTTTATAGTTGATGAAGAAGAAGAAGAAAAAGAGCTGAAGAATGTAAAGGAAGGGACTGCAGCTTTTCTTGTAGCACTCGAAAACACAAGATCAATTAAAGTAGGATCTTTCTCTTTAGTTCTGTGTTGATCTTGAGTTTGGTGTTAACAAATTAAATCAATCTCTATGTACTTCTTTTGGATTCAGGTGTTAGGAAAGAGCATGGTTGTTGGTCTGGGGATAACTTTTTTTGCAGGCCTTTGTTTCTCATTGTTCTCACCACTATTCAACCTTGCAACAAACGATCAATGGCACACTCTAAAACTAGGCGTTCCCAAGCTGATTGTCTACACTGCGTTCTTCTATTTCTCACTATCTTGCTTTGTAATCGCCGTCGCTCTCAACATTGGCTTCCTGTACAAACCTGTGCTCGACTCACCAAGATCTTCCTTCAAGGAATACCTGAGTGACTGGAACGGAAGAGGTTGGGCACTTGCAGCTGGATTGTTTTGTGGGTTTGGTAACGGTCTTCAGTTCATGGGTGGACAAGCTGCAGGATATGCAGCCTCAGATGCTGTTCAGGTCACACAAACACTTATATCAGCTTTAACTTAAACTGGAATTTTCTTTATCTTTGCTTGTGTTTTAGTGAAATCTTGACTGATATTCATGAGTAGGCACTTCCTTTGGTATCGACTTTTTGGGGGATATATCTGTTTGGGGAGTATAGGAGATCATCTCCGCGAACATATGCTTTGCTTGTTGGAATGCTGGTGATGTTCACTGTTGCTGTGGGGCTTCTAATGGCCTCGGCTGGGGAAAGAGATACCCGATTTACCTAAAGAGTTCATCGTTATGAACAAGAACATATACGGTGTGGCTCTTCAAGATGTTGTACATTGTGGTTACTTCAAGTGAAAGAAAATGTAAATAATCAGCTGTTTGATATTCGTTTATATAAGAAACTAGATCATCACCCGTACTACAGTACGGGTTGAATTTCATTTATTACAAAATTTATATATTATATAGTTATAGAATAAAGTCGTGATATATTATGATAGTAAGTAAAAAAATATTCATTTTTTTCTATCAGTCCATATATATAATATTAGAATGAATATATTTTTCTTTTTCTGTAATCCTCAATTATGGATATATTTTTTAAAGATATGAAAGCGGAAAATAATATTATTTAAAAAATAAATAATATTGTTTGAACAATGAGTTAATTTATGTTAACAACCACAAAATGAGAGTGCATATAATTTAGTTAGATCAAAAATCAAAATATCATAAATGAATCACATCTAAAACGTAGATTATTTTGAATTAGTTAAAAAAGTTAGCTATTATTTTGAATTAATTTAGGAAATTATTTTTTCAAATTCTTATTCATTGGTTGTTGAAATAGAGATTTGTTTGAGCTAATTACGGAATTTATCAATTATTCACATAATCGAATATGTTATGAACATATATTTGGTATATAATAATACCAAATTCGATCCGTGTGTGGAGTCTATATTTTCATTTTACAATCCCTATAAAAATATTGCGGCACAATCTATTATTCATTATTTCCAAAATTGCTTGCAGAATTAAATTTTCAAATATTTAGAAGTGTCAAACCTTATTTAACTCATCTCATCATAAAATCTTAAAATATCGTCTTATAAGGATCATAACTTTCTATCATATAATACATTACTTTTAACCCGCCGCCTACTATAAATATATTAAACATATCTTTTTAGAAAATCAAATTAGTATTTATAATTTTTTTATCTTTTTAATCTATTAAATATTTATGATATTCTTTAATATATTAAATTAAACTTTGTTTAAATGTTTCAAATTAAAATCTTTAAAAATTTTATTGTAGTATGTAAAATTATGAATTAAAAAAAAAATATATGAAATTAGATATAAATATTCAAATAGTTATAAGGATCATAACTCATTTCATCATATAATACATTATATTTAACCCGCCGCCTATTATAAATATTTGTTTCAAAAAATCAAATTAGAGTATTTATATTTCTTAACTTTTTTGATCTATTAAGTATTGATGATATTAAAAAAAGAATATATTACTCAAATATGAATTTTTGACCCGTTAAATTTGTTCTTTCATACATTGAACAATTTATATTCGTTTTTAAAAATTCAAATCTTTGTATATGCGGAAAAAAATTTACTTTTTTTATTATGTAGATGATATAATAATTTATTTATTTTATAGAAATAGGATAATATAAAGATGAGAGGTGAAGTATAATGATTAATAACAAATTAATATGATAAGTTAGATATCAAATCTTATATGTTCATTTTGATTGGTCATTCTTTTTCTAAAAATTAATAATAGATTTTCGTTTTATAATTAAATTAAATTAATTAAATTGCAGAAAATTGTTTTTGACTATTTTATCCTTAGTGAGTTGAATTAATTTACTCTATAAAATTTTATTTCTAATGGCATTTTCATGTAATTTTTTACAAAAAAGAAAGTTAGTTAAGGGTTTCTTATAAAGTGTACTCCCCAAATAATAGTATAGGATGAAATGAATACAGATCATATATAAGTAGTGGTTTGATAGGGTTCCTTGTAAATTCACCAAAGATTGCAAAAAAATTGAGATACTTCTATTCCTTCGCAATATGAAATTGAGGACAGGAATAATATCATTAAAAACAAAACCGCTAGAAGGAGGGGTCGAACCTCCGACCTTGTGGTTAACAGCCACACGCTCTAACCAACTGAGCTATTCCAGCTTTTGTTACCTTAATATTAGTTAACCTATATAATCTATAGACATTAAAAATATTAAACCACCAACCATCATAAACCCAGGCTTGAATTGTAATTTTACCAAATTTTAATAAAATTTATGATGACCAAAAAAATTATGTTTATATACATGTTCTACATAATTTACAATATTTTTGGCCATCTTTAAACTCATTAATAATTTACAACAAGTCAACAACACAAACGTACGTTATTTATTGAAATTGTCAGTTCAACAGGAAAAAAAAGAATAGGATAAGAGGAGAAGAAAATTCAGTGCATTTTAGATATATCTTTTACATAAAATTCAACAAAGATTAATTATCGTAATGACTAATGATTTCAATAAGAAGTTAGGTTTCTTGAAAATATGATTTCACCTTACGTTTCCATTTAGAAATTCTCGATCTGTTTTCAATATATATTGTGGATAAATAGACAAATAGACAAGTCACAAGTTCCATAGTCGTCAATCCCAGTCATGAAAACGATTGCTCTGTAATAGCGTTGGAAATAATTTCCATTAGCTTGTTCAAACTAAACACCTACATGTTGACTAAAGAAATTTCAAAGTATACCTATATGACAAAACAGAATTCAATTTTAAATTAATTTCTCTCTATTTTTTTATTCTATAAACTTAAAATCCTAGTAACTAGAATCCTATAATAGAGACGTAAGACATATTACATAAAAATATAAAATAAAAAATAAAAAACAATGAAAGAAGCCCTTTCTGTTTTGTGTCTTGTTCTTTTGGTTACGGTTTCAGAAGCAGCAGTAACGAAACCAAAATTTGGAGACTTCATCGAATGCCTTCGCTATCGTACAAGTCCGGAGAATCCAATCACCGATTCCATCTCCATTGCCGATAACACCACCACCTTCTTGTCTTCTTACTTGTCTTACACGAAAAACAAGAGGTACTCGAGCCCTAACTTCAAAAAACTACTAGCTATCGTTGCGGCGAAACATGTATCTCATGTTCAGGCCACAGTGGTCTGCGCAAAGACCAACGGTATACAACTGCGTATCCGAAGCGGCGGTCATGACCTCGAAGGCCTTTCTTACAGGTCATCTGTGCCATTTGTCATTCTCGATATGTTCAATCTCAGATCTATTACTGTTGACGTATCGAGCAAGAAAGCATGGGTTCAAGCTGGTGCAACCTTGGGAGAGCTCTACGTAAAGATCAATGAGGCAAGCCAAACGCTAGCGTTTCCAGCTGGCGTTTGCCCTACGGTAGGAGTAGGAGGGCACATAAGCGGTGGAGGGTATGGAAATCTGATGAGAAAATTCGGAATTACAGTGGATCATGTCGTTGATGCTCAATTAATTGATGTCAACGGCAAGCTCTTAAATCGAGCTACCATGGGAGAAGATCTCTTTTGGGCCATTCGCGGCGGTGGTGGTGCGAGTTTTGGAGTTATCCTCTCTTGGAAAATCAACCTCGTCGAAGTTCCAAAGATCCTGACAGTATTTAAAGTTAACAAAACATTGGAACAAGGAGGCACTGATGTTCTCTACAAGTGGCAGCTTGTCGCTACCAAATTCCCTGATGATCTTTTTATGAGAGCATGGCCTCAGATCGTAAATGGAACAAAACGTGGCGAGAGAACCATCGCAGTTGTACTCTATGCTCAGTTCTTGGGTCCAGCTGATAAGCTGATGGCGATAATGAACCAGAGCTTGCCTGATTTAGGGCTAAAACGTGAAGATTGTCACGAAATGAGCTGGTTTAACACGACATTGTTTTGGGCCGATTACCCGGTGGGAACACCGAAGAGCGTTCTTCTAGATAGGCCGACGAATCCAGGATTCTTTAAGAGCAAATCAGATTACGTTAAAACACCGATCCCAAAAGAAGGATTAGAGAAGCTTTGGAAGACAATGTTTAAATTCAACAATATTGTGTGGATGCAATTCAACCCTTACGGTGGAGTGATGGACCGGATTCCGTCGACCGCTACAGCATTTCCTCATCGGAAGGGAAACTTTTTCAAGGTTCAATACTCTACAACATGGTTGGATGCAAACGCAACAGAGACTAGCCTAAGTATGATGAAGGAGCTTTACGAGGTTGCGGAACCGTACGTGTCAAGTAACCCGAGAGAGGCCTTCTTTAATTACAGAGACATCGATATTGGAAGCAATCCTAGTAGTGAGACAGACGTAGATGAGGCTAAGATCTATGGATACAAGTATTTCTTGGGGAATTTGAAGAGATTGATGCAAGTCAAAGCTAAGTATGATCCTGAGAATTTCTTCAAGAACGAGCAGAGTATTCCTCCTGTTCGTGTAATGTAGTAACCTTACTCTTTGATAAGATTTATTTAGTAGTATAGTAATAAGTTATTTGGGCTTGTTAAAGCTTATAATGTAGTTTTCACTATTGTCCAATTTGCATTATGATACTTTTGTTATATTTAATCATTACTCCATAAGGACTTTCATGAAATCGATTTTCCTTACACATGATTAGGATAGATCAGTTCTAGTGTTCTACTTTTACATCTATATATAACTGATTTATTATTTTCTTGACAAAAAAACTATAAAGGCAAATAAAAACTCACTTCGTTGAACATTATCTCGAGCTTGCTCTAATCAAGCTCTCAATTCTGTACAACTTTCTTTCAGCTTTCTCTCTCACTCGCACGGACTGAGCACTTGTGCTCTCTCTTTATATAGAGACAGAGACAACTTTAGGAACTTGGACACAAAGTTTTCTTAATTAACTCGACTTGAATAGTTCCTATGTCTGAATCTTCATTAATATAATAATATGCATCAAGGAGACGATGATTTGCATGCCTGCTTCTTTGTCTCCTCGAGAACTCACGGTTTTGCTCAGTGCAGTATGAACCTGAAACTGTTTCAGAGAAAACACAGGGAGCTAGGAGACTTCAAATCTTATCCTTGGAACCCTTCGTTTTTTCTCAGTTGAAATCTTCTGTTTTAGAACAAGTCTTTGATTTAACATCTTCTTCAAACGACTTCTTCTTAATGTTCTGACTTTGAATTCAAACTAAACCCCACACACACTCTATGTAATAATGTAAATACATCTTGTATATAAACGTAATAAATGGATACATATGACGTATAAACGTAATTACCACTTGACCCTGAGGTCAATGACTATAGTTTAGTGGTTTATGTTACCATTTAGATTCAACCTGACATAAATGTTTTTGGTCTTAACGTTAAACCTGACATAATGTCTATTGTACTATTTAGATTCAACCTGAATTGTAGATAAAAAAAATTAATTATATTTATGTATTTACGGATTTATCACAGAACAAATAATCAACAATTCAAAAAAAAAGCCCAGTGCTATTTGAAAAGTCTATTGATGTATTTATTATATAAAAAACAAAAAAGTCTATTTCAAACTCTTCGGCTATTTATAAAATCATTAGTAATTTTCAACACACAAACGTTATCCACTAAAACTTGAAGTCAAGGAAGTAGAATAAAATATAATGATATGGAAAACAAAATTGGAAAATTCAGTCAGTGCATTATATTCATGAAATATCTTTTACAAAAAAAAACTCAACGAAATTTAAGAGTAATTTTCTCAGTAAAAGATAGGTTTCTTGGAAATATGAAGGAAGAAGTCTCACTCACCTTACGTTTGCATTTATGAAAAAGTATCGTTTCTAATCTCTGTATTCAACTGTCTTCTACTAATGAAATCGCAATATATTGTATATATAATTATATATGTTGTGGAAAAAAGAAGTTCAATAAATGCAAATTAATCCTTGAGTTCTGTTCAATCATGAAAACCACTAATCCTCTGTCACATACGTTAAAATTTCCATTGTATTAGCCTGGTCAAAACAAACACCTACATGTTGACAAAAGAAAATTCAAAGTAAACCTATATGACGAAGTCACTTTTAAATCAATTTTCTCTCTAGATTTTGATCCTATAAACTAAAATCCTAATAGAAGTGTAGGACATACTGCATAAAAAGTAAAAATGAAAGAGGCACTTGTTTTTCTTCTTTTCTTGACCAAAAAGTTTCCAGAGAAGTTCAATAGTTGCTCAAAAAAGAAAGAAACACTTTATGTTTTGTGTCTTGTTCTTCTTATTTCGGTTTTAAAAGCACCAGTAACAAAACCAAATTTTGGAAAGTTTATCGAATGCCTACGCGATCGGACTACTCTGGAGAATCCAATCACCGATGCCATCTCCATCGCCGATAACACCACCACCTTCTTGTCTTCTTACGTGTCATACACGAAAAATAAGAGGTTCTCGAGCCCTAACTTAAAAAACCTACTAGCCATCATAGCGGCAAAACATATATCTCATGTTCAGGCCACGGTTGTCTGCGCAAAGTCCAATGGTATCCAGATACGTATCCGAAGCGGTGGTCATGACAACGAGGGTTTTTCTTACGTGTCGTCTGTGCCATTTGTCATTCTCGATATGCACAATCTGAGGTCTATTGATGTCAACGTGACGAGCAAGAACGCATGGATTCAAGCTGGTGCAACCTTGGGAGAGCTCTACGTAAAGATCAATGAGGCAAGCCAAACGCTAGCGTTTCCAGCTGGCGTGTGCCCTACGGTAGGAGCAGGAGGACACATAAGCGGTGGAGGGTTTGGAAATCTGATGAGAAAATTCGGAATCACGGTGGATCATGTCATTGATGCTCAATTAATTGATGTCAATGGCAAGCTCTTAAATCGAGCTGCCATGGGAGAAGATCTCTTTTGGGCGATTCGCGGTGGTGGTTCAAGTTTTGGAGTTATCCTCTCTTGGAAAATCAACCTCGTGGAGGTTCCAAAGATCCTGACAGTGTTCAAGGTTAACAAAACATTGGAACAAGGAGGCACTGATGTTCTCTACAAGTGGCAGCTTGTCGCTAACGAACTCCCTGATAGTCTTTTCATAACAGCATGGCCTCGGACCGTAAATGGACCAAAACCCGGCGAGAGAACCATCGCGGTTGTATTCTATGCTCAGTTCTTGGGTCCAACAGATAAGCTGATGGAGATAATGGACGAGAGCTTCGCTGAATTAGAGCTAAGCCGTGAAGATTGTCACGAAATGAGCTGGCTTAACACGACGTTGTTTTGGGCCAATTACCCGGCGGGTACACCAAAGAGCGTCCTCCTAGATAGGCCTTCGACGAATTCAGTGTCCTTTAAGAGTAAATCGGATTTTGTCAAAAAACCTATCCCCAAGAAAGGTTTAGAGAAGCTTTGGAAGACAATGTTTAAATTCAACAGTAGCGTCTCGTTGCAATTCAACCCTTACGGTGGAGTGATGGACCGGATTCCGGCAACGGCCACTGCGTTTCCTCACCGGAAAGGAAACTTGTTCAAGGTTCAATACTCTACGATGTGGTTTGACGCAAACGCCACAGAGAGTAGCCTGGCTATGATGAAGGAGCTTTTCGAGGTGGCGGAACCGTACGTGTCAAGTAACCCGAGAGAGGCGTTTTTTAATTTCAGAGACATCGATATTGGAAGCAATCCAAGTGGTGAGACAAACGTGGATGAGGCTAAGATCTATGGATACAAGTATTTCTTGGGGAATTTGAAGAGATTGATGGATGTTAAAGCTAAGTATGATCCTGAGAATTTCTTTAAGAACGAGCAGAGTATTCCTCCGGTTCGTGTAAAGTAGTGATATTATCTGGGCTTATAGTCTATTTTTTTCTTAAAATCTGTATGAGCCCCAATTTCGTTGGTCCGGCTCTGAATCTATATGTAGTTTGCTATGTTCAATCATTACTCAATAAAGAAATCGATTAGCATACGTTAATACGTGAGTAGTTATTAGTTAACTTCATAATTAATTAGGCATGTGCATTACTAATCTCGTTTTGTATATATATTTTTTATTTTTCTATTTTTGTTTATGGATTGATTTTGCAACTATATTGAATTATATTATGCTAAGAATTTAACCATTCTGTCTTCAAGTACTCTTTACAGGTTAATGTTTTAAGAGTTAGTTAATGTTTTTATACTATTTAAAAATATATTTTTAAAAAAAAAAAAAAAAGAAGAAGAGAGAGCATACGTATCAAAAGAAATACACGTTTTGAAACCTAAAGAACAACTCTGGCAACCTACTTCAAGCAAAACACCACCGCTTCCAGCACCACCGGATCAGAGCCCTGATTCTCGGCCATCTTATAATCATTAGTAATTTACAACAATACAAACGTAACTTATTCAAATTTGAATTCAACGACGAAGACAAGAGAGGAAGATTCATTGCATTCTAAAGATATCTTTTGCATAAAACTTGACAAATTTAATACAGTAGTAACAAATTTAAAAGATAGGTTTCTTGAAAATATGAATGAGTTCTCTTTCAAAATTCATTTATCAAGTGCTTTTTGGTCTAGTGACATTTTTTGATATAAGAACGTAACACTGACAAAAAAAGGAATATGGGTTCGAATGCACTTGGAAAAAAAGACTATTGTTTACAAAAGGGATAATGTTAAAAATGCTTGTTCTGGGGAGATTAGGAAATCATGATCCGAACTTCACAGTCCTCACAGTTATATATATATAAAAGTAAAAAACAATATGAATGAAGTCTCACCCTTATGCTTCCGTTTAAAAATCGCTGTCTTCAGCTTTCTTCCACTATTAAAATCTGCTATAACATCTCACTATTCAACTATTTTCCACTAGCTAATATTTCGAAAACATTGAAATAAAGAACTTCAATAGATGCGACTCAAGCCCTGATCTTAATCATGATAACTACTAGTCCTCTGTAATATATATATACACGTTGTAATTTCTATTTGCTTGATCAAAATGACCAACTACATGCTCACAAAAGAAAATTTAAAGTCAACCTATATAACAAAGCAAAAGTCAATTTTAAATTGATTTTCTCTCTAGATTTTTATTATATAAACTAAAATCCTGATAGAGGCGTAAGACATATTACATAAAAATCAAATTAAAACATGAAAGCACTCTCTGTTTTGTGTCTTGTTCTTTTGGTTTCGGTTTTAGAAGCAGCAGTAACAAAACCAAGTTCTGGAATTTTCATCGGATGCCTTCGCAATCGGACTACTCCGGGGATTCCAATCACCGATGCCATCTTCACCGCCGATAACACTGCCACCTTCTTGTCTTCTTACGTGTCCTACACGAAAAACAAGAGGTACTCGAGCCCTAACTACCAAAAACTAGTAGCCATCGTGGCGGCGAAACATGTTTCTCATGTTCAGGCCACGGTGGTCTGCGCAAAGACCAACGGTATACAACTCCGTATCCGAAGCGGAGGTCATGACTACGAAGGCCTGTCTTACACGTCGTCTGTGCCATTTGTTATTCTCGATATGTACAATCTGAGGTCTATTACTATTGACGTGCCAAGCAAGAAAGCCTGGGTTCAAAGTGGTGCGACCTTGGGAGAGCTCTACACAAAGATCAATGAGGCGAGCCCAACGTTAGCGTTTCCGGCTGGCGTTTGCCCTACGGTAGGAGTGGGTGGGCACATAAGCGGTGGAGGATTTGGAAATCTGATGAGAAAATTCGGAATCACAGTGGATCATGTTATTGATGCTCAGTTGATTAATTGCAACGGCAAGCTCTTAGATCGAGCTACCATGGGAGAAGATCTCTTTTGGGCGATTCGCGGAGGTGGTGGTGCGAGTTTTGGAGTTATCCTCTCTTGGAAAATCAACCTCGTCGAGGTTCCAAAGATTCTGACAGTGTTTAAGGTTCGTAAAACATTGGAACAAGGAGGCACTGATGTTCTCTACAAGTGGCAGCTTGTTGCTTCCAAATTTCCTGAAGATCTTTTTATAAGAGCCTGGCCTCAGATTGTAAAGGGAACAAAACTCGGCGAGAGAACCATCGCGGTTGTATTCTTTGCTCAGTTTTTGGGTCCAACCGATAAGCTGATGGCGATAATGAGCCAGAGCTTGCCTGAACTAGGGCTAAGACGTGATGATTGTCACGAAATGAGCTGGTTGTACACAACGTTGTTTTGGGCCAATTATCCGGTTGGCACACCAAAGCGCGTTCTTCTAGATAGACCGTCGAGTCCAGGAGAATTTTTCAAGAGCAAATCGGATAACGTCAAAAACCCAATCCCAAAAGAAGGATTGGAGAAGATATGGAAGACAATGTTGAAATTTAACTTTGTATGGATTGAATTCAACCCTTATGGTGGAGTGATGGACCGGATTCCGGCTACTGCCACAGCGTTTCCTCACCGGAAAGGAAACTTGTTCAATCTTCAATACTCTACGATATGGTTGGACGCAAAGGAAACAGAGAATAAGCTGAATATGATGAAGGAGCTTTATGAAGTTGTGGGACCGTACGTGTCAAGTAACCCGAGAGAGGCGCTCTTAAATTTCAGAGACGTCGATATTGGAAGCAATCCGAGTGGTGTGAACGTGGATGAAGCTAAGATCTATGGATCCAAGTATTTCTTGGGAAATTTAAAGAGATTGATGGATGTTAAAGCTAAGTGTGATCCTGAGAATTTCTTCAAAAACGAACAGAGTATTCCTCCTGCTCGTATAATGTAGGAAATAGGAATTTACGCTTTTATCAGATATATTTAGCAAGTGTAATAAGTTATGTGAGCATTGGAAAAAAAAAAAAAAGAGGTTACGTGGGCATGTGTTAATATGTTAGCCTTTGCTAGTCATACATATATATATCAAGAAGTTTTTTTTTTTTTCTTTCTTTTTAAACTAGATATCAAAAAGTTTATGGGCTTATATTAGTGTGCTTTTTGCAAATTATGCTAAGAATCTATCAACTCTGTCATTAGTTATTTCAAACTACATTTTATGGGATGCAGACATGTAGTCGTCACCAATAAATGAAATCGACAAAATCGGTTTGACGCTATTAGGGAAAAATGATTATCTGCAGTAATTAAGTATTAAAAGCGTAATTAAGTGATTCCTACTCAAACCCAGAGATTGAGCATTTTAAATTTTAATGAATGGTTTTTTTTTATTAAACTCTCTTTTTTTTGAGACGTCAAGTCTCTGCCAATTTCTGTCTCAACGAATAAAATGTGTCGCATGAACTTTTTGATTTGGTAAATAGCCGCGTAAGAGAGAGACCCGACATAAATGCTGGAACGACTCGCAGTCTCGCACCAAGAATCAAAGACAAGACTTTTCAGCCGAACCCCTATACTTCTAAGATGTTGGGCATGTTTACTCATGAACCAAAATGAGTATCATTAACAGTTTTTTATTATTGTTTCATGAGTTGAAACCCAAAATGAGTATCAATAGACTCACCCCAATGATACTTTTCATCCAAATATCAACCCAAAATATATTTTTTTTATTATTATTCATGGGATGATACCCACAAAAGAATCATGAGTAAACATGCTCTACCCAAATTTTTTAATTATACTACATTAACCCAAACGCACCATCGTATATTCGTATGTCTAAAATGTTGAGTTTAATGTCCCCAAACTTTTTATCCTTCCGGAATTAACCCCATTTTTCAGACTCCAGACGTAAGACTTCTCTTATTAAAAATAAGAAGGTATGTGAAGATCAAATATCATACTTCATCAAAAACATCACATTTCATATACTACTTTCAAGTATACGGTAGGAGAGTGTTTAGCAGTTTAACACCATCCGATTAACTTGATTTAAACATGAACTTTTTGACTAGCCCAATCAAAGGATCGACCTTATGAAAAAACCCCAATTAACTCGATATAATGGAAGGTTTAGAACCGACCTAAACAGAAATTGGAATGAATGAATCAAATCTACTCTGAATATTGAGATAGGGAGAAAAAAGAAGAAGAAGATCCTCTCTCGAGAAATAAGGAAAAATAGCATATTCGAAGACCGAGAAAGTAGAAGTATAAATGGCGGACTTGGCTGATGAATAAGGGGATTCACACTTCGCGCCTCAAAAACTCTTAACTCATTACTTGCAAGAAAAATCCCTAACTTGTTCGAAAAGCTTGTTAGAATTCTTTGTAAAAGAACGACTTTCTTTAATTTTGCCTTTATATTTTAGTCTCTATTTTACTTTGTGCGGAATCCAAGCGCAATATACGAATGTTTCATAAATAATAAAAACGTTATTTAAGAAAAGTCTATTGCACGTTATATAAAAAAACGTTATATCAAAATTTGTCGTCCATCTTTTTTTGTCATCCGAAATTAATTAGAGCTCAAAAGAGTCATTCATGGAGAATGTTGTTTACATATGTGAATTATTATTACAGTATTACAGTATTAAAATTGGGAAAATCATTATTACAGTATTTACAACAATACAAACGTATTGAAATTTGAATTCAACGAGAGAAATAAGAAATGGGAAAATTCATTGCATTCTAGAAATATTTTATGCATAAAAATCAACAAAATTGAATCCTAATTATTTCAATAAAAAGATAGGTTTCTTGAAGCTTACGTTTCCATTTATAAAGCCTCGTTTGCATTTATGAAATCTCTGTATTCAACTTTCAACAACCTAAAACAATCCCAAAACATGTAAAATAAAGAAATTCAATAGATGTGACTCAATCCCTGATCTCATTCATGAAAACGAATCCTTTGTAATAGTGTAATATACGTTGTAATTTCCATAAGCAAATTCAATATAAACCTACATTTTGACAAAAACAAATTCAAAGTAAACATATATGACAAAAGTCAAACTTAAATTAATGTTCTCAATACATTTTATTCTATAAATAGATCCTAATAGAGGCGTAAGACATAACATAAAAACAAATTAAAACAAAAACAAAAACAAACACAATGAA